AGCGGCTATTACGTCTTCGAGGACTTTCCAAGAGCCGAATTTCGAAAAAGGCACGACTTTTGCATCACGTCTACACCTGGCTCAGAATAGTCGGCGAAAGCACATTTGTTCTACATGACTACAACCTCTCCTCCTCCTCCTTCGAAGCACTTGGTTCTCGATTTCAATCACAACATACACCCAACTCGGAAGAAATGGGAAACATCGAGCCAAATCCCCGGCTGGACGATTTCCTCCGCCTCGAAACACAAAACTCAGATAGTGACTTGAATATCGATGAACCCAAGGACCAAACCTCGGGACTCCATGACATCCACCTCCAGGACTCACGAAGTTATCCTGAAACATTATATAAGCAAATTTATGGCATCCCAGAAACCTGGCTTAGTCTTGTCTCCCAAACAACGAGACTTGCGAACGTCTTGGAGACATTCCGTGTTGCCCGTGACGCGGGTCAGACCATGAACCTGGAAGCATGGGAAACACTACAGCGACGTAGCACGCGACTGGAAAATATGATCTGCTCTTTCAGCCTAGGCCGAACAAGAGCCGGAATCCTGGAGCTCCACCCCGACTCAAAACCGCACGGTCATATGGTGGAAGCATTGAATGCAGCTCTAGTAATTTTCTTTTACAAACGAATCAGGCAGACCCACCCTGCTGCTCTGCAGGGTCATGTTGATAGTGTTATTGCAGCGCTTCAAGCGTGCAGTGCTACATTGACTTTAGATGATCCCACCGGACCCGGGACGGCGTGGCCGTTGTTTATTGCAGGATGTGAGGCAATATCAACCACAAGGCGAGAGTCGATCATGAGCTTATTGGATAGGGCGAGCTCAGTATGCGGATTTGCTGCCTTTGGAACGGCTAGAAATATTATAACTGAAGTGTGGCGCAAGCAGGATGAACATCTGACTGCGAACCGAGGTGAATCGATGCCATCGTGGGTTGATACCGTCAAGCAAGCACAGTCATGGCCCTTGTTTTGTTGACCCAGCTGGCTATTCTCGTATTGACTATATTCTACAATTTGTATTACGCACGTGTATGACTCAATGAAGACGATTATTCCAAGATTCTATATTCAATAAAGTATGTGGATAGTACATGTCACATTCTCATTCCGACATTCAAGCATTCTAAATAATTAAACCCAAACAGAACATACTAAATAGTCTTAACACCAGCATTCTGCAACAATTGCTTAAGTTCCGCCGTCAACTCGGGGTTGAGAAGAGCAAAAGGCTTGCGCAGGCCACCAGTAGGCTGCCCAATCAACTCAACACCAGTCTTAACAGCAGCGGCGTAGCTGTGAGTCTCAAGGAACTTGCAAATAGGCCAAGCCTTAGCCCAAAGCTCGCGTCCAAGCTTCAAATCCCCCTTAATAGAAACGGCTTCATAAAGCTCAACTGCCAACTCAGGGATAATATTGGCCGCACCCCAGACACCACCCGGTGCACCAGCAGCAAGACCATAGAAGGTCAATGTATCCCATCCATTAAACGAAGTAATCTGATCAGACAGACCAAAGATAAGCTCCGTCAGCGCCGGCGCATTACCGGAAGTATCCTTAAGATACTTAACGCCGACCTTAGACAGACCCGCAATCTCAGTGGGGGACAACGTGATTCCAGTCGCAGCAGGGATATTATAGAAGACAATTGGCAGACCGGAGGCAGTGTGGATCTCGCCGAGCAGCTCGTGCAGCTCTGGAAGGCTGACGGGGTCGTAATATGGGGGCACGACCATTGTCGCTGCAGCACCGACTTGAGCGGCGTGCACGGAGAGCTCGACGGCCTCGGCGGATGAGAGACTGCCTGTGCCGGCGACGACGGGGACACGGCCGGCGGCGAATTTAACGCAGAGCTCAGTTAGCTGCTTGCGCTCGGCGACTGTCAGTGTGGTGAATTCGCCTGTGCTGCCGCCGGGGACGAGACCGTGCACGCCGGCTTTGATCAGGTGCTCGATGTGTGCTTGCAGACGGCTTTCGTCGATTGCAGTCTTGTCGTCTGTGAAGGGGGTGATCAAAGCCACCAGGATTCCGTGGAGGGAGGCCATTTTGGAGGTTGTAGTAGAGGTATAGAGTGAAGGAGAGATGGGTTTGGTTGTTTGGTTAGGAGGATGGTGAGTATGATTGAATTGGAGGAAGTGGTCGTGATCTAGATATAGTTGTGCTGGTTATGGAATCTCTTACTGTTTCTATATTCATAATTCTGTTCATTCCGAGATGTAGAGGAGTGACTTGCCTAATCGGGACGGGCTTCCTATTTAGGATGCAGCACTATCATCGGAATGAAGACATCTTCCTTTTCTGGCAATCCTGACTTCTAGATTTGTGTTCTTTTAATCGGAATTGTACACTAGATCGATAATATTTCCCACGTCATATAGAATTTAGAAGGCTTACTATGACCTGCAGATGGATAGAGCTAAGATCGTGTTATGCAGGCTATTCCGTAATGGTTACACACTGGTCTAGGATGTCACTAATGGATTTGCATGCATGCTGTACTTTGGGCTATTTGAGGATATATCCCGCATGGATCTAGCTGCGGGGTCCAAATAAGGCTGTTGTATGTCATTGCATCTCCGACACCGGTACGGAGTACTCTGATAGTCAATTGATACCCACCTTGGATACCTTTTAGAGACTATAGAAATATTTTCGGGGACTGACTAGGACTGATACTCAGTTAGAGTTCGTCTTGTCTCTGTAAAGCACCCTGGACGAAACATATATTCTGAGAATACGCTTCATCGCTTTTCAGCTCTGTTGAGCTTTTATACTAGTCCGCTTTCTTTCTATCCTTCCTGGATCAACCTTGCATTTGTAACATATTCCATTCTTCTTGTAATAAATACATTCAGCTAAACATAACTTGAGAGAAAGAGAAAAAAAAAAACAACAACTTCTAAGTGGCACGTTAGCGCTGAGAACATGACTAACAAAAAGCTGGGAATGTACCTTTATCTGATGTCAGAGTCTGGCATGTCTATTGAATAATCAAACAATTGAAAATTATTAAGATTTAAATAAATTGAGAATCAGTATTCTATCTATTCTCTCTCCACTAATATCGCTAACATTCACGGGGAGTATATCGGAAGGACTTGCCTGAAGGGGCTTAACCTCATTGGAGGAATGTCCTATATCATACCCCACGCGCCTGGAGACTTGGAATTTCTGAAAACTGTTTGACTCAAGAACAAAATGGATCTCTTCATTGATATCGTCACCCCCAACGGGCACAGCTACAAGCAGCCTACCGGCCTCTTCATCAACAACGAGATTGTACCCGCCACAGGAGGCCAGACCATCACATCGCTTGACCCCGCGTATGTCCTTATCGGAATTACTCCGTACCGCCCACTAACTATTCTCTAGTACCGACAAGCCCATTGCCACAGTCCAAGCAGCGAGTGCTGAAGATGTCGACCGCGCCGTGCAGGCTGCTAAAGCGGCCCTGGTCCACCCCTCGTGGAAATTACTTCCTGCGACAGAGCGGGGCCAGTTAATGGCCCGACTCGCTGATCTCATGGAGGAGAACAGAGAGTTGTTCGCATCTATTGAAGCTTGGGATAACGGTATGCCTGAAAACCATCCCCAAAAACTACAATTTGCTCATTCAAGTCAGGAAAACCCTACCACGTCGCCCTTGACGAAGATCTCACCGAGGCAATCTCAACAATTCGTTATTACAGTGGCTGGGCCGATAAGACCTTTGGCCAAACCATCAACACAACTCCCCAAAAATTCGCTTACACAATCCGCCAGCCCATCGGTGTGGTTGGCCAGATCATTCCATGGAACTATCCCTTATCAATGGCCACCTGGAAGCTTGGCCCTGCACTAGCATGCGGAAACACAGTTGTCCTGAAGCCAGCCGAGCAAACCCCCCTTAGCGCTCTTGTTCTCGGTACATTGATCAAGAAGGCTGGGTTCCCACCAGGTGTGGTAAACATCGTCAACGGCTACGGGCGCGAGGCCGGCGCGGCGCTCGCTTCGCACCCATTGATCGATAAGGTCGCATTCACAGGATCAACAATAACCGCCCGGGAGATTATGAAGATGGCTGCTGGCACACTCAAGAATATCACGCTCGAGACAGGCGGCAAGTCCCCTTTGCTGGTTTTCCCGGACGCGGATATGGACCAGGCTGTTAAATGGTCGCACGGCGGTATTATGTCTAACAAAGGCGAGATCTGTACCGCCACCTCACGGATCTTTGTCCACCGCGATATCCTTGAAGCATTCACTGCTAGTTACAAGACAGCAGTGGAGGCCGTGAAGATCGGCGACCAGTGGGATGAGTCTGTCTTCCACGGGCCGCAGGTGACACGCGCGCAATATGATCGTATCCTCTCCTACTTTGAAATTGCCAAGAGCGAAGGCGCTACCATTCTCACTGGTGGTGCTGCGCACACACCGACTGATGAGAAGAATAAGAATGGATACTTTATTCAACCTACCGTTATTGTTAATGCAACGGACTCTATGCGCATTGCCCGTGAAGAGGTGTTTGGTCCCGTTGTGGTGATTTTCCCCTTCGATGATGAGGAAGAAGCTATTCGTCGGGCCAACGATACCACTTACGGCCTAGGTGCGTCTGTCTTCACGCGCGATTTGGAGCGTGCTCACCGTGTGGCCGCTGAGATCGAGTCTGGCATGGTCTGGATTAACAGTAGCCAAGACTGTGATCCACGCATTCCTTTCGGTGGTGTGAAGCAGAGTGGCATTGGACGTGAGTTGGGAGAGGCTGGTCTGGAGGCATATAGCCAGACTAAGGCGGTTCATGTGAACATGGGCACTAGGCTATAAGGATTATGAAGTACATTGCACAATATAAATATAGAATTTTTTTTTCAAGCTGGCATGTTGGCCCCGGGATGTGAATTGTACTATTAAGCGCCCAACAAAAAGGAGGGGTAAGCCCACATTGAAGAATTGTACTCAATTTCGACAAGAAATATTTCCCTCTAGTCAAAGAACAAATAAAATCATGGGTCTCAAAGGCCTTGTGTCAAGATTGAAACGTCGCACACCGGAAGATCCTATCAGTCATTCAGGTCCAAAATCTGGAAGCAGTGGCAAAGCGATTCTCTCTCCAGCCCCCAAAGACACAGAGATCAGCCCTATATCGCAGAAATTAACAACTGATGAGCGTGACTTATGGCTTGAAGCGCTTGGGAAACTGCCTCACAAATGGCAACAAGAACTAGAAAAACAGGGCATGAACCGACAAGGCTCTGAGTCTATGATCGACCAGGTCAAAGAATTTCAAAAAGAGGCTGAAAGACAGCGGGATATAAGCCTGGCTAAAGATTGGAAAGTCCAAATAGGAGACCATGAGCTCTCAGTGAGACAAACAACTGTACAGATCGTCCACTGGGTAGAGAAAATTGGAGATGTGGCCATCCAATTTGCGCCGACTCCCGGCGCTGGAGGGGTGTGGGCTGTGGCAAAATCAGTCCTCCAGGTTGGTTCTTTGTATCAGAATGTACAACCTAATGCTCACACGGTTTGGATTTAAGGGAATTGATACCTTTGACCAAGAAAAGAGTGCCTTGCTTTCCGTTGTTGACAAAGTCGCGGGTGCCATCTTCTGCGGCCAGGTCTACTACGAGATATACAGTCCTGAGCGGACTGGGAGGAAGGATGTCGTGGATAGACTTCACAATGCAATAGTGGCACTGTATGGGTGTGTGCTGGAACTACTGGTTACATCGTCCGATCTTTCATCCAACACTGCTGTGCAATTTTGCCAGGCAATCTTTGATCCGACAAAGCCATCTGACATGCTCCTAAAATTGGAAACTTTGGAACAAGAGCTTGCAAAAGCGGCTGGCAAATGTGAAGACACCGCTCATGCTCACCAGGAAGCTACTTTCAAAAGTTATCTCCAAGAAGCTCAAAATTCTCTCAACAGGATCACTCGTCATATGGAGCATGTCTTCCAGTGGGTCAATGATCAAGAACGGAGGGGGCTTCTCGAATGGGTTTCAAATATTCAGTATGGCCGCCATCACGATGAGATCGAAGAAAGAAGAGAGCCTAATACAGGTGATTGGCTCGTTGAAGACGAGAGATTCCGCGAGTGGATGGATTCAACTTCAGGCAGTACTCTGTGGCTTCAAGGATCTCGTGAGTTTGCTTATATCCTGAAATATCTTATGCCTCTGACAAAAGCTAGCTGGAACGGGAAAATCATTTTTGACTTCGGCTGTAGTTAAGCATATCTCGGACACGAAAGGGTCTCAGATGGAGGGATTTGGCTATTTCTTCTGCAAACAAGACGAGGAAATTCGACGGAAAGCACTACCAGTGCTTCAAAGTTTAGTCCGTCAGTTTGCTGCCCCAAAATGTAGTACTGAATCGGTCAGAAAAAGCCTTCGCGATGCACGGGAAAGAGCAACCGATAGAGCATCACGGCTAAGCTTCTCAGAGTGTCGTCGTCAGCTCGTGGAGTCATTCAACCTATATTCAAGAAGCGTCATCATTCTTGACGCCTTGGATGAAGTTTTGGACGATGAACTTGATATTCTGATAGAAGCACTTGACGACGCCATCGTCGAGACTAAAGGCATAGGCAGAGTGAAACTTTTTGTTGCCAGTCGGCCTGAGAAAAATATTGCTGCAAAATATGGCTCAAGTTCAACTATCATCATCCAGGCTCAGGATAACGAAAAAGACATTGAGAAATATGTGACCAACGAGATGAATAAATTTGGAAGGAGGCATCCCAAATCGGATGTTAACGCTATGAAGGACACGATTATTCGAGCTATTCTTGACAAATGCGACAACATGTAAGGCTCCAGAATATACCGGGCGAACAATTTCTACACTAACGAAGAAAACAGGTTCTTGTGGGCTGCCCTCCAGGTAAAGCAGATTACACAATGCAACACCATTGAATCGATTCATTACGCATTGGAAAATCTCCCAAAGGGACTGGATGAGATGTACGATCAGATATATCGGAAAATCCACACCCGGTTTCCTCCGGAACAAGCCATAGCAGAACGCGCGCTTAAGTGGGTGCTGTGTACTCCCTATCCACTCACGAGTGAGGAGCTCCTCTCCGCCGCTCGTATGTGCATTGAGAAAGAGAACATCAAATTGGGGAGTTGTATCCAGCAAGAGTCCTTGCTCTCAATCTGTGAGAACTTGCTGGTGGTTGATACCGATGGTCGATGGAGATACTTTCACCTTTCAGCGCGAGAGTATCTCGAGAAGACCTATGATATATATCAACAAGCACGCTCTTATTGTGCGCAGGTGTGCCTTCTGTCTCTTATGAGAACATTTGGCCCAGAAACGCTTCCTGGAAGTCTCGAAGATCCATTTAATCAGGCACATCCTTTCTCTTGGCACACCCAGACCTGCTGGATAGTCTACGTTGTCGGGCAGATGGAGAATGACCAATCTGTCATTCTGCTTAAGAAATTTCTTGGTTCACCCGACAAAAGTAGCGTCTTCTACATTCGATGGTTGGATCACCTCTCCGGGCACCATGTTCCATTTCATTTCATATTCCTTGAATATGGAGACCTTGTCCCAGCTACGACGCCAATGTTTGCCATAGCCCATTTCTCGTTATATGAAGGGACTCTCCGTGAATGGTGCGACAGCAATGATTTTGACCCATTCCAACAGAATAACCGTGGGGACGATTTGCTCACAATAGCGGCCATGAATAACTGCGTACCTTTGTGTGCTGCTCTTATTGCAAAGGGAGTTAACGTCAACCAATGCCGCGTCAATAGCAGGTATGACAGTGTCCTTTCAGCTGCAGCCTCGAGTAATAGTTTCGATACAGTCAAATACCTCGTGGAGGAGGCCAAAGCAGACGTGAATCTCCCGCCTGAGAGAGGGAATTGCGGCAGTGCACTAGCTGCTGCTGCGAAGAGAGGAAATCTGGATATCCTGAGATATTTTGCGGAGGAAGTTAAACCAGCTGTGGATCTTCTAGTTCACGTGAGAATCTATGGCAATGTGCTTGCCACTGCTGCCTTCGCTGGTAGACTGGATGTTGTGGGATACCTCGTGGAGGAAGCGAAAATTGATGTGAATCTTCAGCTTGGGGAGGATAGTTTCGGCAGTGTGCTTGTTGCTGCCAGCTGGGGAAGTCTCGTTGTAGTCAAATATCTGGTTGAGGAGGCAAAAGCAGGTCTGAATGGACCACATGGGGCCAATGATGCACTTGTCGCCGCCATCTTGAGTGGAAATCTGGATATTGTGCGATACTTTGTGGAAGAGATAAAAGCAGATGTAGGTAGCCTGATTGAGCAGGGGCTCATTGATCTTGCACTTGAGACCCATAATAATGAGGATGCTGCTGTGTTCAGGGAAATTCTGAAGTTACCCAGTCATCAAGAGGCAGCAGAAGATGAGCACTGAGACGGAAGTGATATAAAAAGTACGTATGAATGTCAGGATAACTAGCTCATTTTATATCTGCCTTCCCTTTACTTTGACTGTGTACTATTCTACCAAGAATGCTCAAATATATGATTGGTTAACACAAAATGAAACTAACTTTTTGTCTCTTTTCATTCTTCTCTTATAAATTTATGAATTCGCGTGCAAAAGGTTAGAGTTGAAAGGTCGCTGTCGCTAGCATGAGTCATTATGAGTATGCGCCACGATTAGCCCCGCTAAGGAAATAAGCATAATAACCTTAAATAATGATAATAATGAGTCATTATTACGCTTCAACTATCATTCGTGATTCGAGATTACGGGGTGTCTAGTAATAGGAACAAACATCATTATTTACCCTGTAACTACTATAGAATGTGATCCTACCTTTTCTTCACCAAATACGCATCTCTAACAGCCTAAGTATCCTTTACAGTCTCAACCACAAGGATGACACCAATATATGCGCCTGCATGGAATGAGGTAAAGTAAATCCAACATCCACAGCATAATAATAAATAACTGACCTTAACAAGTTTATCCAAGAAATTGGGCCACTGCTCATGACAGGTACCACAGTTGAAGACTTGTTCAAAGATTCCGATGTCAATACGCAAAAGATTATATCAAGATACGAAATTCCGCTACCGGATGATTCAGTCCAAACCGAAGATATCAAACTCAAAGACGCATGGATCCGAGTCTTCACACCTCCGTCAGCGACAGGCGACGAACCGGTAGGGATTTTCATGCATGGTGGTGGATGGATCATGGGAAGCGTCGACCACGAAGATGCTGCATGCCGAAAGATCAGCAAGAGCACCGGCATGAAAGTCGTCAGTATTGGATACAGACTGGCACCGAAATTCAAATTCCCCCACGGTCTCAACGACTGTGTTGAGGCAACCTTATGGACACTCGAAAACTTCTCACTTTCATCCGTCGTGCTTATGGGAGGCTCGGCAGGCGCCAATCTTGCTTTTGGTGTTGCGTTGAAACTCGTCGATTCCGGGCTCGGAGACAAAGTCAGAGGCATTGTGGCCTTGGTTCCTTGCACTATACACCCTGATGCAGTACCGGAAGACAAGAAGGAGCACTTTACTTCTTATGAGGAAAATGCTATCCACACTGTAAACACATTGGCTGCGATGAAATGTTTCCTGGATTCCTATGCGCCACCGCCTGATGACAAGTATTTCTCGGTTCTCCTCCACCCGCGCTTGAAGGATCTCAAGAATGTCTATATCGTCGAATGTGGAACGGATACATTAAGAGATGATTCTCGACTGATGAAAGAGGCTCTGGAGGAAGTTGGTGTACCCATTATGTATGATGATTATCCCGGTTATCCTCATTATTTCTGGTCATATCCCTCTCCAGTTCTAGCGCAGGCTTCAGAGGAGTTTCACATGAACATGGTCCGTGCGATAAAATGGATCAATTCGGGATGAAAGCACACGGACACATTATATAGTTCACATCGAAGAGATGCCTCATGCACATGACCAACCCCCGGTACTGTAGACACAATGGGAGCAATGTCTCGACTTTCGGAGATTTAAAGGGGCCTGTGTCCAGTAGTGTTTGTGGGGTCTTTGGGGCAGAGAGAATTTAAAATATGATTATTGAGTTGAGAGTTGGGTTCTGACATTGTTTAAATATGATAGCAAGGCGATGGAAGAAAAGAACAGAAAGATGGTGAATGAAAGGAGGAAGGAGGCCTCAGGCTGCAAGGCTGCGAACACATGTCAGTTGCTTACCTAGGTATCCGATTAATCTACTCCGTACTCCGTACATTAATACGAGTTGGAATCCTTCAAGAGTATCTAGCCGGAAGTCTGTTTGGCCAAAGAACGCCCCCAAAAATAAGCGGCAACCCCCCTTTTTTGAAAGTACTTAGTCTCTTGCACTTCACATCGTGCAATTACCGGCACTCCTCAACTCTCAACTCAATATGTCATGCCCCAATTGTTTTAGCGGTCACATCCACCAAGGCACTCCCCGTGGGGAAGTTACCTCTCTTCATGGTTTACAGGTCTACACAACGAAACCTCTGGATGATGTGCCTCACCGGGGCATTATTATCATAGTGCCCGACGCCTTCGGATGGGAGTTTGTGAACAACCGAATCTTAGCTGACAACTATGCGGAAAAGGGGAAGTACCTCGTTTATCTTCCTGACTTCATGAACGGTATGTGCTAGTGTCAACAGAGACACCAAAGGATAACTCATTAACCTCAATATTAGGTCACGCGGCGCCGGTTGGTATGATGTCTGCCACAAAAGAGTTGTTGAAAACGAGCGGACTCACAACCTGGCTTATGAAGCCGTAAGTTGATCAAACAACGAGCGCCCGGATTTCGCTTGTATAGCACAGCCACTAATCTAAGCTATAGGTACCATCTAGCCTCAATGTTAACAAGAGTGGTGCCCTTCGTGTACCACAATACGTTCAAAGTATCATGGCCTATCGTTAGGAACTTCTATAAGTCAGTGCGTGAGAACGAAGGCGCGGAGCTTCCTATCTACGGAGCTGGTTTCTGTTGGGGTGGAAAGCATATCGTCAATCTAGCCGCCGGAGTGGACATTGCCTCAAATGGAAAACCACTGCTTAATGCTGGGTTTACGGGCCATCCTAGCCTTCTCGAAATTCCCAACGAGATTGAGAAAATCAAAATCCCCGTGAGCTTTGCGCTTGGGGACAAAGATATAATTGTGAAATCTCAACACATTGAGCAGATCAAGCAAGTCTTCGCCAGTGACTCGCGTTCTGGGAAAGGAGAAGTGGTCGTTTATGAGGGCGCCGGACATGGCTTTTGTGTCAGGGCTGATTTTGTGTTGGAAGATGCGAGTAGACAGGCCGATGAAGCGGAGAACCAGGCACTAGCCTGGTTCGAAAAGTATTAAGTTGGAGACACGTTGAAGTTTTATATTTAGCTCAATTGAAACATTCAATAAGTAAGAGATAGTGAAAGACTAAATATATGAGCTTCCAACAAAGGGAACCCAAAATGAAAATGACCTTTCCAGTCTGAAAAGACCCCTTCTGCAGTGCACGCGCTGCACACAAAACCACGCACTGCCCGACGGCGAGGCACACGCACATGATCAATGAACTCGCACCATGTGCACAGAATTCTCTGGAATAGGCCTCGAAGCTCGAAAATGAGGCACTTGAGTGTCACAATATCCAGCGGATGAATCAAATCCGATGTGACTTGGTGTTAAAAGATATTCGTAGTACCAAGTGCATATGAGGCCGGATCGGGAGTTGGATTTTGGAGGCTAGGACTGAAAGTCAATTTAAAATAGGAGTTCTAGTTCTAGTTATTGGGGTTTAATTTAAATGGTATGGATTTTGTTAGCAGATCTCTGCATTCGAAATAATGGAAACGTGGATATTTGAGGAACGCTAGTGATCTTCCAGTGCGAGAACAAGTGAAGATCAGCAGTGCAATTTAGAACAATTATAAAAGGCATTACGAATCCCGTTCTTCTGTCAGTCCACTTCACCTCGGAAAAGCACCGAGACAGACGATCAGAGAATGAACGGGCCATGGATATACTCCCCACTTCCCTCTTTTGAAGAACAAGTAAAGATCTTAACCAGCGGTCTTCCAATAAACACTACCTAATTTAAGTACAAAGTGTCAGTATACTGTTGAAAACAAATACCATAGTCTCAATCTCGAGGCTACTGATCTTATGCTTATGTGGAGCAGACTTCCTTGATACTACTTAGAGTTCAAATATCGAAAGAAACCCGATTCAAATTCTTTCTATATATAGTTTAAAGAAGTAGATTGTCACTTTAGACAGAACAAGAAGCAATCACGCCTGATATAAGGGATCCCACCTCCCAGCAAATTGGAATATACATGTATACTATACAAATCAATTGTAACTGGTTGTATAAAACTTGACAATCCTCCGACCATGAATGTTGAATCAGTGTCGCGAGTTATCACCAGTTTTCAAACTTGGCCCAAACCCGATTTTGAACATTTAGTTGGAGGGAGCAGCGCAGACCTTGTCGCCCTTCTATTGCAAAATACTGTTAGCTATTGCGCCCTGGTATTGGTGAGAACATATCCACTTACGATAACCTGGCAAGTCTCCTTCTTGGAGCAGTCCTCATCGGTCTGGCACAGATCCTTGCCCTTCAAAATAAGTCAGTATCTTCAGGATATAATCACGCGAAAAAAGTAGAACATACCTCGGAGCGCTTGTTCTTAGGGACAACACAGATGTTCTTGTCCTCATCACAAACCTGATCCTTGGCGCAGTCACCAGTAGACTTGCACTTCTGGGGCGGAACGTTGTCACGCTTGCTCTTAGGGACAACGCAGATGTTCTTGTCCTCATCGCAAACCTGGTCCTTGGCGCAGTCACCAGTGGACTTGCACTTTTGGGGCAGAACGTTGTCACGCTTGTTCTTAGGAACAACACAGACGTTCTTGTCCTCATCGCAAACCTGATCCTTGGCGCAGTCACCAGTAGACTTGCACTTCTGGGGCAGAACGTTGTCACGCTTGTTCTTAGGGACAACACAGACGTTCTTGTCCTCATCGCAAACCTGATCCTTGGCGCAGTCACCAGTAGACTTGCACTTCTGGGGCAGAACGTTGTCACGCTTGTTCTTAGGGACAACACAGACGTTCTTGTCCTCATCACAGACGAATCCCTTCACACAGTCTTTGGTAACCTTGCAGTCCTGACCCAGCTGCGAGAGGGTGTCCTATATAGATTCATGAGAAAAGGATTATTGGTAGTAATTGCCGGGTGATACTTACACCACGCTTGTTGTGGGTGTTGGGGGCATCGCAGATGTTCTTGTCCTGGTCACAGACAAGGCCCTTGACACAGTCGCTAGTAGACTGACAATCCTGGCCGATCTTCGCCAGAGGAGCATCACGAGTAGCCTTGATAGGAATGCACTCTCCAACGTCGTTACACTGCTCATTGGGCTTGCAGTCGTTGTCGACCTTGCAAGCAACGGTAGGCTGAAGCTGGACGGGAGAAGCCATGGCAAGGCTGGCAAGCATGACAGAAACAACGAAAGTGGCCTTCATTTTTGCGGTTGATGGTTGGAAATAGGAAATAGGAAAGGAAGTAAAGATTGACGATAGTTTGGGTGGTAAGGAGTGTAGATTTGATTGTAGATGAACAACTGAGGATGCGGGAATCCAGTACCCTTTTATAGCTTCAAGGCCTTCTACCTATAGAGCTACAAGGTACTCGGCTTGGTGTACTTGGCTGTGCTAAAGCCTCGCATTGCCAGTAGGGCAACCCGCCCGGTGTGCACAGCTCCGTTTCCCGTGCCACGCGTTGTGATGAGGATGGGCCCTCTTCAAAATTACGCGTATACAGGCCAGGTATAATGGAAACTCGAGCATTTCCAGTGTCTATGTTGTAGATCCCGACAATTCAAGCTGACACTTCCCCACCAGCTAGCTGTCCAACAGCGGGCGTGGGGTTTATCCGTGCGGGCGCAAGTATAGATCACTCTAGACAACATGAGCCGCGATGCAGATGCATTGCCGTAGCGATGGATCCCCGACATATTCCAGAACTTTTTGTATATGACATAGTGTTCTCCAGTAAGCCCTGACTGAGTGGTATATATGGGTTGATCCGTTACTTGCATTTACAGAGGGTTCAGAAATCATCAATGATCAGATATCTGTCTATAATAAAATTAAATTAACCTACAACATAACCTCCAAGCCACAAGCTAAAGCCCTGGGGAAATACATTATCCCCTAAGCTTGTTGAAGCTTAATTTAGAACGATCGTCCGCCAAGAACCGAACTCCACCAGTCCACGAATCCCACCTGGGGCAACGTTTAGTTGGGCGTCTAGCTCGGGGGGACTCAGGAGAAGTTCCGGGAGCCTCAGTAAACATGCTTATATAATTTATTATTCCTGCGTCTCCCTCTACTCCCGGAGCTCAAAGAGACTCACAATTTCAACACCAAATAGAAACTAGAATGGCTAGAATCCCTAATCCTAATAGGGCCCTAATAAACATATCTTAAAATGAAGGGCCCTAAGAGAATATAGCCCTGTAGAGGTGAAAATAAAATGGGTGTCTTCCCCCTGATTGGCTGAGCCTCCTTCCCGATTAAGTAAACCAAATGCTTGTGTCTCCCTCAGCTGGAACCCGCGTTTAGTTGGGGATATACTACGTAGGTCCCATCGACATCAAGGACATGCTCCATAAACATTTAAAACAGCGCTAATGACGCCACATGTCAGTGGAGTATGTACATGTAGTTTCATAAGTATATCCGCGTAGTTCCACTAGATTCTTGCTTCTCTTCTAAAATACAGAAGGGTTTGGGTATTTACCCGTATGTATAAATTAATTAATTAAATCTACGATTAATATATTAACCCATTAATAGTATATAGTGGAAGTGGTAAAAGTGCGTACATTAAGTACAATAAGAAAGTAGCAAGCAGAAATACAAAAAATCCAGCATTTATTAGGAAATGCGCTAGAGACTTTGTCTATGGAGCACGTCGTTAAAATGTGGGACCTACACTCTCCGTTTCGTTCACCACACCACATACCCTGGGGTAAGCCCACAATGAGTGAAATAGTACGTAATCTCCATTTCTAGTCCATTTCTGGAGTCGATCTTCAATCTAGATCTGAAATCCATGAGATGAGGCATATTCCTACAAAATAGGCTGATGAAGATCGGGACAACTCGAGAAAAGCTCCCATGCGGTACGTATACACCAGCATAGCATCACTTGGAAGAACACGAATCCAATATTTTCGTGAAGGAGCCATTTATTACGATCTCCATGAATGGGTTGCTTGTTACGGAGCCAATAACTAGTTATCTAGTCGGTTAATTGTCTTAGTGTCCTGGTTCCAGGGGTATTGGGGATTCACCCCTATAAAGGGTATCGAACTAAGAATATGGCCCCTTAGGCCATAAACAGGAAAATCGGTTTTTGTTATGGTCTAGTGGGAAAATGGCTGTATCTTCGTTTCACGAAGGGCTTTACCGCGTTGTGGGAATTACTGATCACCGGCTATTGTATTAATAGTACAGATAGGAAGCCGGTCTTGTTACTCTGTATAAACTGGTTGTCCACTACGCGAGTGACTGATCTCAGACAAAAGCTCACCTAGAACATTTCGATGGCATTGTGTTCCAGTTTCGTACACATCGAGATTCACGAGATGCATTCAAGTCCTAATCGTCGGTCATGTACGGAGTAGCACGCGTGGCTTTCGATTCATGTCGATCACTGCTGAAAATAATTCATTATCTCTAGGCAGACAATAATATTGAGCTTACTCCGCAGGTGGAATTAGCCCACCTCCACAGGGATCTACTAGCGTCAAGATTTCTGCCCGCATTGTTAATGTTCTGATCCTCTAATAAGGTTGATATAATTAGACAATAAAAACCAGACATTACACTAGATTATGTATACCAAGTTTGATCTTGCCTTTTAATAATGGTATATTGCATTATCACCAGATATGCTGAGCTATATAGAAACGTAAAGTAGATACTATCTACGTTACAAATCAAATATGCGTAGGTACGGTTGATTGGGAAGTATCGTGATTATCATGTGAACCACTTTCAAAGTCGGTGGGCTAATCCCACATACGAAGGCTGTTGTAGAGATTTCATCCAATTTGGCGATAAGGTGAGCGAGGAAATAGCCCATACAATAGCTACAATTATCAAGTCAACATCTGTGACATTTTCGAAAGCTCTTGCAGAGAGTGCAGTCAGATCCTAAGCACAACATGGGTAAGAATGGTGTAAATGTAAGAGCATTGAAAATCTAAGTCAATTCGTCATAATTAACATGCATTGGAGTTCAACGCTAAACCCTAATTGATTTTATGCATACGTTGTTTTCTTTTGCAACATGTCGAGTTTCGTATGACAGTTCTTGCAGGTTAAGAATTCAGGACTCCTACGGAATCAAAGCTAGCGGCTTTAATTCAGTCTTTACGCCTCTATTGCCCATTCTACCATACAGAATCGAGCATCCTGAAATTATGATATGGTTCGGAGTAGGGCAAGTCGGACCGTCTCCATGGATCGTCACCTTCATTAATCCCTGTTCAAACTACGCAGTTTTGGAGAAAACAAGTGCTTAGAAATGACACCGCTCATTGCCTAAAATTCTCATCGCAAAAGACAAATTTCATAGAAATAAATATATCATTCTCCAGTCCATACAAGAGGAAAGGAAAGGCATAATTATGGCTTCATTTCCATGTATGGAGAAATTAGACAATTTTACAATTTGTTTTCTATACCTCTGTGAAAGATTCGAAATCCCGTTATTACATGCTGTTTAATATATTATTTTGTAGTATATCATTCAACAAAGAGGCCATTGGGCATAGACCTTCGCAACTGTTTACCTAGAAAGCAAGATGTACTCCCGTACGAGTCCGATATATATATATATATATCTCTACGTTACATACGTGATATGAAAATATTGATATCTACCTGTTTTTTGCGATACCTCGACCTCCACTAGTTAGATTTTGTTTAAAGAAATATATACTTATATAGCTATTACAACTCTATGTCTTCTTTAAAAAAATTTGGACTCTATGCCAGAATACAGCGATTATAAGACGCCGGGTTGTAAACACTAAGACCCCCTTGATGGGCTATGATGGGCTTTAGATAAGGGCCTGTAATCGCCTATAATAGCCCATCATAGCCCATAGCCCACTGCTCGTTGGGCCTTAGGCCATGGGCTTCGCGGAAGTCTAAGTGGGCACCTGAGCAGGTGTGGTTGTGGAACAGCCAATAAGAGCATGAACACAGCCACATATAACACCGCCTCAATATGGCTGTGCGGTTGACCAAAATCGTCAAAACAAAACACAACCAAACCAAAATAATCTCCCTTCATCAGCCCAGCGTCCCACTGACGTGGCCCAAGTTCCAAGTGGAGAATATGTAGTAGGCTGCATCCTGGAAGCTCACCGCAGTCCATGCCGCCTAGTCTCTTTTTTTTTTGCCAATAGTTTCCTGTTCAATAAGTTCACATCGCACCAATCTATTTATTTGTCTTCAGCGTTTGCATTCATATATGCCTCAAATTTCAAACACGCCAGAATCTCTGCTTCCTCGCTCAGATTCTCGAAACCCAGCGACAACATGTAGAGGAATAACCGCTCAAGGCCGGCCCTGCCGCCGCTCTTTGGCATCTCCAAATCCATCACCTGCTTCTACTCCCCGAAAGAAGGATCCTCGCAAAGAAGCTATAGATGCAGCATCTTTGTACTGCTGGCAGCACAAAGATCAAGATTTGTCAGCGAATCCACATACGACTGTCCTCACCACGACCAAGTCGAGGACAAGCATCGATACATTAATGGATCGACTGGGTGTGCTCGAAATAAATGACGACCCGGTCTCCCCAAAGCCAAAGCCTCCCCACAAACGGCGGACAAATCAAAGTAGGCCCAGTGAAAAGCGCCGACCGAAGAAAAAGACCACTTTCTGCTGTTTCCAGATTGTGGAAGATAGCGGCGAGGATGACAGACCGGCCTCAGTTCAACGGCCCAAACCCCCTACAAGTGGTGTTTCACCTTCTTCAAATCCAAATCAAAAGATAAAACTGCCTGCCGCAGCCGGAAGGCCGCAGCATACGCAAGTGTCACCAACTCCTCCAACATCCCGGCCATCTTTGTCAGACACAGGGAAACCTTCACAGTCCTTGTCGTCGTGGGTCCCGTCTACAGTTTCCCCGCAGACAACCTCCATTCTTATCACAGAACTGGCCAAACCGATCTCCAACGCCGACGAGGAAGGCTATATCTATATGTTCTGGGTGACACCCCAAACAGCTACCACACAACGGAGCGCTGAATCCACAGCAACGCGAGACATAGCATCTTCCCTACTACCCCACGCCCCACAAAGTAGCAACCACCTTCGCCCACCCACCCAGCCACGCAGCGTCAGTGAGGCAATCCGTGCAGCACAGGACCTCAATGCTCTCACCTCAAACCCAACATCAACTACGCCCGGAACGCTTAGGCTGAAGATCGGACGCACGAGCAATGTGCACCGTCGACTCGCTGAATGGAGTAAACAGTGCTCGTACGACTTGACCTTGATTCGTTATTACCCTTACACACCATCGTCATCATCGTCATCTTCCCCTGCTAGGGTGGCGCCATCCAAAAACAGCCGGAATAGGGCCCCTTCGGCCTCTTTAGTAGCTGGAAGGAAAGTCCCGCATGTGCATCGCGTGGAACGACTCATTCACCTTGAGCTAGCAGATTTGCGTGTGCGAGACTTGGGACAGTGTCCCGAATGCGGGAAGGAGCATCGGGAATGGTTTGAGGTCGAAGCTGAGAAGGAATCGCTTAGGAGAGTGGATGAGTGTATCCGACGATGGGTCTCCTGGGCCGAGTCGATCCCTTGACGCCTTGACACTGTATCCTATATACTCACCTTGAGCATCCTTTTTGTGTACATATATAATCGTCTTCGTACACATTCGGAGCTCCACTCTATATATATCAAATCCGACTGGGGAGTTTGGGAAAATGTGCTTATATTGAAGGTCAATATAAGGCGTGGACGGTACGATTGATGAGCGGGCCCCTTTCCTGATCCCAGATGGAGGAATGGAATCGGGTCTATCAAGGTAACCAATTCGGACGGAAGACTGTGCACCTTGTGGAGAATTGTGCGGCCATATCTTTTATGTATGCGGTGCAACTAGGCATATTGATGCTGCGACATTGATATCTCACGTCTTAAGAGCATTGCCAAAATTCATGGCCCATGACTGCCGCTTGCCGATGACAATAATTTTGTCTCTCTAATTCCTGTCGAATCTGCCCCATCTCTTAGGGGTGTATGGCCCTCGTAAGAGCCGTTGAGGGTCCTCTGCCACAAGCTCGATGGGTTGCTGTCAGGATGAAGATGATAGCTGCTGGAGCACTTGATCTGCAATCACGATAGCTCAGTGCCTGAATGAACACATCAATATCAGAATGAGAACTTGAGTATCTCCCAAGTTAATTCTCTAAGATGTTGTTGCGGAAAGTCACAAATATGAAACAGTAGTTATTTATAGTCACGGATATTTGAACCTATTTATCTATACCTATTTATTTATTTTAGTTGATCTATACCTTCCGCTTCACCAGCCCACGGAAGAAGTCGAAGCTGTTACTATCACTCTGTAATTGCCACACGCGTCCGGTTGGACGATCATTCCATCCCAACTCCTCGGCCAGCAAAAGACCCCAATCACAGGTGATACCCTGAATGCGAGCGCGAGCACCGCCCTCCTCTTCTAGAGTGACAATCTGGTGCATGTGTAGCCAGTCTTCATAATACATAGCCTCGAAGGCCCGGTCGAAGCCTGTGCGCAAGAAGCGGGTATACAAGCTTTCAAAGGTAGTCAGAATACGAGCCAGAAGCCTCTCGAGCGTGACAGGTGAAGCGGTAGCAGCGCCCGGTGACGCGTAGCGTGCGGCGAGAGTGGTCAATGCGGTTGTCGGAGAGGCGTTGGTGGCATTGACACCGATACCGACGACGGAGATATACTCGTTTGACATGAAATGGGAGTTGATAAGAATACCGCAGATCTTGGTGTACCGTTTCTGTTCCGGGTCATCTGGATCCAGTGCATCTGTGGAGAAAGATCATATCAGTAAACCACCCTTATTAATATAACAAACCACCTGAGACTTACAAATATCGTTGGGCCATTTTAGTTTGACGGGGATCTTCTCGTAGCCTTTAGCGTAGTTCTTGATTCCCCGAACTACCGCCATAGCCGATAGATACTGAAGGAACACGACCGGTGCCGACTGAATCTTGTCCATAGGGTGTCGCACCACAGTTGAAAAGATTAGAGAACCTGCTGGCGAGACCCATACATTAGACCCGCGTCCGCGTCCGGCGATTTGTGCTGTAGCTGTAGCCGTAAATCCTTGTGGCAGCTGACGAAGCAGCTTCGTGTTCCTGATACTCGTTAGAGCCGGTCAATACCAGACCTATCGACCAAAAAAACACTACTTACTTTTCAAGAATTGTGTTCGTGCTAGTCACTACCTCTCCATATAAGAGATTGGAGCCAAATGTTGTGGCCTCTCCCTTAGACTCGGATTGGTATTGGCGGAGATGGGAATAGAATGCATGGTGGTTGAAGTATGGTGTGAGTTTGGAAGATGGTATATCATCATGGAACACAAGCCGCTTGATGATTGCCTGGTAATCAACTATACCCTCGGTAGGCTCCGATGATGCCGCGGGAAGCGCTTCTTCTAGTCCGCCAAGATTCCATGTTCCAGGACGTTGAATGCAAAACGTATCGTATTCGTCCTTGAGACACTCGGTCTGACCTTCTTGGGTGAATGCAGCTCCGAGTCCCGACAGGATATCCATAGGACCGTCAGCATCCATTCCGGACACGTGCATGGACGACAGTGAAGGCACTGTTGTCGTGTCCTGCGTGACCTCGAGTCCAAGTTTGGACAAACAAGCCTTCAAGAAGTCCGTCCTCTCCTTTTCATCGGCAGCGAGAGCCGCCACCATATCCGCATATTCAGCACCGCCCGCCTTCGGGTCCAGATTAGCAGCCGCAAATCTAGTTCATAAGTTAATTACTCAATCAATCCTGCGAATTGGAATCATTGAAATTCAAAACATACTCAGGATGAGGTCCGGTCAAGACTGCTGCTCCATCGCCGACTTTGCAGTATACAACAGCAGCCGCGCCCTCCCCTCCGTCGACATTCAACTTTTCAGTATAGCTCGCAAGAACCTCCACCCCTTTGTCTGCGAGCGACGCCGCATCAACGAAGACACCACCGCCATTGTAGTACGACCGGAAGGTACTTGGTACGGTGCCAGTACCAGTGGTTAAAGCATCCCCGGCCACTTCGACCTCTGCAGCGCGTGCCCCCGCCTCGCTATGGTAAACAAAACCCGGGAATGCCCCGCCCCGACAGATGCCCGGATAGAAAGCCAATTCGCGGTCTCCAATGACCTCCATTGTCTTATCGCCAACCTCGAACTCACAACTCTTGGATCCGTAGTAGCCCCCAGCACACAGCCCGAGGTATCGCCCACCATTGCGGACAAACTGCGTGATGCGCCGGTTCCCCGCACCATTGAGTGTGCGACAGTATCCCATATCTGCGCCGCCAGGCATAACCAGCATAGCACATGTAGTCATCCATGGCTCCTTAAGGAGCATATCGCCCGTCACAGGTGTAACGGCATAGTGGTGGGCGAGCAGGCGGCGGAGGGTGTAAAGGCAGTGACGGATTGAGTCAACGGTGGTTCCATTTCCTGTTGAGAAGTCGTCGGGTTAGGAAAGGGCTAAGGTGCCAGGCTGAGTAAAGAGAAGCGAACCGGAATAAACTAGGACATTGAGCCTTTTGCCGCTGAAATTGGCGTTATTGCCCGTTGGCGTTGACATTGTTGTTTCGTTGCAAAGGGAAATCAGCGCGATAAGATACTACTTAGTTCCCCATCTTCCGCCGAGGCCAACCGCCTTTCCCCAACGTTTCTTATTACCATACCTCAGCCATGTCGAACAACGTGGAGAAGACAGCTGTTATTCCGGATGATGATGAGCCGGATGATTGGTGAGACCATTTTCGGTTACATTGTCTGCGTGGTGCTAATTGCAATGGCAGGGACAAGCGGATCTTCAGCACAGGCTGCCATAGTATGTTATACTAAATTCGAGTAACAAATGCCATACTAACACATATCAGCTGAGCAGGATAAGATGAATGACTGCTACTATGCAAAGAAGGACTGGCGCGAATGCAAAAAAGAGGTGAGCTATAATATCCGCCAAACCGAACATATATCATTCCACCTAGAGCCATTGGAAGGCCGGCTCTGCAGCGATCGTCATTCCACTTCTTCAAAGACCAATGAATTGAGGAGACAACACATAGCTCCAATTACCCAGATCATACTAACTCTAATCAACACAGATGGAAGCTTTCCGCGAGTGCTGGAAGCGTCAGGGCAACGACCAGCGAACACAAACCAAAGACGCATAATGTACTCTACTCATCCATAATACCATGTTCAAATAGTCTCTTCCAATCAATCCCACTCAATACATACCCGATTATCCCAACATTGACAGATCGAAGCTATCAGATTTACATCACGTGATCGAATATATTCCCCTCGTTGCAAGACCTCCCTGGTCCTTCCCCTATCAACAATACAAACCACGATGTCTGCTCCTCTCCGTATCCGGCCCTGGCGGGCAATTGAGACCCTACAAAATGCGACACAGCTTTCGCGCTCAAGAGCCCCCAATCCAAGAATCAGCCAGCTCTCCAGCCCGATGACCAAAAGAGCTATCAGCTACACGACCAAGAATCAGAGCAACCAACCTGCCGCCAAACCCTCACCTTCACCATCACCCTCATCCTCAACCGCAAAGACCACCCCCTCAGCTTCAACGCCTATCCCAACAGGCGTCCCCGCATCCCGCGTCCCAGGCTCCACCCCCAGCCGCGCAACAACCGAAAATATCTCCAAAAGCGGCTTATCAGACAAACCCCTCGAGCTCGAGCGCCCAACCGAAGATAGAATCGACTGGACGCGCTCTTTCCATGGCCTGTCTGCCGAGCCATTCTCCAAAGAAGCAGCCGATATCCTGCTCGCGGAGACAGAGCCTGACGAGGTCGAGATCAAGCCCGATGGAATCCTCTACCTACCGGAGATCAAATACCGACGGATCCTCAACCGCGCTTTCGGCCCTGGTGGGTGGGGTCTCGTGCCGCGCAGCGAGAGTATCGTTACGCCGAAGACGGTGACGAGGGAGTATGCTCTTGTCTGTAATGGACGGTAAGCTTTGCATTTTCCCTGTCTTCTTTTACAATCTTGCATATTTGGATACTATAGAACCAGAACAAGATAAGAAAACACTCAGCTAACACATTCCTCTTTGCAGCCTCGTCTCCGTCGCCCGCGGCGAACAAGACTACTTCTCCCCAGACGGAATCCCCACCGCTACAGAGGGCTGTCGGTCAAACGCGCTTGTGCGCTGTTGCAAGGATCTAGGCATTGCGAGTGAGCTTTGGGACCCGCGCTGGATCCGCAAGTACAAGGCCAAGTACACGCGCGAGGTATTTGTTGAGCATGTGGTTAATAAGAGGAAGACTAAGATCTGGACGCGGAAGGACGATCCTGTTGGATACCCGTGGAAGGAGACTGGAGGTAAATAGGGTTGTTAGGAGAGTTGGATGGCATGGCTAGGCTTTTACCTGGACTCTGTCAGACTTGTATTATAGAAATCTGTATTTGATATGTGTTGGATTATGGGAATATTATCCGTTTCTCTACTCGGTATTCATTGAAGTGCTTCTATCATGGGTTTCTCTGGAAGTATTAACTAATGGTTGCAGAGTTCTTCTGAAATACGAGGCATATCTCACTTATCAGGTAGATCTTAGCTTGAATGCCTATTATCTCTATTGTTAGTGAGAGTCATATAGATACCACAGTCATATAGTAAACACCGCAATAGAATCAATCGTCTTGAAAGTAAAGAAAGTATATTTGATTTTTAAACCCCCCAAAATCGGGAATAGCATAGCTTCATGCCGCACACCACGAAGGGCGTAAATTTTATGCGGCTCAAAAACGTAGAGAAGAGAATCTATCGACATCATACACATAATATGAACAACCCAAGAAGAAAGAAAAAGAAACAGTAGGTAGCCAAGAACGGGTAATCAAGAAAGGGTCAGTGGCACAAAAAAAAAAAAAAAAAAAAAACAATCAAGCCTCATGCTCCCCATATGGAGACTTATCCTTCTTCCTCAGCGGTGCAGTATTGTAAGCCGCACCCTGTTGTGAGATCGACGGCTGTGGCGGGGAGTAGATAGACGGCGGGGAGACGGGGTCATATCGATCCGAGAGTTGGTAATTGCTGGACGCGGTCACGCCAGAGATATCGGGATTTGAATCGTGACGTTCGCGTGCCGGTGTGTTCTCAACACTGTAACCGCCAACCGGAATTTGATTGTACCCCGTATCGTGGGAGTAGTAACCGCCGTCGAAGGGGTTAGGGTCTGGTGAGCCCACCATCTGGACGGTGCTCTGGGTTTGGTCCTGGCCCGAGTGAGGACGGGGCTCGTAGCGGGCACTGTGACGGGAGCCTGGCTTGGGGGTCTCGAGGATGGGGACTTGGCTTGAGGATGGGGTCATGCCCGCGGGGACTGGGGAAAGAGGAGCGTTTCTGGGCGCATCGTGCTCGTTGTAGGAGACGTGACTGCCGAGCTTGCGGTGGCCGGTTGACAGGCCGCGGTTGAGGCCTTCGCTTCCGGTGTGCACGTTTAGCTGGTTGCCTTGGTTAGAGGCATTGGTGGCAGTGCGATGGAGGGCGTTCTCGTGGCTGTCGTAGTTGTCACGGCCGGCGTCGACGGCTGGGGAGCGGGCGTTGAGCAGTTCGACGATGGCGGCTTCGCGCTCAGCGTTGGTATGAGTTGATCCACGGTGGGTGATTGTTCCTGAACGGGTTTGGTCGTATCCTGTCGATTGGGCTGTGTTCTCGTAGTTGAGGATACCCGCGGCGGCAGCGGCGGCACCGGGGTTGGGCTTAGAAGAGTCGGCACCACCTCCCTGAGCAGACTGGCGGCGACCTGCACCTGCACCAGCGCCGGCATCATCACCCTTGTCATCACCATCTGCGGCGTCCGCGGTCTCTTCGTCGGGAAGGGCAACACCTGGAGCGCGAACCTGGATCTTGCGGACGGCTAGGACCAAAGCACACAGGAACTTAGACCGTCGGGCAGCACGAATAGTCTCGTTAGACCAGTTAGACTTGTGACGGATGTCAACGCGCAGTTGGAGCTTGTCCATATCACCAACGCCATCGAGCTCGATGTCAATATCAGGCTGGAAGTCACGGTTGTTCTCCTTGTCGCGGACGAAGTTCTCCATCTCCTGACGCAGCAATTGAACCTCGGCAAAGCTAGTGTCGAAGGCTACGGGGATGACAAGCTGTTCGTGCATAGCATTGGCGCGAGTAAAGTTATCAACCCAGAGACTGTTTAGAATATTGTTAGGCACCTGCGTGATGCGGGAGTCGGTGACATTGCGGAAGACAGTGAAAAGAAGCGAGATACGCTCGACGATGAAAGGCTTGTCGCTGACCTCGACACGATCGCCGATATCGAAAGGATGCTTGACGAAGAGGAAGATGCAGGAACCAAGGACTTCTTGAGCGGTAACGGAGAAGACGAAACTGAGGGAAAGCAGCGAGGTGGCACCAGCTGCAATGACAGTACCGAATCCAGTGGTCACAAAAGAAATGAAGACAAGAACACCGACCAGACCAGCGACACACATGAGCAGGTTGTCCAGAACACGAATAGCCTGGTCGACATCGTGCATGCTGTGGTTCAGGGCCTTTCTCATGCGTCCAAACTCAGTGATGGTCAGGACCATCTCGTCAAGACTGATATCACCGTTGCCGTCCCTGTCAAGAGCCATGAAGCACTCCTCGGCCTCAGCCTCGTGCTCGGCACCTAGGACTTCAACGATATCATCCATGTACAAAGACTCACGGCCCTCGACAACAAACGACATCCAGATACGTCGGGCCAGGGCAGCAGCGTGGCGCCTGCGCTCGAGGGCTTCGATAACCATGGTGTGCGTCGAAGTCGGGTTAAACACTTGCTTACCAGTAAGCTCCGACGCGACGTGTCCAAAAGCGGCGGTGACTTTGTCGCCAACACGACCGACGTTCTTGCCGACTTGACGAAGCATGCGGAGGGGCATAGCGGATGACCGCTTGCCGCCATTGGTGCCAGCTTGCGCCAGGATGGAGTCGAAAATGAGCGAGTCCTCCTCTTTGAACTCAGGGCAGTAGACGGGGAACATATTGCGCGAGGCCTCGAAGAGGAGAGAGACCAAGTGCACATTGCGCTTGGAGGTCTGGATCTTGGCATCGAACTGCTTGCGGTGGTAACTAATCGAGATGAGCTGCACAAGGGCCTTCTCGGCCAAGTAGATGATGCTGCAGACGAGCAGCGCGAATAGAATATTCTTGATGGTCTTCTCCCACGCCTTGACACCCGTGTCGCCGGACTCCTGCTTACCAGGATTCAAGGTCATAACCGGCAGGAAGGTCACGAGGGAAATAATAGCCCAAATCAAAAGCGCAATGGGAGTCTCGAGGGCGCGCAGAATAAGCGCATACTTGCGGGTGCCGGAGCTGACGATACCGCACAAGAACTGGAAGAAATAAGGAATGTAACGGGCGAAGATCTTGGCCGCCCACAGGCTGACCCAGACAATCTCAATCCAAGTAAAGAACCAGTAGAGATGAACACCACCAATTTTCGCGTTCGTCGCGACGGTAGCGCCAACAATGATCGGAATCGCGATCAAAATCGCAATGGGAAGAACATAAATCAAGTAACGAGTGATGAGAGAGTAATTCAAGACAGCTTGGTAGAAACGTCCCATACGGTTGATAGTACCGTCCTCGGGCGACTCAGCAGGCTTTCCAGATAATTCATTTATATCAGTATCCGTGCGACGCCTGCGGCCAGGACCCCGATGGTGGCCAACGATAGGTGCCTTCTCGGTGGTCTGCGAGGCCCCGTCCTGGGGGCTGGTATTGGTATTCCATTTACGGGCGCCCGTTTGGCCACGGGAAGTCGTCTCCGTGAGTGGGATATCAATGGTCACGTCGTTGGGATTCAACATCCCATTGCCATGGCCCGGCATATCGTGTAGTTGCTCGAATCGGTGAGCTGTCAGTCGCCTGGTGGAAAGACTAAGACTCGAACGCCCCATCGCAAGGAGCTCGGAGGGCAGGCAGGGCCTTTATTGTGTCAATGCAGATCCACCCCTAAACCAATGGGTTCAATTGCGGAGGCGGCTTTCGTGTGGTGGAGACACGCGAAAAAAATAGTCCTGTTATAGCACACCAACGGGTGGTAGCCCTGCTGTGTTTCGCCTCCCCCTCGCCGGGTGAACCAAAAACTCCCGCTCTTTTTTCCCCTCTCGCGACAGCTGCCAGGTTATGGGTGGTATATTGCCGGACCAATGCGCGCTGAACTTTGGCAGTCGATCGTTTAATGTCAATGGTCAAGAAGTAGGTGGAGATGTGGATCGGCGAATTGGGTGCTTTAGTGAGAGATCAACCAAAAGCCGTAAATGTACATATGTACAGTAAACGAATGACTAAATCCAAGAGAGTGTCAAGTGTAAGAGAACTAAAAGAAAGAAAGGAAAGTATTCAAGTAGAAAACGCGAACCCATGGACATGGACGTGTTTCAGCTCCGTTGGGGGGGAACACAGCAAAAATGTGAGACCGCCTTCTTCCCCCCTGTGGAATCCTTTCCAGCCACATCATTCGTTGTTTTTCCTCTTAGTCTGTGTCTTTATATTACCGATCGACTCTAGATTACTCCGTATTGGAGACCCTCTTCTCCATTTCGCCTTACACATACTGTACTCCCCCCTGCAATCTACAAAGTACGTGACCTATCCTCGAACAGGATTAAGAACGCGAATTTCGACATGCAGGTCCACTATGACCCCCACACGTCGATGTGTCTGATCGTCCAATGAACAGCTCACATCAGCGGGTGGCTTAAGATCAAACACAGTCTACGGAGTATTCGGTTAGTCAACGGGGAAGGGGAACAAAAGGCTGATTCTAGATGCATCAGAAGCCCGTAATGGGTGTTGTATTTAATTTATTTATGGAGCGCAGGGAGGGCTCAACCCCAACCCCGATTCACGCCCTCGAGTCAACATGCATCTTCTCTAGCGCAGCAACAACCTGCTTCCTATCCCACCCACCCTCCAACCCCCGCACAACAATATCCTGTTCACTCTCCGGAGCCATACCACTCAGGGCCGGCGGTCTCTGATCCAAATTCGTAGGGAAAGGATACCCCTCGGCCACAGCCTGCACAAAAGCCCTGATCTCCCTCTGCTGCAACGAATGCGTATCAGGATCAAGTTCTTGTCCTGCCAAAACACCCCCAGCGACGCGGAACCGCTCAACTAGTAAATCCCAAATGGCATCAACAAGGGGCACAGAATCAACCGTCTCCATAGGTTTCCCAAACGCACTACTAATCTGTAGCAAGTTTGCAACACGTCGGAATCCCCCGTTCTGAGGATCCATCTGATTCGCTCCCGCAGCATGGAACAGCGCCGGATTGAAAAACAAACCGTCTCCAAAACTCAGCGGTAGCGCAACATATTTCTCCTGGAAGAAAGCACGGAACTCAGCCTTCCGCCACGCCAGATACCCAGGCTTGTACGTCTGACTATAAGGCAGGAACCGCGTTGGTCCACTAGCGACAGGCATATCGGTATGCGCGACCGCCCCCTGTAGAGTCAGGAACTGCGACGTCAGCTGCGTCGTAGCCGGGTACCGCTTGCAAGCTACTTCTTCCTGGAAGCCGAGGTGGTAGTCGCGGTGTGCTTCCTGCGCAGCGCCGCCCGGGTGCACAGCGTTGACTTGGGCTGTTACGCGATATGCTGGACCCAGCCAGGACTCTGCGACTGCTGCTAGCCATGGGTTTGAGTAGTAGTCAATGAAGGAGGAAGGGTCTTGGAGCGCGTGTTTTGAGAAGGAGTTCCAGATGCGATCGTTTGTGCCGCCTACGGCGAAGTGGTCTCCTTTCTTGTTTTCTGACTGTGCGGCTTCGCGCGCGATAATCGCGTTGAACGCGGTGTTTGTGGTGTTTAGGGTAGTTTCGTATTTTGTAGGTGCGTACATTGATCGTAGCACGTAGACGCCTGGGCCTGTGTGGAGGATGTGGTGCCATTCATCTTGGAGGCGGTTGATTAGGTCTGATGTTAGGCCTGTGGATTCAAGGGCGGCGAGGTCGTAGATGGGAATATTGGATTGGACTTCGCAGGCTAGTGGGTAGGTTGCTGGGTTGGTGGTTTGCGAGCAGATGTCTTTGAACTCGGAGAGTTGGGGGGTGGAGGGGGAGTAGAGTCGGGATGAAACTCCGTGGCCATTCATGATTGCGTATATCGTACTTCGGAATCCAATTCGTGCAGAAAGTATATGTATACAAAGTATATCCCAATTGATGTCTTCGGTGAACCGTTTAAATATTTTGCGGGCGGAAACCAATGTCCATCGGCTCCCCGCATTGAGAGCGGATATACGGGGAATACTAAACATCAAGTCGCGACTCGGAAAATGGTGTCCGTTGAAAAAGAGGTTGCGAAAAAAGACCCCCAAAAATTCAAAAATAATAGCAAAAGAGTTCTAGACCTAGATGGGTATCACAGCTATCAAGCAGTATAGTACAGGTCTACCGCTACCACTGAAGCACAAAAGAAAAAAGAAGCCAAATAAACCATTTAGTCCTCCCGGACGCCAAAAGCCAGGAGAACGCCGAGCATAGGAAAAGCCTTGCCTTGCAAGACCAAAATAGCCCATGCATAAAATAAGTGGCATCCGTGTTGTGCCTGTTTCATAAGATCCAAATATTCCCAACCCACGCAAATCTATGCTTGAATTTCAAAAAACGTCTTTTTTAGCCAAAAGCAGGAGCAGGAAAAGAATTTCGTAAACGGTGCGTGACTGGGCACTGGGCACCCGTAGCAATTCATGCATTCATCATGACCGCTCCGAGATCCGATGTGAGGACCGGTTCGGACGGCGTGGGTTGGTTGGTTTTGGATTCGCCCAGGATGAGTGTGTGTTCAGACATCGTCTCGATCAGGGCACTCGGTCTTCCAGTGACGGTGAAGAGGACCTTCATGAGGAGAGTAGGGCCCTGTCCGTTGAGACCGCCTTGGGGTTGGCGTCGGGTGTGGGTGAGCAGCACACGGACCAGTTCCCGGATCGCTCCGTCAGTAGACGGATCGTGGATGGCGTCTAGACCGTCGATTATAAAGACCAGCAGTGGTGGGGCGGATTGTAAAAGGGTATCTACTAGCGATAGAGCGGCTTTCCAGCTGGTGAGCGTTCCATCTAGTTGGCGAAACCGCTCCGCGCTGAGATCCAGCACAGCGTCGCTGTCGACTACAGGGGGCAGCCAGTCGATTAATTGCCGGATTATACTGTAGGTAAGGGCAATTAAGCCTTGCTCGTGTAGATTCAGCCCTTTGGCCTCCTGGCTAGGAAGGGTGCAGAAATGAGAAACGACGGGCAATCGAGCTTGACGTGCAAAGGAGGCATAGCAGGCTGAAATTAGAGCCACCGGGTCGAGGGAGGCAGTAGGCTGAGTTCCGCCCACGGCTAGGGCCTGCGATCGTGAACTGGTAGCCCATTGCTGTAGAGATGCAACGATATTACCCTCGGCGACGACCTTGACATCGGGTTCGTAGTCACAAATCTGATCATCACTATCGAAGAAGTCCTGGAGGTGCTTGGATGAACTTTGGATTTCGAGTCGTCCAAGACGACGCTTGGATCCCCTCGACCATTCAAAAGAAGATGTGTCTATCAAATTGCGTTAGACGGGTGATCAAGCTGCAAAATGTGTATGACTTTGTTACCTATATTTGGAGCTGGAGGCGTAGTTATGCAAACAATGCCACCGCTCTGTTCACTGACCGGCTGCAGTTGTTCGCGCACAGAACTCAATGTTTCTGCCAACAACCGATCCCGACCCTCCCTATACCGAGTACGCTCCTCTGCATCTTGTTGAATCTCCCAAATGAGCCGACGGGTGATGGTATTTTGTGCCGCTATCCGACGGTCTTTCCCCCGACGCCCAACTTGGCTGAGTCGAGACTCCTCCCAAAGTGCCCGAGAGCTATATGGGTCTTCCATCTCCTCGTCAACATCCATGGCCGCATGTTGCCATGGAAGGTTCCGTGCTTGCAGCTGTATATAGAGGACCAGATGATGAAATTCCGAGTACACATCCTGGCTATGCATGTTCAGCAACTGGCACGTGGACCTCCGAACATACCAGTCCATGAATTCGGTCAAAAAGAAAAATATTAGAGCGTAGGTTTTCGTAATATGTGGGACTGCGTTCGAGATTAAGCTAGGATCACTAGGAAGACCTAGAGCATCGTGAATATTTAGCAGGGCAGTAGCTAAGCCCTCCATTACCCGTGGGTAATGTGACGATGCCTGATGCGTTATGTTAGCGATGCATGGGAGACCTGTGTATAGGTGATCCACGCACCTTGATCACTGATTGGAGGACTCCGTAGAATAAGGGGGCATAAGCCATAGAGTCCGGGAGGGTAGAAAGGAGGGTCGCGTGAGTGTCGACGGTAGGAAGGAGTCGATCGCACAAGTTCATGGAGTCGCTAAAGACCCGTTGTCGGGGACGAGACATCCAGAATGTCTTGATGTTGCCGAGTAAGATCTGCACGTCAAGTACCGTCTGTGGCCGCTCCTCCCATTGGACCTGATCCTGGGGTAGGAGGAGGCTGATAAAGCGTTTCCAAGTGTGGGCTAACTCATTGCGTTCGATATCGAGTTCGGCGATGGTGGGGATCCTGGGGAAGAATACGGGTTAGAGAACACTTAAACAGGGTCCAAAGTAGTGATACCACGATGGGTACCAAAAATGGTCTATAGAGAGGCTTACGATGAGATTGGCTTCCCGTCAAAGCGGTGTTGCCAGGCCGGGCTCGGGATGACAGTCTCGGGCATGATGCTGCCCACGGGAGTTAATAAAGACAAAGCAGGTCCTCTTTTCACGACATGTCCCAAAAAGGAGATGCGGGTTTGAGGATGACCAAACAAAAATATGGAGAAGGATGGGGAAGGAAGAATTGGACTCTTGACGTGAAGGGCGGGTTTTGCCGCTCAGAGAGGGGGACGAAGCTAAAAATGAGAGGGAAGGAAGAGAGAAAGATGTGTTTCTATTAATACCTTTACTCTCTTTTTTATTAACCCTCTCTATCTTTTTCTGATCTTAAGGTGATCTAGAGCTGTCTTATCTGACTTTATTTCACTTTATTTTACTATGATTCACTTGTTTTTGTATTTCGTTCTTTTGTTTGTTTTTTGTTTTTCTCTCTCTCTTTTTTTTTCCCACAGTGATACGGAGTAAGAAATGCACTCCGGGCCTGATGAGAGCCGAGGCCCTACCCTCTTGCCACTAGGATAAGTACTCCGTACATACATACATAATAATATACATAATATAAAATATGGATAGCATTAACCTTGGAAGTTATACGACATAACAAGTGAAATGTATAGGTTTAAGTATATTATAGTTATGATTTATATATCAGTTTCAATAAAGCGGGGACTTAACTATGAACACAACTATACTTAAAACAAGTGTCTCCCCGGGTGTTCGCCTCTCCAGATTTCTGGAGACTGGACATCATCAAAGAACTTAATAAGGTTTGGGTCTTTTTCGGTCTTTGGGGGTCTTTTGGTCCATTTCGAGAGCTCACCCCCTCTTTGCTTTTTTTTTTTTTTTTTGTTTTGTCTCTTTCCCTTTGTGGGTCAAAATCCACGGGGTGCATTGATTTAATAGGTATCTGCGGGGGAGAGCGTTGATCGTGGAACAATAATCCTAGAGCTGAAGAAGTCTATTGAAGGTGTCAGATCAAGATGTAAGATCAGACCATGGGGATGACCATGTTAAATGTCTCATGCCTGGGTTGGAGGCAAGTGAAAAAGAAAAAGCGAAAAAGAAAAAGAAAAGAAAAGAAAAGAAAGAATCCCAAGAGCCTAAGAAGTAAGACAGTGGACGGAAGTCCGGGATTTTAATAAACGGGCAACTTGGGCGAATGGACCGAATACGAGAGCGACCGCATCATCGAAAGATCTACCCTTACTTAACCTATGTAGGGTAAGTCCAGCGATGACGTTCATAATGTGATGTGTTGGATCGTCAGGCAATACAGAGTACATAATGGAGTAATGGAGTAATCTATGGTCAATTAAAGTAATAAAGTAATAAAGCAAAGGAGTATCAAGTTAAAAAAAATCCAAATAGTTATCGATAATAGTAATGTACAACCTTGGAATAAATAATGCAATTTATAATACGTTCTAATATAATGAATAAATCATTAAATCCGTCAATCCCAAACTTCCCTAATCTCCCTCTTATCCGCTTTGATCCCCCCCCAGCCCTGTTAGGGCCGATCCTCTCCCCTCATTTTCTGGTTTTCCCGGTTTCTCTCTTTTTTTATGCTCTTCTGTTCTTGACTAATGTGACCCCCACATTAATTCCATTCCGCCGTCTCCCGCATAATGGGGCTGTTTCTTTTCTTTCTTTTGTTCTTCTCAGTTCAAGCAGAGGTCGTCTCGCTACCGTCAAATACAACTATCCAGATCCAATCCACTGGGTTTCGTATTGAGGGAAGCACTCTGACTGGCCAGAAGCTTGTCCCCTTAGCCGACTCGCTGATTCAATCAACCACTGCCCAACTCAAGGTGCTATACGCTCTACGCAATTGGCGGGGAGCACTGCTGACATCTACCAGTCCTTTAATGTTTCTGGCACTGCCACTCAAGTCATCCCAAGCAATTCCCTCAACTTAAAGAGTTCGCAAATCGCCTGCATATCTTGCGACCAGGACGACTACACTGGAAACATCCGAGTTGACGAGACAATTGAATACGTCACTTCTGCTCAATCCGCTGCAGCCATTCTGCTATACAGCAAAACAGCTACCGGCTGCAATTTCACCTCCGATGATCAGACCGCTGCGCGTTATCCCAATATCTTCACATTCACAACCCGAGGTGGCTATTCTGCACTACTCGGTGCTTTCGATCAATCAACAACTATCAGCATCGTCTCAATGTCGTACCTCTCCAGTGTTCCTTCCGACAGTGATGCCGGTGGCACGAGTGACAGTCCCAACACTGGTTCGTATCCCGACCCCTCTTACCCCATTCAATCCATTGACTTGCCCTCCCAGCGATGATCATCCTGTACAGTATCACGGGTATTATCACCGCTCTGTTCCTGGGTATTATCATCACGGGTGCAGTTCGGGCTCATCGCCATCCGGAGCGATATGGCCCTCGCCGGATTGCCGGACGAGTGCGGCAAAGCCGGGCGCGAGGTATAGCGCGAGCCATGTTAGACACTATACCGGTTGTCAAGTTTGATGACAAAAACGATGACGTGGAGGCCGCCAAAAGAGACGTTGAGATGGTGGGCGCTGAGGATCGTGAACACTCCCAGGCCGATGGGAACACGGGCGTATCGACGCCCCACGAGTCTGAAATGCCAACCCCAGACGATAACGAGCGCCCCACTCCCACAGCCCCCGAAGCCAAGACCGAGATGCCTGACACAGGTAACTTCTCGTGTCCGATTTGCACAGATGACTTCATCAAGGGTCAGGACCTACGTGTACTACCCTGCAACCACCAATTCCACATGGAATGCATTGATCCATGGTTGATGAACGTTTCTGGCACCTGTCCCCTTTGGTATGTTCTATTTGATAATGATATTGATATCAAACTCAACTTCCATGCCTAAACCAAACTAACAATAATCCCAGCCGTATCGACCTCAACCCACCCCAACCTGAAAACTCAGAACAACCTGAAGAAAACACTGAACAACCCGACCATGCATCCACAGAGGGTGGTCCAGTCCTAACAACAGAACAGGCCCGTCAGCAAGCCCGTGAACAAGCCCGCCACACGCATCGCCGTCTAACCAACTACCTTCACGGACCCCTCAACGCCCGACGAATGCGCGATGCTACCGTTGAGGAGCGTCTTGCCGCGCTCCGACATGTCCGTGAAGCAAACCAAGGCGAGGCCGCGCCCGAAGAAGGATCACGTCGTGGTCTGACCACCCGACTACGCGATCGCTTCCGTATCCGAACACGCGCTCACGGTGCCGAGGCTGAGTCTTCCGCTGACGCCGAAAATGCTGCGCCTTCTCCGGCGGCTCCGGCGCCCGTCCATCTCACGCCGTCTACTGCATGATGATTTCACTCCTTCACATATCACTCCTTTACGTTTTGCATATATTTTCGATTTACGATTCAGATGATCTCAAGGTCCTCGTTAGGAAGCTACATGGCGTTTTTTTTTTTTTTTAAGTGGGTTATGGTTTTCCTCTCCTTGTTTATTTTATGGATTGTTTGAATGAGCATTGGCGTTCTTTTGAATGGGGGTTGGAGGAAAAGAGAGACTGGTTTTTCTCGGTGATTGTATCTGCTGGTTTCTTCTCTGCATATACTTTTTTGTATATCATGAATCTAGGGTCACATACATTTCAATTTACATACATTTCAATTTACATACATTTGGCATATCTCTCTTGGCATATATCTCAGGAGGGATATAGTATGTGGAGGTAGAAGTATAATATTTTCTTATCACGAGGACCCGAGGTCTAGACTTGGATCGATGTTCATCCGCATCATCGATTCACGAGCTATCATCTCATTTGTCCTGGTTGTTCTTGACCAAAATATAGTAGAGGCTGTGCCAGGTCAGCAGGGAGCAGTACCATGGGTTCGGCAGCTTTATCTCGAGAACCAGTATCAGACCTAATCCATGGATCATTGCCTATCTTGATTAAGAAATCCATGCATATATGAGGCCTTATTAACACTCATATAAAACCCGATAGAGTCCCATGACATTAAGATCGCCAGGCACGAGTCATCCTGTGACCGATTGGCTGATCTCGGATTCGAAGGTTGCATCAGTGGCTGACATAAATCTGGTTTAACCGGACCCGCGTCCATCATATAAACGCCTGTGGACCGTTTTACGTATTTGGGGTATGTGAGGGATATATTATGTACTCAAATATCTCTTCATCTGTAAATCATACATATTATTACGTTCACAATGCACCATAATAACACTCTAAGGGGATATTATCTCTGCCCTGTGGGGAACACAATCGGAGACTACTGCCCTTAACCGTTTATCCCCCCAATTTCGCCTTTCTTTCTCCCGAAATCCCCGTCCCGGGATCCTCCTGATGAGTTATTTTCGTCCCCTCACGAGTGTGGGGGAATGACACATACATGGAATTACTGTATGGAGTACGGAGTAGTTCGAGTGCCATTGAGAAGAGATAGTACAGAGATAGTACTTGCGGAGTACGGAGTAGTGTAATTTGAAAATCAAACTACTCCTTACGGACAATATATACAAACCCCTGAGCCGAGACCTATGTTGTATCATGCAACAAGCTTGGCCTTCCAGAAAAGTCTCCACAGTGCGTCTTTTTCTGTCGGCGCTGTATGACACACTGTTTCTAGTCGGGTGTAGCCTGTCGGAGAGGGGAAATGTGTTGGGGGATTTGCAATCTGTTTATTTAGATTTGGTATTCTGTGTCTGTATCTGTGTTACTGAAATAAGATTGAATCTAATAGTTCTACTGTTGTTTAGATATACAAATGTAGATATACTCGCATGTGAACTAGAACGGGAAAGATACGGCAATTCGTCCCTCGGTATCTTGTGCGCCGAGGATATATAGATATCTAGCTAAATAAATATAAGAGACAGAGACAAATACCTCCAAATAAAATACTACGGAGTATAACACACATTTTGTACTTCCTAACGATAATTCCATTACAAACGGTGTGCGCTGATTCCCCCAAGACAACCCCACCCCCTCACTCCATCCGGTGAACGCAAGCAGGAATATCCCGTTTCGGTGTCAGATTCCGGGGAAAGAAAACTTACGTTGGGGAAATTTCGGGTATAATTTCACCATGACTCCGATTCAATCTGCCAGAGATCGTCTTTCTTCCCTATCATCACACATCATGGGTTCCTCTAGTCCTTCAGTATTTACTGCGGCCACTGTGGCTGCCGCCCCCGAAGATCCTTTGTTTGGCCTTATGAAGGCCTATCGCGAAGACCCCTCCGATAAGAAGGTTGATCTGGGTATTGGTGCCTACCGCGACAACAACGCGAAGCCTTGGATTCTCCCTGTTGTCAAGAAGGTAGCTATCCATCTCTATACTTCTATCTTGATTCAGTTATCTAAAATCTACATCTATAGGCCGATGACGCCATCCACAACGATCCCACCCTCAACCACGAATACCTCTCTATCGGTGGTCTCGCAGAGTTCACCTCTGCAGCCCAGAAACTGATTGTCGGCGCAGACAGCCCTGCAATTCGTGAAAAGCGAGTACGTACCTCTCCCTCCTCCCATATCCCTTCCGATAACCCCCACCCCGCCCTCAGGACCAAACTAACCCACCCCAACTAGATCTGCTCCCTGCAAACAATCTCAGGCACCGGCGCCGTCCACCTCGGCGGCCTCTTCCTCTCTAAATTCCACCCTCAAAAGCCCGCAATCTACCTCTCAAACCCAACATGGGCAAACCACAACCAAATCTTTACAAACGTCGGCCTGACGCTAGCAAAGTACCCCTACTTCTCCGTCAAGACAAAAGGCCTTGACTTCACTGGCATGATCGCAGCCCTCGAAGCCGCCCCCCATGGCTCTGTTATTCTTCTACACGCCTGCGCACACAACCCAACAGGCGTCGATCCCACCGAAGACCAATGGAAGCAAATCGCAGCGCTAATGCGCTCCCGCTCGCACTTCCCCTTCTTCGATACCGCATACCAAGGCTTCGCATCCGGCGACCTGGTCCGCGACTCCTGGGCCATCCGCTACTTCGTCGAGCAGGGCTTCGAGCTGTGCGTCGCGCAATCGTTCGCCAAGAACTTCGGTCTTTACGGTGAACGTACTGGCGCTTTCCACTTCGTCTCTGCCCCGGGTCCGGATGCGGCTGCTGCGTCCGCGCACATCGCTTCTCAATTGGCTATTCTGCAGCGATCGGAGATCTCCAACCCGCCTGCTTACGGCGCGCGTATTGCTAGTCGTGTGCTTAACGATCCCGAGCTCTTCAAGGAGTGGGAGGCGGATTTGCGTACGATGAGTGGTCGCATTTTGGAGATGAGACAGGGACTACGGGACCGTCTTGAGAAGCGTGGTACTCCTGGTTCGTGGGATCACATTACTTCCCAGATTGGAATGTTTAGTTTCACCGGCTTGTCTGAGGAGCAGGTTATGACGCTGCGCTCCAAGTGGCATGTCTACATGGTATGTTTTGACATTCTTTTTCGTTCGTGTATTGTATTGGATATACGATGTCTGGGATTGCGCTAACTCTCTTTTTTATCACTACAGACAAAGAACGGCCGCATCTCAATGGCCGGCTTGAACACAAATAACATTGACTACTTCGCTGAGGCGGTTGATAGTGTTGTTCGCGAGTCTGCTAAATTGTGATACCTCCCTGATACCCCGGTCTTGACATAGAGTGGAAACACTCGGAGGGACTTGGTCTGGCGTTCTATTTGCTTTTTGAAAGCTTTTTTTTTGGTGGAAGTCCGGAAGGACTTTCATTATGCAGCAATTTATGATATTCTGGGACTTCGGTCCCAATTTCGCATTTCTGAATCCTCTAATCCGTAGATAGTGGGCCTGGGTGGCATGATATATCACATGCATCACATGTAAATCATAGACTATAGCAATAGACTATAGCAATCTGGCATTGAACTAGCGTGGGACTAAGTTTTCAATAGTTTTTCTACTCCGTACAGTATGCCAATAGAATTGACGCCTCGTTTTGAGATATGATTCCTATTTGTTTGGCCATACTGGCCGTCAATAGTAAGATGCAGCCTAACAGCCAGACAAAATAACTACGGCATCATAATTAGGGGGAAGACTGAGACAATGCGCTACATTTTAACGAAATAGACATAATGGTTTCTGGTATCGTATGGAATGGCTATTCATGAAAGCATCTGAGATAAACCCGTCTAGCAGTATCGGGACTAAAAGACTAAATCCCAAACCACAAGCCAGGTACACAACCCAACAGTCCCCCAGAAGACAGCCTGCGCTGTACTCCGCCGCTCAGTAGCACGCTTCAACTCACGATTTCCCTGTCCCACATTTGTCTGTGTCGTATCCACATCCGTAATAAGCTGAGAAATATGCTCCTCCTGCGTAGCGAGGTGAGAGACAAGAGTTTCCTGCAAAGAGGAGATCTCAAGGAGAGATTTCTCGGCGTTTCTAAAAGAACACTGTTATTAGCATAATCCAACAAAACCAATTCCAACCCCAGCCACGTCAAAATGAAGGAAGAAACATACTGGACCTTCCCCAACGTATCCTCATAATGCTTAAGCATAGAATCATTCTCTTCCGCAAAAAGCTGCAACTGCTCGGGCGAAAGCTGCGCCTCGATCCGCGCCGTATCCGCTTCACTCAGAGTCGCCGCATCAGGCGCCTGGAAAGTAGGATCGAAGGAACCCGCGCTTGCACCTGTACCTCCAGCTGCAGTCCTCTCCGACACAGAAACAGACCCCTTCCGAGGCCCAGCGCCATTCCCACCAGCAGGTTTCCCCGCAGCAACCTTATAAAGCACACTCTTCTCCTTCTCTCGTACCCTCTCAATCCTCTTCTCGACCATCCGACGCTGCACACCAACAGCACACTCAAGTCCGCGCCTCAGGAACCAAAGCACGCTCTCGCGGACTGTTGCTATCGACCGCGCGCTCTCCTCTGCGCGGATTTGCTCAGCGGATTTACCCTCGTTGTCTGAGCTGGAGCTATCTAGTGCACCGCCACCGCCGGCCCAGCGCCAGAGGAGGGCGCCGGCGGCAGAGTGGCCGTATTTCTTGTGGAGGAGGGTGGACGATGTTTCTTGGCGGAGGGATTCTGCGGAAGAAAGGTTTGCGATTGAGGTTGCTAGGTCGCGGAGGAGGAGGGCCGTTGATGTGTCGACTGCATCGCGCTCGGGGTCTGTGAGGTTTGTTTGGGCGTTGGCGGTTGGGGGTGCATTTTTGGGGTTGGGGGTTAATGTGTTTTGGCGGCGTTGCGGTTGCGTTGTTGAGAGGTAGGCGTGGCGGATTGATTGGAGGTATTGGAGGAGGGAGTGGATGTGTGAGTTCTGGGTGGACTTGTGTTAGAGGTTCTGTTTTGCTTTGCTGGGGTTTGGGTATAGTGGGTGTGAGTGAATGCGGAGGGCGTGGCTTACAATTCGGTATGCCTCCTTTAGGAACTCGTCGGCGGTTTCTGTGCAAGGTTCTCTGGTTTGGGGGATTGATGAGCCTTGCTTTGAAAGCAAGTTATTGAGGGTTGGTGTTAGGTCGGTCATTGTGGGAGTGGCATGGTCTGATATGTGAGTAGTGTTGTTGCTATACTGTACACTTGTCGATCAACACCCAACGTCACTGCGCGGATGGTCTATGCCGCACCCCGTATTTGTTTGTTCCTGGGGTATGGAGTACTTGGAGCAGAGATGGGATGAGGAATGTCACTAACTATATAAATTGTTTTTAGTATCTGTTGCTCTTGCTTTTTATCATGCAACTTATCAATTCTCAGGTGGTATTACATCCACACGGAACTAACCCATCTCTATAACCACTACACTGCATGACCTACATCACATCCATCTACAATGGAGGAACGTCAAGTCCATCTTTTGCGAGTCTGTCCTGGAGGCCCAGATGGTGATGGTACACTGTCAGTTATCTCAAGCGACAGGCGCATATCTGATGAAATCCAGAATGCACGCACAAACAGAAAGGTGAAGACGCTGATTCCGATCGAATCAATTACGAGGCTGAATGAGTTGGAGCTGGAATATGGTCTTATCAGGAAGAACCTTGGCAGGATCAAAAGCAATAGTGTTTGTTTGTATGCCACCGACGATCACAAACCGTACGAGTACGAACTGAGGGAGGTTCCTGAGAATTGGAGGGATTGGGAGGAGACTGCGAGTGCTTTGGCTTTTGGGGTCTTGTTAAATGGTGCGGTCTATGACCCTAACCAGATGCTTAATATTAGGCAGCGTTTGGACGAGGACCGTCATCGTGAGATTAATTTGAAGTTTAGAACATGGGGCAGTAGTGTTAATGGCCTCTGGATTGGAGGTACAGCTGAGTTTGAGACTGAGAAGAGAGAGACTGGAAAGTCAAAGAACTGGGAGACCGATCCTGAATAGGAGACTAGAGAGACACGGGGTGGCTTTGTTATGGACATCTAGCCAACGCCTTAAGCAAATTTGAATTCAAACAAATTCAACACATTGACACGTATCAACTTATGACTTACTTGGTTGATCATGGGGCGTTGGGGATATTTACAGGACACTATAAAGGATGACCAGACCAGGGAATAATAACCATGAAACTGGAAGTCTGATATAGCCTATTCTTGTAGTTGTCATCCACAAGTCCACAAGTGGCGACAACCCTGCAGGCTAGGGATTGGCATGACATCGATGGATAGTGCACTTGATAGGTCATTGACACTTTTTTTTTACAAGGATCTGAAATTATCAATAAAGACTAAGCATAAATCGCCTTCTGATTGGCGGAAACTACCATGACTATACTTCTGACATTAAACGTACCGTTTAATGTCAGACAAGGAATCAGCCAGGTTTCATATATGCCGGCCAGACGTCATTTTAGTGACACAGCTTGATACATGTGGTTTGCCTCTACTGTATCAGATATATTACTTGCTTAAAAACACCTTCATCTACCTTTTCCAACATTTACCAAATTCAACAATTCCATCTTCCATCATACACACATCCAAAATGGCGCGTCCACCTCAAAATAAGCAACCAGCAGCAACAACTACTGAGCTGCCCACCCTAAATTCAACCCCATCCATCACACGGTCGATCACTTCATATTCCATGCCTCGCCAAAAAGACCCGCTAGTGTCAAGCTTTGGCAATGCCACTGATGCTACAAATGACCAAATCCGCGAATACCACCATCAAGTTAAAGCAACTCTCACAAACATCCTCAACGATGACCGGGTGAAGCACGATCCCAGCGGAAGTCGCTGTGTGCAGAATATACTGTTGGAAAATGAGCAGAACATGCGGAAGCAACGGAGACATTCACTTAATACATGTTCGGCTAAGCGAACGATGCTTTCCTAGATGGACTAGCAATACAACAATCAATCATGCTTTTTCTCGTTGTTACCAGGGGAAATGAGTATCAATAGATCCCTATTGAGTCCCGGCAACAAACCTCTCAACATCCCCGATCATATGTTTACCCAAGCGAAGCCTCTTCCTGATTTAGGTGGCCCAAGAGCCTACCTACAACATTCTCCTAAATGTAAACCCAGATCAAAAGAGAATTACATTAGTATTCCTCATGCACTGACCGTATTTTCATGCTAAATATGCAAAACAGGGTATAGATAAAAAAAAAAAAAAAGAATCATGCTAATATATCAACAGAGAAGAAAATCCAATCATGCATCAAATCATAGAGCGTTCTTCCACCCATATCTAGACAACAACACCAGTTAGGAAATGCGATTCTCGAAAAACCATAAAAAGACAGATAAACTCACCTCGATCTTCCCCATCTCACTTCTCTCCCGCTTAGCAACTTCCTTCGCCGAACTAACCAGCAAATCCAGATCTTCCTGGTCTACCATGGTAATCATATCTCCATCATCCTGCACCTTCATCTTTAGAGGACATTTGAACCCGAACTTCTCACGAATCCGATTCTCAAATTCCCCAAACTCAATCTTCGGCCCAATCATGATATACCTAGTGTCATCAGGAGCGTGTACTTTGACTCTAAATTTCTGAATCTCTGGTCTCCTTGGATTCGCATGACGGGAGTATCGCGTCGGAGAGCGAGTACGACGTTGTTGGGATGACTGGCTTGGACCAGCTTGAGGCGCGGCGACGAGCTCGAAAGCGCCGTCGTTGAGGGTCGTTGCATCGCATGTGTCGCTGCCATATTCTTCCTCTTCGTCGATATATTGCGGTGGTTGGTGGCGGGATCCACGACCCCAGCCCGTATTTGCTAGATTGCGCTGGCTTGAGTATGGATCGTACTGGTCTGTATGGCCGTAGTCTGGTTCCGGTGCGTAGGCTGTGTTTGTGTCGCTGAGGTTTCTGCGGTGGCCGGCTTGTTCGCGGGTTAAGCTGCTTCGACTGCTTTCCTGGTATCCGCGCATGTTATTTTGTCGTGTGGATGGTCCGCGCGGCTCTGAGGCTGTTCGCGTCGTTCCTATCCGTGGTTTCTCGGTGGATGTTTGTTCCTGTGGATAGGGTCGGCGGTCTAGGCTGGCGCCTGTGCGATCTAAGTCTAGACGAGGTGGGCGGACGTTTCGGAGAGATGATGTTCGGTGGTGTCCGGATGCTGATCCTGATCCAGAGGCTGTGCTTACGGATCGGTCATCTGGTGGTGGTGTTGGAGGGAATACGTTGCGGTTTAGGGGTGGTTCGGATTGTTGACGAGTGCGACTGCTGAGGTTTTGGCGGACTAGGTTGGATGCGGCGAAGGAGACTCCTTCGCGACCTTGGAGGGCTTCTTTGTCAATTACTATTGGATTCCATTGGTGGTCTGATGATTGGTTGCGGTCCGATGCGGCAACTAGGCGAGCCTTGCCTAGATAGTCTTTTGTTTTGAGATTCTTGACTTTGGCTGCATTGGGGCGATAGAGAACTCCCACTGGGATTGAGAAGACGGTATAACCCTGTATTTCAATTAGCTTGTATCACTGCGTATTGATAGAATCCACATACATCTGCATTCTCCCGGATAGCATCGTCAATCACATCGTGGTCTGGGGTAACCTTTTCCTTGGCTGCATACTCGAGGTCCTGGATACCTGGATTCATTTGCCGGAGGTAGATATAGCAGAGACCGCGATTGAACAGGACTTCGCATGAAAAGAGGCGGAATAGGAGACCCAACTGTTCATAGTCGATAGAAGTATTCCCTCGCAGGTACAGCAAGGTGTCATTAAAGTTGGCCAACGCTTCTTCGAAGTCCCCGATCAAGAAATTAGATACACCTTGCTGGAAGTAAGCGATTGCTAGATACCGGTCTAGGCCGACAGCACGTTGATAGCATTCTACCTGCAGCGAAATTAATTAGCTGTATAAAACACAACATCTCATAAGTTCACTTACTGCTTTATGGTGCTCGCCTATCGTGGCATAGATCACTCCGCAGTTGAACAAGATCTTTGATGTGTCGGCAATCTGATCGAAGCATCGCAGGGACTCTTCGAATTCTTGATTATCATAGGCATCAAGGGCCTGCACCCATGTTTCGATTTCCTATTCGACCACAATGTCAGTATGCTTAATGTTCCGAGGTCACAGCAGATAACACTTACTTGTTTGAGCGACATTGTCCCGGAATCTACTAAAGTATTTACCTGAGTTTCTTGTGCCTAGATGATATAGATTGGGGAAAGACTTTGTAGGTACTTTCCAACCAACTCTCTAGGGCACGGTATATTTCCGTAGGTATCCGCCAGCTTGTGGGCTCACCAGCGCAAAGCCGGGAAAGCGCAATTATATTATAATCGCCAATGGATGGCCAAGAACCCAGTCGGTGTGACGAAAAAACCTTAGGGTTGATAAAGGGGCCAAGAACCACCTGATGGGGCGGAACGAGCGGGGAGAGAGGCGGGTTGACGGGTTGAAGTCCAATACTCCGTACGGTAATGTGATATCCCGAGCTTGAGGTGAGAAGGCTGGGATATCCGGAAATGTTATTTATAGAATACTTAGACTTAGGTATCCTAGAATCGGTGATATCACAATTTGAGAAAGTAATTGGTTTAATCTGACGGTTGGAGAGTGGAGATGAGGGGTGACCCAGCAACTTGGGCAGAAGGATTGTAGGGTTAACGGGATTAGGGGGGAAGAAAGAAAGAAAGGAAAACAGAAAAAAGAAAAGATGAAATTATCGAGAAAAATAAAATCAAAATAAAATCCCAAAAAAGTCAGAAAAGACAAAAAAGACAGAAAAGCAAAGAAAAAAAAGCCCAAATCTTAGAGAACCTGCAGAGGGGCTGCATAGAGGGGCAGGGGGGGAAGAAAAGATGTACTGGAAAGGCTACTTTGACCGAGTGATGGGCGCAGATGGGACAAAAATAACCCGCTTTGCTGCAGTAATTATGCACGTCTTGATCAATAGGATCTCAGAGAAGCAGTTTCGTACTGGCCGGGTCTGTGAGTGGGCAGATTTTCGATAGTATACTGTGGTAACACGCCTCCTCAGTCGGCCAATATTCTATGAGCTTTGACATCCAAACTCTTTTTGACGTTGGACTTTCTATAATTGATCTGTGACCCTGACCCATCACACAGGCTCGCGTCTGGACAGTGCGGGGACTTTTCTCTTGGAATTTGAATCTGGTCTATCGCGTGGGAGAATTCACAATTCATTGGTCCTCGGCCCCCTGTCACTCAATTCATTCCCCGCCACGGCGCTTGCAGTGCTTTATTTAGAGTTGAACAGGGCCCGAGTGTATCGATTATCCAACATCTCGCTACCGATTCTTGAAAAGGAAGTAGGTTTTCTCGAGATAGTGAATTGTTGATCCGTACATAGTCCTAGAGGCATCGTCCTAGGGTTCCCGGGCCCAATGCTCGCTCCACAGGGCTATATATACACTTCATGACCTTTCCCTTTTCGTTTTAGTGCTCACCCTCGATATTTGATCTCCGGTGTTCCATGGTTCATTTTGAGGTGTTACACACGCCAACTTCCAATGTTATCCCTCATACCATCTGATTGAAGTGGATGATTTGGTATATTGGACTGGACATGACGTGTGTTAGGCCTGTCATTGTCCCCTTGCCAAGTCCCAGGTGGTGGTGCATCGGGCAAGAACGGCCGATGACCCAAACATACCGAGTCGGCCCACATCAACACCCCAACAATAAGAATTGTGCCAGGTCAATTGACGGTTATGAATATCCCTCCAACTTGAAGATGTATACAATTTACCTGCAGCCGTCTATATGTGCCAGCTGGAGGTGTCCAAGAGTTTACTTCCCATGGTTCACGATGGGCCCGGCCCGATCCGCCCACCAGATATTGATATCTATGGATGAATCGTCGACGAGAGACCATTCTTCAGCGCATACAGACAGCACAGTACAAAATTAGACATACTGATCGACGGGTCAAATATGACAACCTAGGTGTTGTTAATTTGGTAATCTCCACAAGGCTCTTAGGCCGGCACGGAGCCTGCTCAATTGCAGGGCAAGATACTGGCATCGCAGTGCGTTTTTAGTCCACCCGAAGACTGGTAATGGTAAGCATCTTTTGACCCCGAGACTTCAACCCTACAGCTAAAGAGACCAGCATATTCTAGAGCCTGGTATCAGCATAAATCATAGGACAGAATCTCTCCGGAGTCCGCCACCATGCGGGGCCTGCAAGACGGCACATCTGCAACACGGACAGGAAATATCCCATCATGTGAGAGCATAGAGAACTCGGTGAGTGTAGGTTTCCAGGCTCAATTGGGTGCTTGGCGTGGGTCTAGATATACAAAAATAGGCACAAAGGGACACCGCGGGTTGAAAAAGCTAAGAGGCCTCAAGTCATGGATGGTCGTTCTGTGATATGGCCTGGTTAATGCCGCGCAGAGCGCCATATCAATCATCATTGGCCATCGAGGGCTCCCTTTTGCTCCGTGGTCCACTACCCTGCACTGACTTTTATATTTAGCAACTGCAATCTCCGCTTTCTTTTCCCTACGCTTGTAGATCAGTTCTAACGGGAAGGTGTCGACCGCCTTGAGTGTGATTTGTGCTGCAGAAGTGCTTCCTGTGCTGCATCTAATTGCTAGATGGTCTCTATAATTAGGTGGACTCTCCACCACCAGGCCTTCGATCATTGGTCTACGATGCTATTGGCTTGATACCACTGACCGTGCAGCCGACTTCTAGCTGATCACCCAGGTAATTGTGACATTGATGCGTAAAGCAAGAAGTTAGATTCCTTGCTTGACTCAGAGACCTCCATAGTTGGCCAAGCGGAATGTCTGGAGCTAAGCCTGATATGCTCACAGACACCCTCTACCTATCCATGTACATAGGAAGGGCTGTCAGACCCACAAATACCCACATGCACGTTGAGCTATTTGCATCATGCATGTCTGTACCTTGCGTTGCAATTCTGTTTGCGTGTTCAGACTATAAAGGATTGGGCAGCCCGAGATAACCTTGCAAGCTGCAAAGATATCATGGCGGATGTATCTATGTGTGGAGTTTCTACATAGATTATAAGTAGCGCTCAAATTCGAGTCTGCTCAGAGGTATGATAGTGGCCGTCTAGTAACCTCGTATGCCAATTGGAAACTCAATAAAGGTGGCGTGCGGCATCCTGGCTGTTTATCCAAGTTATCGCTCTAGAACGGACGCCTCGGGTTCTAGGAATATCTTGTCGGATTGCGGTGGAATGCCCGTCTATCGCGCATGGTCATTCATAGGTTTTGTATCGTATCTCCAATCACAGCCCGTGCAGAAAGAAGGAAATAGTTGCATGTATTCCTGCAGGGATATCACTCAACATCCGTCTGAACATATATTTCAGTTACTTCCAACAGCCTTCACGCCTAGATTTTTCACAGATAGAATAATCCGAGTTGAAATTTGATATATATTTCAAATAGCATGAGCTATATCAAGCCTTCATATAGTGGACGTCTTCGCTCCCAAGTTATCTTCGTGTGTTACTAATTGAGCAAAAAAGGCGAACAAAATACCGATCGACAGCATGTGAGCACATGTAGACACGGGAAGCAAGGATAGATAATCTATTTATATCAGAAATTGACTAGCTAATGCCGGTAACAGAGATTATGGATGTAATCTCCATGTGGAAATCCGGAGTAGTGGTTGGTGATCGAGTACCCCACCCCGGCGCTTAAGAGCTTTTTTTGGACCAGGGAAGGTTTTCGAAATATCAGGGATAATTCCGTAGCGTCGTTGAGAGGAAATTACGCAGCGCTAACTACATTAGACATCGAGTACAATTCAGGTGCATCGAGCAAAATTTAGGTAAGTTCCAAAATTCGGCCGGGAATATTACCGGCCGAGGTTGATTATTCAACGCTGAAGATGACTATAGAAACCGAAACATATAGGGAATACTTTATTTACAGCTTAGCAACCATCTTGTTGCCCTTTTGGAGCAGAACAGCGGCATCTCCGACGAGCTCATCAACGATAGCCTTGGCAGACTTCTTCTCGTTGACAACGGCGGCAACCTTGCCCATCAAGAAAGGACGGGCATTGTCCAAAGTGTCATCATCGACATCATCGGGCAGGTTCTCCATATCGTGCTCGACGGGGATGATACCCTTGGAGGTGAGTTGCTTGATCTCCTCGTGGCGGTTCTCCTCCCAGTTGACGATGTAAGGGTTCTTGCGAACACGGAGGGGACGACCCTATACCATTTGTTAGCAACCTGAACATCCTGATAATACCATGACCAGGGAATACATACAGTGAAGATAATAGTACGGATGTTATCCTCGAAGTTGGAGGTACGGACGGCCTCTTGGTGAGCGACAGGGGCACCGGCCTCATCAGACAGGATGAAGCGGGTACCAATCCAGACAGCGGAGGCGCCGAGCATAAGGGCAGCAGCAACCGAGTTACCGTTGAAAAGACCACCGGCCGCGATGACCTGCACGGGCTGGCCAGTCAGAGGGCTCTTCTTGCCCTCGACCAACTTGGCAACGGTGGGGATGAGGACAGTGGTAGGGACATCGCCGGTGTGACCACCGCCCTCACCACCCTGGGCGCAGATAATATCAACGCCAACATCAAGGGCCTTCTGGACGTGCTTGGGGTGGCCGATCATGTTCATGCAGAGGATGCCAGCACTGTGGAGCTTATCGACGACAGCCTTGGGGGGGGACACCGACAGCGGAGACGAAAAGGCTAGCCTTTTCCTGGATGATAATATCAACGAGCTCACCGAGCTTGCCCTTGGTGTAGTCGTAGCTATTTACCGAAACAAAACGCGATTAGCATGTGTCAACAACGGAAAAAGTACCGCAGTGGTCGAAGGTTCTTACTTGGTCTTGCGAGCACTGCCGCCAACCTGGGGAAGGAGAAGGTCGACACCGAAGGGGGCGTTCTTGTTGTGCAGGTAGCTCTTGAGTTCGGCGATCTGCTCGCGGAGCATCTCGGGGGTGTAGCCAACGCCACCGATAACACCCAGACCACCGGCGTTGGTGACAGCGGCGGCCAGCTTGGGTCCCGCAGCCACGTTCATGCCTGCCAGCAGGACGGGGTGGTTGATCTTAAGCAGATCAGTGATCGGGGTACGGATTTGTTCTGTTTAGTGGTCATTGTTAGCATCGATGTTGTGGCCATGTGCCTATGTGGAGCCCTTCGTCATGTAGAAGGAGATCACATGGAAATAATGGATAGAGTAAACATAATATTAATGTTGGAAGATACTTACGAGGAGACGCCATTATGAAGGTATGTGGAGTGAAGATAATAGAAAAAAGAAAACCTGGGGAAGAGGAGGGATGGGGTTGCAGCCTATAAAGCAAAGCAACCTCGGTGGTTCACAGACTCGCGATGAGCCTCGGTCCACACGACAGACCGAGAGATTAGTCACGACGTTACGACCCGCGGCCATGGAACTGCCGTGGCGGGGATCGAGTTGGACACCTGAGGCAGAAACTTTCACGTGTCTACCCCAGAATGCGGATTCCGCGCGACTCTGCTCTCTACACACTCGTGGCTCCGGATGTACTGTCATCCGAATAGACCCCAACCCCTGTCATAGAGCGGCGTCGATGTTGGTGCAGCCCATCTAAGGTGATAGTACTTCAACGACAAAGTCATCAAATCGGATAAATGGTCCATGTGTAACACAGCACGTGATTCTGGGATTTGGATTCATGTTGGACTTTATGCATGGGTTGGATGACCCCTTACAATTTTGCTTGCAAAAGGCCATCAGATTTACTGCTCCTTAGGATCAAAAGTTCACTCTTGACAGCTACATCCCACATAGTGGGATTTCAGGAGCACAATATTTACAAGAAAAGAAAAGAGAGAACATGCGACTATATTTTGCTTGTGTCGGTCGGCAACTAATGGCGGAGCGAAAGGAGAGAAAAACAACGGATCCATCTATCTACTGGAGGGAGGGAGAGAGAGAGAGAGAAGGAGAGACAAGCGACCAGTTTTGTAGAAGAGAAGCAAGGTCCTATGTAATAAATATGCTTGAAGCAGAGCTTCAACACAACTAACTCATTTTAAAAGTCTCATGATGTCATTACATCTGAATTCCCACCGCAGTTCGTGGAGACAGATGTAACCCCCCGATGCATTAATTACAATAGCAAGAAACCAGCCCAGACGTGCAGGGCGCATCAGACGAACACAAATTATACCTAAGTCTAGATAACTAGTTAGGATATTTTCTTATTCAACACATTCCCATTCTTGTATTGTGCTAGTGATACTTGATAAGCTCACTGCTACATCGTAAAACATCGACTTCTGCAGAAGTTTATATACATATCCAAGAGTTGGTTCATCAAACCCAAGGAGGCAGTAATATTCTGCAAATCATAAAAAAAAACAAAAAAACAAAAATCCATCGGTCCGGCCGGTTTTGAGAAGAAAAAGACGAGGATTTATCCCAGAGTCAGAGTGAAAGTAGCGTCCAGAGAGCAGGAGTAAGTGTTCACATCATCTGGGAGCTGGTAGGCGTCCGAACAGTCCGCATCGCCAGCGGCACAAGAAACAGTCTTGCAGCTCGAGTCACTGGGGACGACGGTGAAGCCCGACTTGACAAACTCGGAGGTCGAGTCAAGATCGATGGAGGACATGTCCCAGTAAAGGGTGTCACCATCCTGGGTGTATTCGAACTGGAGAACGCTATCCTCGCTCTCGCTGGTCGACATCTTGATGGAGATACCGCCGCCGTTGGAGTTGGTGACCCAGTCTTCGCTGTAGTCACCTCCGGTGCTAAGGGTCTTCATGGACCCAGAATCGGATGAGGTGGTCCACAGGTAGACGTTGGTATCCAAGTTGTTGACAATCTGAAGGCTGCCGCCGCTGGAATCACGGGTCTCAACGGCACCGGATTCTCCGGATCGAACGGAGTGGGGGAGAGCAGCGGCGGTGGCAGCGAGAAGGCCGGTAAGGAAGACGTTGAAAGTCATGATGGAAGATTGTAAATTGAGAGAGTGAAAGTGGTAAGACAAAAGTAGTCAACTGATTTACTACTAAAGTGACAGTAATGGAGGATCAACCTCGAATGAATGACTGACTTCAAGAAAAAGAGTGACTTGAAGATCAAAGAATGTGTTTGAAGAAGAAAAGAAAAAGGAAGCCATATCTGCGGATGTCCATCTTTTTATTGTGCTCGGTGGAGTCGCCCGGATCAGGATGAAACTTTACAAGAGGACCAAAAAGATGTGAAAGATGTGGATAGACTACAATTATAGATGTGGGTTCAATCAATAAGGTTGGCTTCCGAGATCAAACAGCCAATCAGAACATGCGGCTGGGATTTCCACAAACGGTCTCGAACGCTTCGTCATCTCGAACACTTCGTCATCAGCTTGCGAGTGGAACTCGCGGTTTCCAGAATTTCGGTTCTCAAACTCCAGATCGATCCAATCATTCAACGAGTTCGGTTCGCCAAATAGAACACTTTGTTTCCCCTCCGAAACACATCCGAGAGGAAAAAGAATGGATACCTTACATCAGTTCTTCATGGCATCTTCCAAGATTGTCCACCTGGATCCGCAGCTGCCCGGCACTTTGACAGACTCAAATTTTACGTCAGTCTCCTGTGGCAACCTTTTATCCGGGCATACTTCTTTCACCTATAGAAATCCATAACTAAAGCAGCCGATTGTTGAAATTTTGATGATAGGATCTCTGGATGCTATCTATCGCCCAAGAGCTCGAATAGTTTCCCAGCAAGATATGAATTTTTCATTTTTGTAGTTCAACGCCCAGGCCTTTTGTCCAGCATCGTATACTCTATCCATTCAAGGCCCCAAGTCGGTTCCTATCACCCATCGACTCAGCCACACTTTTTGCCACGGTATTCTGCGGGGCCCCCGTTTTAACAGTGGGCGTCCAAATGATTAGCCGGGGCTTATTTCTAGTTGAGTTTTGTTCAATAATATCGCGGTTGCGGAGTAGTTTGCCTCCTTCGGTCAAGTTCGGGTATGTCGGATAATATGTTGGAGTCTAATTTTCTCGCTTTTCCTACCTTTCTTGGTTTTCCCCTCGCAGGGCTGTGCTAAATGAAAAAAGAAAATTGATATAATCAAATTATGATGCCTTTGTTCCTGTTCTTCGGTGGCACTCGACCACAGGAAACACCCTATGTAACAGCATTGAGAATATCCTTTTAAGCGCTTGTTAAGCCTCGCCTTGGATCCCTTCAACCTTTGCCTGAAGATCCTCCTGCGCAACCATATAGTGTGGCTGAAAAGCCGTAGCAAAGATCTTCTCAAATTCACCGTCAGAAAGAAGTCGCACCCCGACAAGGTCATTATCCAAAGTCTTGAACTCGGCCTCGAATTTGCCACCCAAGAGCGCAGCTTTCAACAGCGCAAGTGTTTTGAAGAGGTCCAGGTCGCTCTGCTTGGTGTTTTCGAGAATTGTGCCAAGCTCAGCTGCCGCATCCAATGGATTCTCAATCCATTTGACATCAGACCCCGAGTACTTCTTTGCCAGGTTCAAAACTTTGTTTTGAGTCAGGACAATGTCGTGAACACTCACCAAGCGGTTTTTGGTCGCTGCAGCATTCTTCAAAGCCCCAGCAACGGCTTTCCCGACACTTGACACACTAGTGGAGCTGAAAGTATGCACACCATTGTCATAAACTGGAGCAGTTTGAGTCTGCAAGTCGGTCAAAAATGGCATCGACATGACGAATTCCAGAAAGGGCCCAACAGCGAAGAGTGTGTACTCGATCTGTCCACTTAGTGCCTTCTCTTTGAGATAATTCTGAATGTCAATCCATAATGCGTTAAGTGGAAGTGACTCTGCTCCAGGTCTGGTGGTGAGTGCCCCAAAGTCGGAAGGGATGAAACGTCGGACGCCAGCCTGAATGCTGGCATCGATGGCAGTCTTCTGTGCACTAATACCGGACAAACCGACGGTAGATACCACGGCATCCTGGCCCTGAAGAGCGGCTGCAAGATTGTTGATAGACGAATAATCGACTTGCACGGTCTTAATGCTAGAAGGAGATTCGTCCACAGAGCGAGCTGTGCGACTCAGCACCGTGACTTGGAAGCCGGCAACCAAGAGCTGCTCCAAGATTGCAGACCCCAGCCATCCTTTCTATTGACCAAATATCAGTATAACAAATATAACCATATCCCCGGAAAACTAACCCCTAAGAGTGCGACGTTCCGGATAGGTTCCATGTTAGATGGAAGTGATGTTTGAAAGCGAGGTTTATATAGAGTAATATAAGGAGGACGAAGGCGAGGAACTATTGTGAATCGAAAGAAAAGTATGCAAGTTTCGAATAAGATGATAATAGCGAAGACAAGTCGGCCTCTCCCCCTTTTATAGCTAAAAATGGGACGGGATGTATGGTCCCCCATATGATTATTGACAGTATCTGTATTAGGCAACTCATTCATAGGATAGTAAATAATCTGATCATACCGTCAGCTCTATTCCCAATTAGACAAGTCAATCGTGGTATAGCAATGATATTTGCGCTATTCCCGTTTAGGTAAGCCAGTCGTGGATTAGCGCGGTCAGTCCAACCAATGAAGAGCTGTTTGCCGAAGTCTTACTCCACCTTCGCCTGAATCTCCCAGGACAACTCAAGACTCGCAATATATCTGACAGTATCTCTACGGAGCTCCAAGTACTGTCTTGGTAGTCATGCAAAGGTAAACTGTGGGGTGTTTTATCAGCAACCAAGAGATCAAATTGTGGTGCCCAAGCGGCAGTGTTGCGCCCATTGGATTGAATTATCTCGGGTACGTCGCTTTGCCACCATCATGGCATCTACCAGAGCTAGCCCGGCTTGTGGGAACTGCAGATCTAGGAGAATCAAGGTTGGCTTCCCATTTCCACAGAACTTTTGTCAGACTTGTGCGGCCCACTAACATCTTTCAATAGTGCAATCTTCTCCGACCAAAATGTAGCCAGTGCGCTCGAGCCGGTCTAAGCTGCACTGGTTATAGGTCTCAGTCAGATCTACTTTTTCGAGATCAGACCAACTCAACGATTCAAAAGTTGCATGCTTCAAGTACCAGGGTGACCAAGGCTCACAAGCATGCCACTTGTTGGAGCCCAGTCGCAGTAGAACCCACTTTCAATATCGAAGAAATTGCACAGAAAGTATTTTCTGACAACTTTGCGATCTTGGGGAATAGGTGCAAACACTGGATGGATTCCGGTGCAGGTTACCCATCTTCCGCCACTATTAGCCTTACCTCCGTTGGCCTCGCTGCACTTGCCGTTGTCCATAAAGATCCTGATATGATGGATTTGGCGCGAAGAAAATACAACTTTGCTATAAGGGTCCTTACTAAAGCAATCAACGGCGGCCAGGACTCTGGAGTTGAGCAATCTATCGCTGGAAGTTTTATTTTATCTATCTTCGAGGTTTGTGCTCTGATATCCTGCTAATTCAAATTTAAGCTACTGGACTGACGGTTGTTGATGTTGCAGACGATAACGTGTGATAGCCACTCGTCTTCATATGCCTGGAAGAATCATGTCCACGGCGCTGCTGCATTCTTGGGCTATTTATGTTCTACCAATGGTTTTCCAGTCTCGCCAGTGAAAGAAATCATAGAGATCTGCTACACTACAGTACGTTGATATGCCATTAGACCTCAGAGCAAGGAGCTTACTAATTACTCATATTTATAAGGCACTTGCGTGTCTTATCAGTGGCAAAACAATTCCACACTTCTTATTAGAATTACCAGGCCGCTTTGGAGCAGTATCGAATACCCCACAAGACGATGAGGATCCCTTGTTATCGGCAATGAGACTTTTTGCTATCATGGGCACCCTGGTGAATTTTCGTGGATTGGCGAACCGGAGCCTCTTTTTACCCAGTCAGCTAGTTGTACTGGCCATAAAAACCGATCAAGCTCTCCAAAACTGGGGAACTTCCCTTCCTGCGTCGTGGACTTATCACAAGCTCCCCAAAGGGCCACAGTACATCTACCAAGATATTTGGTATGCTCGAATGTGGAACTATTATCGCCTAGCCCGCATTCCGGCAAACAAGATAATCATTGACAATTTCAACATCCTATCACCTTCAATGTTGCCTGGTGATAATTTCAAATCACAACATGACCAGTCATATTCCGCCATTTCGCTACTATTACACGAGATCTACACCAGCCTGCCTTCCATGTTCAACTCGGAACAAATGTCTGCTACCTCTCTACCAATATCGTCAGCCCTTTTCTTCACGACCACTCTATTGCAATCTCTGTCGGAACTCACAGATAGAGATTCTCTTATCCAGGACTGGTCATTTCCAGCATGTGCGGTCCTAGGAGAAAGGTTCAGCTTTACCAAGGGCATCGTGATGCAGAACCTTTACTAGGCGAACTTTAATAATGAATTTATTCAAGCTTTTACATATCACACCTTATCGGTGTTACAACCCAATTGATGAAAAAAAAAAAAATTCAAAAGCGATTAAAATGCAATTTTCCTTGAGCCATCCGTCTTTGTACAGATTTTGCGTGACAACAAGCGAGCTGATATGCAGAGTTTGGGCGTAACTAACACATAGTTACTGCGGCATTCTTAAGGCACCCACCCACAATGAAGGAGTGACGAAGAAATCTTGAGTGTAGAGGCTTAGGAAAATTTGTTGAAGAGTTAAAATGTACAGATTATAGTGGCACAGGCAAGAGGGATACCGGGGCCTGGGAGGACGAACTGCGTCTAAACAACATCACTGCTCATTGCCCAAGCCTTTAGTTAATTTGCATTTATTTCTATGCGATGAGTCTTGGTTTGCGTAGGTGCCTAAGCCTGGTCGTGGTGATGGAGACTGGTGATGGATTTGGCTACATGAACAGAGTTCTAGCCGGAGAGGGTTGTAACCTAGGATTTCGAGAACCTCCCATACCTGTCTCTTTGAAATGTTTACCTAAAAAGTTCAAGCATAGTATTATACGATTTGAGTGAATGCCTCAGTTGCTATCCCCATTCCCATCTCTCGTGTCGTCGTTCCTGTCGTTTCTCCGATCCTTCCCATCCTCCCCCAACCAATCAGGCTCACAAGAGGACCATTCATGAACAGTATCCAAGCAATTAACTTTGACTCCCATACAATCCATGCAAATGTTGAAATTGTTGCAACCTTCACATCGGCGATATGAAGTATTAATCAGCATCGGCCGAGTGCACACATCGCAAATCCGCCCCAGATCCAAATTCACCAAGGACCAAAGCTTGTCGTCGCTAGCTTGTGGGGTTCGAGCACCAAAGCTTTGTGTGTAGCACCACTGGTGTATCAGACCAAGGATCCGACCACGCCCAATCCCTATCGCCCACCAGATCAAGTCTCGACCAAGTCCATCCAAGTTTGACTGCCTCCCTGCTAGTGTGATCAGCTGTTCGATGGCCTCTTCATAACCGTTTCTCGCAGCGGCTAATAGTCGCATCGCGCTATACCGGTCCTTTGTATTTGCATGAAGACGCAGAAGAAGAAGTTTAACCATTTTGCTGGGGCCTTGTGCGACAGCATAGAAGATTGGAGTGCGGCCTTTTTCAACCCGAATGTCAATCCCGAGCTTTTCAGAATGAAGGAAATTGTTGATGACTTCCAGCTGGCCATGTGGTGACACATAGCGCAAGAGCGTTCTATCATCAAAATTCCCGCTCTCGATGGCCGCGCCCCTTTCTAGCAGCAGATTAACAACGTCCAGGTTCCCAGAAACTGAAGCTATATGTAGCGGAGTCCCCATACGCATGTCCACGCTTTCAATATCCGCTCCTTTATCAATCAAGAGATTAACAACTTCTAGTGAGGTATTATATGATGCAAAATGTAGAGGCGTGGGATCATTCTCGGTCACACCTCTGATATCCGCGCCTTTCTCAAGCAGGAGATTAACAACGTCCAATGAGTTATTGCATGATGCAAAATGTAAAGGCGTTAGACCATCCACAGTCACACCTTTGATATCCGCGCCTTTCTCAAGCAAGAGATTAACAACGTCCAATAAGTTGTTGTATGATGCAAAATGTAAAGGTGTGCGCCCATCCACAGTCCTACCTTTGATATCCGCGCCTTTCTCAAGCAAGAGATTAACAACGTCCAATGAGTTATTGCATGATGCAAAATGTAAAGGCGTGCGCCCATCTTTTGTCACGCTAGCAATGTTTGCCCCATTCTCAAGCAACTTATTGGTAATGGCCAGATGGCCATTCCATGCAGCCATATGTAGGGCTCTCTTGCCATTATCGACCGCATTTTCAATTGATGCTCCCTCCTCGAGTAGCAGAGTAATGACATCTAAAAAGCCTTTCTCGGAGGCAACGTTCAGCGGGTTTAAGCCATATTGATTCGAAATTTCAAAGTCTGCACCCTTTGCAATGAGACTTTTGACAACTTCAATATGACCGTTGGAGCAAGCGCGAAGGAGGGCCGTCTCTCCAAACTTACTCTGGGCGTTAATATCTGCCGCTCTATCGATTAGAAGTAGAACAATGTCTAAAAACCCCTTATGTGAGGCGATATGTACCGCCGTCCAGTCTTCGTGGTTCAAATGGTGAACATCTGCACCTTTGTCAAGCAATAGGCGCACAATATCAAGATGACCATTGTAGCAAGCAACATAGAGAGACGTTTCCCCAGACTCGTTTTGGACTTCTGTGTCTGCCCCTTTCTCAAGCAATAGGCGTACAACCTCAATATGACCTTCCCAGGAAGCACTATAGAGAGGTGCCTCGCCAGCCTGATTCGGGAAATTAATATCTGCCCCTCGCTCGACAAGGAGGAGAACGATGTCTGAGAATCCTTCATCAGAGGCGGTATTTACTGGCGTCCACCCGAATTGGTTGTGATGGTGAACATCTGCACCTTTGTCAAGCAATAGGCGCACAACCTCAATGCGACCATTTTCGCATGCAATATAGAGAGGTGTTTCTCCACAGCTATCAGAGGCGCCAATATCTGCTCCTCTCTGGATAAGGAGCTGGACAATATCTAGAAACCCACCTTGGGATGCAGCAAGCAGAGGTATCCATTCTTTGTGCGTGTTAATCAGTTCAGGTTCCCATTGAAGGAGCATTTGGGCTACCTGATTATGACCGTTTAAACAGGCACAATAAAGTGGCGTTTTCGACCCATCAGATCCGTTTTGAATTTTGGCGCCCTTCTCAAGAAGTAGCTTTACTACTTTGACATGCCCACTACACGCGGCAGTGTGAAGAGGTGTGTGCTCATTATCACCGGCTATCTCAAGGTCCGCGTCATTGTCTAAGAGTTTCTTGACAGCATCCAGGTGTCCTCTTTCACAAGCTGCTGATAACGGGGTCCATCCAAATTTTCCTTGCTCGTCGATTGAGCATTTTTCGCTTTGTAGGAGAAGGTCCATAGTATCAATTAGACCAAGCCATGTCGCATAGTACAAAGGGCTCATGGAGGTGATTTGGATGGTTTGTCCGTCTTTAGATGTAGATAAGTCTGGATCATCTCCGCTCTTCGAAGACACTATCTCCTGTTTGTCGTCAGAGGTTGGTGGATCTGGGTCCTCGTCGCTGTCGAAACACCCTATCTTTTGTGACACATCATTCAGGTCGAACCACCCTTTCCACGAGGCCCAGTTTGGATTTTCGATATCAAAAAGCTGGTTCACAGATTTCACCAGCTCCGAGTCACGTATATTTCCGAAAGAGGCGTGCTGATACCATGATCCGGCAGCATAATCCCGGAAAGAGCCAAGGACCTGAGCTCCCCCGTCCTCAGAGGTCTCTTGCCAAACTTCTTCGCAGTCCACGTAGCAAAGACACATCCTGGCAGCCAAAGTGTTCTCCATTCCTTCTGTCGAAAATTTCAAGCTCGAGTTGAGTTGTAATAGTCTCCCTTGTACTGGAAGGTTGCATAGCAAGTATTCCTTGACAGTGAAATGTGCCAAATGTACAGTTCTCGACCCGGGATCACATTCTCCCTCAGGACTTCGAATATCAATCAATGACCCACAAAGTTCCAACATTTCTGTTCTGATGTAATTCTCGTTAATTCTTCCCGGCACCTCTTCGAATCTGACCTCATCACAATCTGCGCTGATCAACAAGGCTCCAGCCATCTCACACACTGAAAGCGGCCGAAGGGCAAACGCGGCCCATCGTAGTAAAGCTATACTTCTTTCTCGATTATGTTCAGAGAGATGTGAGATCCCCATCCACTCTCGGTCGTAGGTCTTATCAAGACCAGGAGGAGTGGAATTGATCGCCTTTTCGAGTTGTTTTGGACTTTGCCAGTCGCGCAGCTGGCCTTCCTGCATCTGGACCCAGAGAAACTGTCCGTTACAACACTCAGCCAGTTTTTGAGAAATGTCTTCCTTTGTCGTTTCTGTCATTGTTGATAACTTTTTGTTCACTATGGAGCGAGCGAAAATATCAAGATCTGGTCGGACGTCCTCGGGTGTGATGCTGTGCTGGATGACAATAGCATCATTGGTATTGGACTCGTTCACAAGACAAGCCCGGATTTCTGGCTCATCACGACTAACAACCAAAAGTCGAGTAGATGTACCAGCGACTGCTTGTCTCAATGTCTCCAGAAAGTCAACAACCGAAGCCCCACGGTTGGAGTTATAGTCCTGTTCAACCCATCTACATTCATCGAGGCCGTCCAGGACAAATGTGCACCGGGGTATCTTTATGGCAACCTCACGTAGGAGCTTGAGTGCATCGCCACGCGTTGCTCTCTGTCCTTGTTGCGCTGCCAATCTCTCGCGGGCTAAAGAAAAGACGACAGGGTGGCGTAACAATTGGGATAGCCATGACCTAATTGCGATAAATGGGTCCCTTCTGCTTTCAAAGTCGGATGAAAAGAAGAAATGAGCGACTGGGTCCTTCGAACTGGAAGAAATATGGTCAATAACTCTCGCACATATGACTGACTTCCCAAACCCCGCATGACCATTGATCCAGAGAATCTTAGCACATCCAGTTGGGAAGTCTGGTGAGTTCCAGTTAAGGAACCATGGCCGGTCCAAAACCCACTCGCAAGTGCCTTTGATTTTCCTCTCAGAAAATATCTCGTACAGGTCGTTTGAAGAGCTAGGGCCGAGAAGCCATGCGTGTAGATCTCGTCTATATTCATCTAAAATCATCAAGAATGAGCTAAAGAATATCAACGGAAAATGGTGTGGGACAACCTTCCATCTGAGTCTCCATGCGCTTTACCAGATTTTCGAGCTCATTTCGCCATCCATCTGCCTCCGACACTCTGTCTAGGGGAAAAGCAAAGTTCATAAGCTTTCAAAACATTCAAGACAGTGGCAAATGAACACTTACCACCAGTGGGTCTTCTTCCGATCTGTTCCTTTGGATCCTCGATTGGTATCAAGTTATGAAGACTTTCCACCAATTTAGAGAAATTATCGACTTGCGTGACTCGCTTAGCTCTGGTTCTGAAAACCCATCCAAGTTTCTGACGTTTGGATTCGCGAGGAGCATGGCGATGGAATAGTTGGTCTTTGGTGGAGTTTTCGTCTTTTCCCAGCATCGGTGTCAAAAACGCCTTATCCTCATCACGGCAAACAGCATCGATTGCCAAGAGGATCTCTTTAACCATCGACTCAATCTTTGGGTCATCAAGAAGAGCGTTGTGTACATATGAGAGTTCGTCATCTTCTAGGCCCACGGCCACACCCCATTTCGCGAGTCGAAGCTTTTGGGCTTTGAATTGGGCGACAAGAGAACGAAACTCGGAATCGTAGTCTTTCCACGAATCGAATCTTTCAACGGCCTCCAAGCAAGTACTAAAGAGACCTGCAAGCCCTATAATTCCGACAGCAAAGCTGACGGGCTCCATAGAGGAAATACCTAGTTATGCGTTGTACTTTCAAAGTTGCGATAGAAAGGTCCTTGGATCTGCTCGGGTAGCTGTGGGGCTGACCCCAGGAGGGGCAACCTTGGGACATCGTTCTCAGCCCCGAACTAGTGGCTATTTATATAAGCAAGGCTGGCACCATATAACTATCAAATATGTACACCCAGAGTCCAAGATGTAACTCCTGGAACGGCTACAGAGTTCTAGAGTGGAGGTGAGATGGCGAGGTACAGAACAAATCTCTCATGTACTTTACCACAGCCAGAACTTCCACGCAAAACACGCCTGACTCTTCCTCTTGTACAAAGTAGCTTCTCTTCTGCTTCACTACTATCTTCTCCCTTATATACCGATCATTCTCTATTATGATCCGCCTGTACTTTCCCCCTTGTGCATCAACTAGCGCTTGAAGTTGGTCATTGGGAAAAACGAGAGGGAAATACCTGGGGAGGGAGTAAATAACTAGGTAGTGCCACTTCTCGGTTGCGTAATGAGGTCTTTCCTACGATAAAAGCAGACGTGTTGTTGATAAATGCCGGTATTAGCTGGATTCCCAGCATCTGCTAGTTAATGCGTTAGCAGATGTATAAGTATTGTTGCCCACTTGGTCGCTGAATATGGCACTGGATATTTCAAATTCGATTGCAATATTGAAGTACTACAAGGGGCCGACTTTGATGAGTTGGAGAAGAGCCCCGTCATATCAGCATTAGAGCACAATCGTACATACCACGAGTGGGTTTATAGGCTATATACAGCCGGTATCCCGATCTACATCGTTGTTATTGGGAGCTGTGCGAGGGGGGTCAGACGATAGACTTGGATTGCTGCATGTGAACTCTGTTCATTCCAAGAGCTATTAGCAGTATACTGTGGTATAAGCATATTTTTTTGTGTATTTCATAAATGCTGAAAGAAGAAGAAAAAAGATGTCATCATAAATTTTGTGGTTTAGCCAAGCGGCCACGAAAAGACATACACTGGTCTTAGAACCAGCTATGAAGATGAATCGCCGTATTTAATGTACAATGCTTCGACACAGGCCGTAAGAGGCGGCATTAAAAGCGAGGGCGGAAAGTAGGAACAAAACGGCAGCCTCGGTGCTATGTTGTTTAGGAATAATGACATCAACCGAACGCCTGAGAAGAGAGACTTGATGTGAAGATGTTGTTATGAAGACAGTGATAGAAGGGAGGATATATTGACGGTGATCGAAGGAGGATATGGACCGAGGAGGGAATTCAAGCGAGGGCCTTCTGTTCCGACGGAGGAAGGGGAGGAAGCTAATAATTTTCATAGTTAGCAATCGCGTCTAATTGCATAAGGATCAACTTGGAGGTGATGAATTCAACATACCTCGAGCTTTGTGTTATCGGCCATCATGCGCTGGAATCCAATACCGACACCCTCAATGACAGCGAGGAAGACGGCACACATAATAGCGGAGTTTCGGGCGGCCTTATAACCACCACGGATAGCGAGGGAGCCACCAGTAAAGAAACCAGCAATGATAGCATTATAGGGATCTTCCTTCTTGCGAATACCCTTAATTGAACAGTCGTAAATACTGAAGAGACCTCCCCAGCAGCCGAAGTTGCCACCGAGAACGGGCGCGCGTGCTTTGATTGCTGTGAGCGCACCTATCCGGCGCTCTCCGTACGGACTGTTGCGGAATCCCTTAACACCGTGCCAAACAGCACCACCAATAGCACCCATGGCGAAGGCACCGCCGAAGTCGCTCAGGGCAACCCAGGGACAGGGATCGCGCGTGTGATCCATGATGTGTGAATGAGGTGGATGGGCGGAGAGTCGGGAAGAAGAGGCGGATCACCGGGACGGGATCAGTTGTGAAAGGCGCGAGAGTCGTAAAGGTCGAGGATTTAGAAATGGCAATAAACCCAGCGGTGACACGAGATAAGGTGGAGGATCAATGGGTTAAGAAATTCCAGATGGGGTACACGTGACCTTGAAAAAGTCCCCTGAAAACTTTGCAACGTTTGCATATAATTGATGCCTCAGGTATGAACATCGAGTGTGAATTGTTGTCCCAGGTGGTGAGATTCTTGCATTGTAGTTTCTCAATCAAGCACTAAAAATGTTCATCTTTCTGCCAACCACCCTTCATACTTCGCAATTGCAAGCCCGGATATAAGAATCAAAGCACGATTATCCTCCGTCTGAATATCAGCCATCTTCGGCCCCACTCCGTCAAAGAAGATAAAGCCATCATGATTCATCACGGCAACGGGACTTCCAGCTATACCGGGTTCGGCGAATGAGCTAGATTCGCTGACTCGACAGACTCGAGCATCTTGATTTACAGCAAATGGTAGGTCTGCCGGGAGGTCCTTGGAAGGTGTCCAGCTATTCTGGAACTCCCAATCTAACGTTTTCAATCGTACATCTTGAGATCGGCGATCATCTTGACGCTTGAATTTATAACGTTCGCCGTCGATTTCAACCCAGTGCCAGCGCTCGCCGTTTGGCAAGAACACATATCCCCGGTGGGAGTTGCACACTTTACACCCATACCAAGGAGGGGCGTCAACATCAACACCGGCTACTAAGCCTTTTGTAGTAAATAAAGTAGCATTTGTGTCCTTTGTTTTCAAAGCCTCCATGTCATCTTCGTATGCTGTCACAACGAAGTCGGTCTTATTTCTCAGCTTGACAGGGTCGGGCCCCAGTTGTGTAAGAGAGGTGCCGAAAAATCCTGGACGCCAGATGTTGAAGATTGGCCATGCAGAGCCCTTGTTCCAATCGGTACATTGATTGATCTGTAAGGATAGCCGCGGCGCCGAGGAGACAAATGGTAGACAAAAATTGGTAAAGGCGACAGAAGGGCGGTCTGGCTGCGATATGTCATAGTACTCAACGCATCTGGGCTCCGATGGGGTTGAAGAATGATCTGGGTCGCCTCTAGAAGCATAGTTAGATTAGCTTGTCCTGATGGACTGGGCAGTGATGTGGGGTAGCTTTACCCAGGGATGATCTGCTCGCCAACAGCGCTAGACATTGTTCCCAGAAGTTGAAGGTGTTACAGGGGGCTTTGAAATGTCCGATGCACCGGAAGTTCACAGGGAAATGGCAAGCATTTATATAACAGGACTTTCTCAAGGTTGAAAGTCGTAAATAACAGATAGCCCTTACCACAGAGCCGCAAAGTATGATGTGTGGGGCCCGATTAATGGGAAGGACCTAAGCTTTTCCCATAGGTATTAGTGTTTTCAGAGGTTTGACATCCTAATAAATGTTTAGGTTCTGTGGCAATTTTGAACCTTTGGGGGCCGGATCAAGTCCCAGCAAAGTCTGCTATTTTAAGCGATGTGGTTATAGCGTGCGATCCAATAGCAGTTTATCGAAAACTTCCACTCCTTATCTCAGTTGTTTGGGGTGAAATGTGCTGTGCAGCTTTGTACTTCGTATTCGCGGTGTCTTTTGGCCAAACCCAACAGCCCAGATCCAATCATATATCACTGTAGCCTAGCAGAACGGCCTGTGCGGGCAGTGCACAGGCCCAAAGGAGTTCTCACCCCTATTCTCACCTTGATGTTATCTCCTGTATTAACGGTTTTGCTTGTATATAATTCATCCTCATCCTTACAGCGCTTCTGACATCTGCTTGGACGCTGACTGCAACCTATAATCCCAATGCCTATGGCACATGGGCAGATAAATCCTCGGAAATCATAGGCTGGTCGGAGTCTGGCTATGTCCTGCTAGAAGTGATGCTCTACACCCGGGATGTCTATAAATACGGCTATACTATCGTCCACTAGCACGCAAATCGGGGAAAGAACAGGTCTACAACACAGGCCACATCTGTTTTCGAGCTGAAATGAAAATAAATATGAGATTCCAACAAAAATATAATACAAAGTTCTAGATAATGAAACAGAATAACGATGAAGATACAGCCCATGGAAACTAACACGACATCTAAGACAGCCTTCAAACAACAGCTTCAGACTTAGGGGGCCATTTGACACGTTTCTGAGCACGGACATACAAATTGTTCGGGCGGATGAGCTGGAACATCGGATCGTATTCAATAGGTCCGTCACCCTCGCGAACAAATTTGTAGTTGTAGATCAGCTTTGGGAGGAAGACCTTGATCTCCTGAAGTGCAAAGTTGAAGCCGATGCACATGCGTGCACCGGCACCGAATGGTACGTAGGAGGCCTTGTGCCTATTCTTCACTTCCGGGGTGTCCCAGCGGTCGGGGTTGAACTTGTAGGGGTTGTCCCAGATATCAGGATTGTTGTGAATGTGGTGAATAGCAGGGATGATAACTGCATCCTTAGGAAGTTTGTAACCCCCAGGAAGGACAAGGTCGGTCTTTGCGGTACGGCCAGGTTGGAAAGATGGGTTGTGTCTGCGTTGCATCTCCTTAATATACTTGTCTTGGAAAAGCAGACGTTCAGTGAAATCGGCTGTGAGCTCGGTCTCGTCGTTGAAATCATTGTCAATCAGCTCCTGGAGAAGTCTCTCCTGCATGCCCGGATACGTAACCAAGCCATAGATGAGCCACGAAAGCAGGGAGCTCGTTGTGGTAAAGCCCGCGGCAGTGGCAACGACAAGGGCCCAGACGAGACTTTCCTTTGGCAGTTTCTCGCCCTTGTTATCAGTGGCACGAATGGCATAGTCTGGATTAAGGTATTGTTAGTTATCAATAATAAAGCATCAAGAAATATAGAAATACTAACCAACCATGTTTGATGCTTGTAAGGCGGCATCTTGTAGAGGAAGATCATCTTCACCACCTCTAGCAGCATTCTGGATAGACTCCTCGACCATACCCTCAATGCGGCTCTTAATATCCTTCAGGCGCTTAGGATCACCAAAGGGCAGACTGCTGTACCAATCACCCTTAGAAGTGACCTTCTTATTTAAAGAGAGCATCTCGGCAATTAGATGCACCATATCGTGAACAGGTGCGTCAGGCGAAGTAAAGTGCTCGAAGTCCAAGCCAAGGGTGAGCTTGCCGACGGCCTGAGAGCCGAGTTTCAGCATATATTGGTAGACATTCCAGGCTTCGCCCTGCTCATCCAGCTTATCAAAGACTTTGCAGGCATCTTCGACGGTCTTTTGCATAGTAGGTGCGTAGTGGCGAACTGCCTTAGGACCTAACGCGGGAGGTAGGAATTTGTGAGCCACTCTCCATTCAGGAGAATCGGTATCACCTAGGAAGATGCCTGCAGATGAGTTCTTCAGGGCATAAAGAGGGTGGGCTTTGTTGATCTCTTTAGTGAAAAAATCGGATTCGGCGAAGGCAATGGCTGCGATGTCCGGGTTATTGGTGTGGTAGGTCACGCGACCCAAGCTATTTGTCTGTATAACCGGACCGAATCGCTCAAAAAGACGTTGGTGATTGCCAAGGTGATCAGGGTAGATCTCGAAGAAGTTGCCTACGATAGGCAAACCTTTGGGGCCGTCGGGATCGCGGACAGCGCGGCCATCAATGGTGATAGCCACTAATCCCTGAGCAGAAATGATATCTTGAACTTCGGGGGGGGTCGGCATGTTCAAACTGGAATGCAATTCCTACTTATGTGTTAGAGAGTGTGTAGTTGGAAGTGGTGTGATGGCAAATGCTGCCTGTCATTGCTTACCATTTGGCTCGACAATAGCGAAGTGCGCAGCAATCAAGTGTTTGAGTCCTTCGAGGTCAGTGCTCGACTCGATCTCGACTTCTACTGCGGACGTGACTGGATTGCCGAGGAGGTAAAACCTTTGTGAAGGCATAACGGTTTGCCGTTTGTGAAATCAACTTTGAATATTTGGCTTGTATAGGTATAACCTTGCGCGGTTTCTGTTTTATATATACACCTTCAATGACGGGAGGAATACCTTCCTACAAGTTCCCTCACTGGTTAGATCCGAGTGCCGAATTTTCGGCAAGGCCGGGAGGGTCGCTCATTCCCGGAAGCTTTCCATTTAATTCGCACTAGAACTCGGTTCAATCGGTCCCTCCTCATGATATATTAAGCCGAAGCAGGCATTGGACACAAAACAAGGTTAGGTTGTCAAATATTCGGCATACCGTTCCACCAGCCAATCGGCTTGAGCGAATTCACCTCGGTCCGTCACCTAAATTTTGTACTTTTTGACTGTTTGATAATGTGTTATGCCATGACTGCTGAAGAATACCTCTATGTTAAAACTACTGTGTAGCATTCTATCAGCAACGAAGTGAATAGGAGAGAGAGAAGAGGAAAAAGAGGGAAAGAACTATCTAGTTTTTTACTCAATCTGCCCCATGTTGATGCCTTACGAACCAGGCAACTGATATAACATCATGATCTTCTTTATAATAATCATTAGATATTAAACAATTTGCTTGGCTTTTGATTAGTTTATTGATTTGTTAAAATAAATGAATAATATCCATCTTGAAGCATTGCATAAATCATGCCTATCTACCTAGTTCTAAATGAGGGTTGGGTTCCCTTTTTACCTCGCTACTCGGTAAGACTTCTTATTGGCCGCCCTACGTGTCATTGTTTTTTTTTACTTCGGCTCTCATAGTCCAATGTTCTTCTCTCCGGGCCGGGATCACTCGGGATCAAAGAGGCAGTATATCCTCGGAGCATGGTCGATAAATTGAGCGAAGAAAGCTAGGTCCTACTCCATATATTTATATCAGTTGGTCATCGATTTTGTTTCAATTCTTTTTTTGATAAGAGTCGAGAAACCATCTACAGTTATTAGCTTTCCAGTCTGATCGTTTCTAAATCAAAGAACCGTTTGCCTCAACCTCTCTCTTCCAACAAGACGACCTTGCCGCCCCCAGAAAGAAAAGGTCATTGAATTTCATCAATGGCAGCCGAAAAGGTGTTCAGTGTGGACGATGTCGCTTCCCACAAAGACAGAACTGACCTATGGGTCATAATTCACGGAAAAGGTAATATATGCCAGTCAATATCTGTGTTAGAATGTTAATATCTAACAATTAATGTTCTAGTCTACGACCTTACTAAATATGTGCGAGATCACCCTGGTGGTGCGGATGTCCTTTATGATGTTGCTGGAGCCGATGCGTCCGAAGCGTATGACGAAGTCGGCCATTCAGAAGATGCGGATGAGATTCTGAAGACTTTTTTGATTGGCACAGTTAAGGATGCCCAAGAGGTCAAAGCCCCCAAAAAGGTTGTCCGCCTCATCCAGGCAACTACACCGAAGAAGGAGAACACTACAGAGTCGGGTTCTTCCGCTGGCTCTGTGACCTTAGTTATCGGCTCTATTGCTGGTGGCGCGGCGCTCTACGTTGCCTCCCTGCACAATTTCAAGCTCCCAAATCTGGTATCAAAGCTTCATTTGCCCTCTGCGGGCTTGCTACGATCCACCCCGACTTTTGCCCTGCCACAAGGAGGATTCCTCACCGGGTTTACTGCTGCTACCTCTCTCTGTGTCACTATTGGTGCCGTTATTGCAGCTAAGCTTTCAAAATTCACTCAGATTGAGTCTGGATTTACCAAATACCCTTCGCATTTGAAGAGCCAGCCTGTGGTGAAGGCGGATCCTGGACTTGCCCGCGGTTTCCTACAGCCTAAGGAATACCAGGCCCTTCCCCTGGTCAAGAAAGAGCAGCTTTCCCCGAATGTCTTCCGCTTTGTGTACCAGCTGCCGAACCAAACTGATGTCGTTGGCATTCCAATCGGTCAGCATTGTGCTATCAAAGCCAATATCGAAGGAAAAGACGTCGCCCGATCCTACACCCCAACCTCCAATAATACAGACCTGGGTAGGCTGGAGTTGGTTATCAAGTGTTACCCCGACGGCCTCCTAACTGGAAAGTATCTCGCCAATCTGAAGGTCGGCGATAAGACTCTCTTCCGCGGGCCTAAGGGTGCAATGAAGTATAAGAAAGGCCTCTGCAAAAAGATTGGAATGGTTGCTGGCGGTACTGGAATCACGCCTATGTACCAGCTTATTCGCGCTATTTGCCAAGATGAAACCGACACAACGGAGGTTAGTCTAATCCTCGCCAACCGCAGCGAAGAGGACATTCTTCTGCGAAAGGAACTCGAGGCATTTGCGAATAATTATCCTAAGAACTTCAAGCTTTGGTATATGCTCGACAAGCCGCCGCAGAACTGGGCCTACGGCAAGGGCTTCGTCACCCAGGCTGTTATGACTGCCAAACTCCCGGCACCTTCTCCAGACACCAAAGTTATGCTCTGTGGACCTCCTGGTATGGTCAAGGCTGCCCAGAATGCTTTGGTCTCCATGGGTTTCCAGGCCCCTGGATCCATTACGAAGATGACGGATCAAATGTTCCTCTTTTAGACTCATTTATGTTTCCTCCCTCCGTGAAACTTTATCATTGTTTCTCTATGTTACCATTTTTTGTCTACACTTGATCCTTCAAATATCTGTATTATATACTTCGCTTTTTGTATTTTAATATTTCTTTTTCGTGAACAATTAGAAGATTTACATTTTCTCAAATGGACCCCAACTCCCCTAGATTTAATGTGTATGTGCGAGGGAATTTAAAATAAATAGTTAGAAAGTCCTGGCCTGCTTAGTATATCAGCTTTGAGGCCCCAACCGAGGTGCTGGGTTGCAAGAAGATGGATTCTGGAAATAGAGATTATCCTAGTAGTAGTCTGATGGTTGTAGATCGACCAAACATGCTGCACCTATTCGGCGTTGGGTACGTCTCTCTTCGAGACTCACGATAATTTAACTACTTCACAGTACGATACAGGTACACTTCAGATATTCAAAGTCAGGGATATCCAAGGCATTCAAGCCTGGTGAGCAACTTGGGATGCAACGATTTATTTACCACTAGTCACCCCGTTGTATGATATGTTTTGAAAAGTCAAACGTTCCAACAAACTAGCCAATCTCTAAATAGAAGGGTCTAGCCCATGCATAGTACTTAATTGGAAGCTAGCACAGTAACAAATGAGCAAGTGTATATTAGCTGACTTGAAGATGTCAATCACCATTGGCTAATGCGCAGTGGCCAATAGGAACTCTGATATTAGCTGAAAATTCCCGTCGGCCCGACGTTAAGGGGCAACAGTTAGGGTTCATGGTGGATCAGCATGTGGAGAACTTCGGTAATAACTTTATTTCCACCAGAACATGAAAGATCTTCCCGGGCCGGGGCCACGCCACGGGTCTCTCGGCATCTATGTATTCCTAGCCGAAGCCGATTCTTCCTCGCTTACAAGTCGTCCTTCCGAACTTATTGCCCGGATGGTGGAAATGGGGGACATGGAGCTTTTAGTATATAACTAAACTTGTCGCTTCGGCCATATTATTCAATGTGCACACTCATCTGGAGTTCAATCAGACTCCAACACTAAACAACCAATCCAACACAATAAACCTTCTCTATTCAGTTTCTAGAAAATGACTGTTCTTACTGTCTCTTGGCAACCGCCAACAGACTACGCCAACCGACCTGTTGCCATCCTTGGTGCGGGTGTGCTTGGTCGTAGAATTGGTATAGTAGTCCCATTCCTTCTCGGGTGCTTTGAAGTGGAAATCTAATTGCTGTCCATAGCCTGCATCTGGGCCTCTGCCGGATATAATGTACGAATTCGTGATCCCAGCCCCCAACAACGTGTCGACTGTGTTACCTACGTCGAGGAGAATGTTGCCTCGTACGCTGAGAAGACCGGAATTTCTCCTGGCAAGGCCGAGGCATTTGAAGATATGAAGTCTGTTGTCGAAAATGCTTGGCTCGTTATCGAAGCTGTTCCAGAGAAGATCCAGTTGAAGATCGATACCTTTGCTGAGCTTGACGCATTGTCTCCTACGGACTGTATCTTGGCGTCCAACTCTTCTTCTTATAAATCCTCCGAAATGCTTGAGAAGGTCTCCGCGGCTAGAAAGTCTCAGATTCTGAACATGCATTATTACATGCCCCCAGCCTGCATGATTGTTGAACTTATGACCGATGGCTTTACGGATCCCGCAATTTTCCCCTTCTTGGTCGAACGAACTAAGGAGGGGGCAACTTCGCCATATGTTGCCAGGAAGGAGTCTACCGGCTTCATCTTCAACCGTCTTTGGGCTGCTGTTAAGCGTGAAACCTTGACTATTCTCTCAGAGGGAGTCTCTGTTCCGGAAGAAATTGACGCTATGTGGGAGGAGATGTTTGTCAAGGGTCGCAGCCTCCCTTGCAAGATGATGGACAGTGAGTACAGCCCAATTCGTCACACTACAATCAAGAGCTAAAATTTGGGGGGTTAGATGTCGGCCTTGATACCGTTTCATTTATCGAGGGTCACTACATTCACGAGCGCGGCCTGTCTTCCGAACATACCGTTGACTTCTTGAAAAAGGAGTATCTAGACCACGGCAAGCTAGGTAACAAGTGTGCCAATGGAGGTCTTTACTCTCCCGTCGATACTACAGCCACTCCTCATGGACCCCGCATTGTTGTCCTCGATATTGGCCTTGCTTCTGATACGCCTGGTCCCACCCAGGGTGAAATTCTTGAGGTTACTTTGGACGGAAAGCTCAAGCAGGTCCTGGTTTCTAAGCAGAATTATCCGGACGGCATTGATATCGACTATGAGAGTGATCAGATGTTCTGGACCACTATGGGTATTCCAGGGAAGGATGATGGTTCCGTCTACTCTGCCAAGACCGATGGAACCGACGTTCACCAAATTGTTCCTTCTGGTGTGGTGAACACTCCCAAGCAACTTGTTGTTGTGGCGGAACATAAGAAGATTTACTTCTGCGACCGCGAAGGTCTCCGTGTTTTCCGGTGTAACTATGACGGTTCTTCCCTGGACTTGTTAATAGATAACCGTGGACCTGGATATTCCCAGGAAGTCCCAGAACATTCTAAGTGGTGTGTCGGCATCACTGTGTCCCCCAAGCTGGGCAAGTTCTTTTGGACGCAGAAGGGAGTCTCCAAGGGTGGTCAGGGCCGTATATTTACTGCCAATATTGAGATGCCTAGTGGCCGGTCTGCCAAGACAAGAGACGATATCCAGTGTGTTGTGGCGGGTCTCCCAGAGCCAGTTGATCTTGAGTTGAGGGAAGACACTCTTCAGCTTTACTGGACTGACCGCGGCGAGCTTCCCTTCGGCAACACATTGAACCGGGCTCAGCTGACTGGGTCTGGTCTTTTGGCAGAGACTTCTTCGCAGAAGCATGAGATTCTCACCAAGCATTTGCACGAGGCAATTGGCTTGAAACTCGATACTAAGAACGGTCACATTTACATGACTGATCTCGGAGGCAGCATCTACCAATGCGACCTACAGGGCAAGAAGAAGAAGGTCATCTACTCTGATGAGACTCGTGCTTTCACCGGAATCGGTCTCCTCCTATAAATGACGTTTTTCTAATTGTCAGCCGCTATTGCAAGCGTTGTTTCCCTAAATTGTGACTATAGAGATTGGGTTGACAAGTTATGTACATTAAGTTGTTTTATATATTATACAGTTTCTAAACCATACACTCCCGCGTATCCTTTACCTTGTCATGAGGCACTAAGAAGCTGTGTTTTTCTTTAGTCTCATAGGACAACCAGATTGCCTACTATCCTTTTCTGATATTCAAAGCTGGTTGTTGCTCAAAGGTCGCCTTTGCCTGTAAAACCATGGTATTCAGAATAGAGATTCAGATTTCGAATCGAGTGGCACTGTGATAGCCTATAGGAAAAGTCTGTACAACATAATAAGACCAGTGTCGATTTGAGTGGGGAATGAAGAATCTAATCTCGCCAAGGCTGCGGGCTGGGTTTCGGCCCGAAACCAAAATCCGCCAAAAACCCGCTGTCAATGACAGTAATATATATAATATTAGAGTACTATAGGTATATTTCTACAGATATTGTTGAGCTGGGTGTCTGGGGTTGTCGAGCCAGTAGCTTGGGATGTTAGTTAGCTATTTGTAGCTAGCTCTCTCAAAATATTCAAATGTTCGATCAAATCGGGTGTAATAATGCCGTCACTGTGGCGTACAGCATAATTTACCGCGGAACACACCACGTGACCTCGTCCCGGGATACTCGGCTACCCGAGGAAACGTTGACGCTCGCACAAAATTCGGTTATAAAACACCTTGATAATGACACCACAGCGCTACCGTCGATCGGCTGTTGCGTGCCAAAACTGCCGTGAACGGAAAGTGCGCTGCAGCGTTTCTGTCACTGGTATCCCGTGCGCTGGCTGTACTCAAGACAGAGCCGAATGCATCGTCCGGGAGAGACAGCGGCGAAGGTTAGCACGCACGATCGAAACCAGAAAAATTGCTCCATATGGGTTGATACTCATTCCATAATATAGAAAACAACAGACTGGATCACTTACCGCTCGTCCTTCTCGGGAGACTGTCCGGGCTAACCAGCCAAGTACCGGGCCAAGCAGTATACTTCTATCGCATCCTTTTGCCCCTATGGAACGAGAAGCTCCCGGTGTCGTATCACGGGCCCCTCAGACAGATCTATTAGACCCTCCTAGGGATGGTAGAACATTTTGTTCTATCACTGAGCGACATGACGACGCAGCCGAGTCTACTGGTGTCGAGATATCCTCAACGGTCTTGGGGCAGGATAACAAAACTGGGCAGGTCCCTTTCTACACTGGTATCGTAGCTACTTAGCGTCTTCTTGCTTTGCTATTTAGGTACTAGTGAAACTGATTTTCGTAACAGGCGAGTCTCCAGGATATACATCCATTCTCGATGTCTTCACACAACCAAACCAGACTGTGCCAAGGCATATTTTGCTTTCACCGAATATATCGGCTTCGCTATCTACCCAGGATCGTGAATTCCTTCAATATAAGGGTGTGTTCACCATGCCACAGAAAAATACCTTTACCGAACTTCTCCGCGCGTATTTTTATCATATACACCCTATCCTCCCGATAGTTGATGTCAAAGTATTCTTCAATTGCAATCAAGGTGTTCAAACGAACGAGTGGAATTTACTGTTACTATGGAGCATGTTCTTTGCGGCAACAAATGTAGGTCAATACTTCATACAACTGGCTACGTTTATCTAATCTTTGTTCATAGTTTGTTGGTGAGGATATTTGGTCGCTCGAAGGCTATTCCTCCCGTAAGGAGATGAAAAAGGCTATGTATTCTCGCGCGAAGGTAATTGGTTTAATCGATATGCTTTGTGGCAAACGATTAATGAAATTCTAGTGCATGTACGATAACGGCGGCGAGACAGACAGGGTAGTCCTCACACAATCGGCCCTCCTCATGGCATTCTGGCACTCAAAAGAAGATGGCCATGCGCAACCATGGTACTGGATAGGGATTGCGATCAGCCTCTGTCAAGTTTTGGGCTTACACCGAGACCCGGATTCAGCCAAGCTCAATTCAGCCTTTCCTACTCGCCTGCGTCCTATCTGGCGCCGTATCTGGTGGAGTTGCTTCTTCCGAGACCGCTGGTTGAGTCTCACGTTAGGGCGACCCATGAGAATAAATATTGACGATTGCGACCAACCGATGCCTTCAGCCGCTGATTTGCTGGGTGACGTCGCTGAACTACCATCGTCAATCACCAGCGCTTATATCCCCGACGACTTACCTGAGTTGGCTGAGTATTGGATTGTTCTGCTCAAATTGAGCAAGCTTTTAGGTAAAATTCTCTCACTTAGCTATAAGCCTTTGGGCGCAAGGCCGACGATACAACAATTCGATTCCCTCAGAACGGAGCTCTTGCAATTCCGGATACCAGATAGAGCTGGACATGAGCAAAGTCGTCTGGCAGCTTTTTATATATACCACTTACAACTGCATTATCAGTGAGTACCACTTTTTTTTATCTCTTCTACGTGATTTGGTTTGTTTCTTACGGTGACAGAGCTGCTTTGATCACTTTCTACTCCCCTTATATCACCAGGATCCCGGAACACCTTCCACCTGCCCATGTGGAGTCATGGCAAAGTGACATACGGAGCCAGTTGGACACAGCAGCATTGCAATCCAACTCTATTCTTAATGACCTTGTACGAGAAAAGCTTCTCGCCTTTGCCGGCCCGATGACGTAAGTTCTTCATATCCATATTGTCGGCGGTTGTATCTCTACAGTCCTTCTAACCGATCATAGTCCTACACTGTTAATACCGGCTATGCATATCCACCTACATAATTGCAAATCTACAGATGCTCTTATGCGCCGTGTAGGTTTCAACAACTTAGAGCTATGCATGATGGTCATGGAAAGCTTTCAGGATACGTACTCAGCGGCTGCGTTGTACCGAGGCGTTTTCTTGGTCGCTATAAACAAAATCCGCCACCACTTCTTGATTGAGTCAAGCCCGCGAAATACAGACATATCTGATCCAGCTACTTCACGCGTGGAACCCCCTGAATCATCAGCCACACTTCCCACAGTCAGCGACGATGCCCTCAACGCACTTTTGGATGATACATCTTTCCTTGACTTTTGGGATTCTTTCAACGTCACTTTTGATTCTAACTATATGTAAAATTAATTTTTATCGCTGTCAACGCTTTATAAATTCCAGTCACCCCTTTCTCGGAAAACAGCGCGTTTGGATTGAGCAGTAACATTAAAGGTCATAGTCCAAGGCCGTTATAGGCTTTTTGAAGGGCTAATTTGGCACGAAGCAATTGCATATGTTGATGTAGGAATAACCTTCTGTAAGTTTCCTCGCGTTGATCTTAAGTATAAAACTGTTCGCTGGGCGGAAAGTTCTTGTTCTTACCGAATTTATCCGACTATCCGAGGTTTGGCCCCGACTTCTACCTTCCCTTCTTCCAAAATGTTAACCCTAAGTTATAAAATAGAGCAGTTTAGAGATAGTACAGCCATCAAACATAACTACGGTCGGTTAAACACTCTTTCGAAATTAAATGAAAACTAATCACTAATAGTATACAGGCCGCGGTGAGTAGACCCGGTGGGTGCCCTGATGGCAGAGCTTATAAAATACACTACGATAACGCCCTCACCACGCTAGCCCCAAAACTGTTCCACTTCTCCTTTTTGTTGCGGGGGTGCTACGTCCTCAAATCTGCCGAGAATTTACCTCGAGTTCGGTATAGGAAGTTGCAAATACCTTCTTCTCGATCGTAATATGAAGGGATGGACAAGAATATGCGGTGACAGTGGAGAGAGGTGTTGTGAAGGCAGGGAAACAATTAAACACTCAGGAAACCGGAAAGAGTCGGGCAACCTTGGAAGATTCCAAGGTTCTTTCCAAGTCGCAGTATCTTATTAGGTCAGCGTACCTGCCAGCCCTGGAGCCCCGGAGAAGAGAGGGTTAGCTGATATCTTCGTCTCTATTACCTTCAATATTAAAAGGTAGATCAATGCTGGTTGTTGGTAGTAGGGAACTGTCTAATTCTATCAATAACTTCTAGTTAGTGGTGTATCCCGAATAAGCCCATTCGGGTTTGTTCCCAGTGGCGCTTTGCATATTGGATTTGTAGCATTCAATAATATAGCAGTCTAATTAGTGATCTCTTTTTCTCTGCGGCCTTTCTTAGGGTATGATCTCAACTTCATAGCGTTCAGTATTGTGCAGTATATAATAACATAGAGTCCTCCCGAGGCTTTCTCAGCCGCAAAGTCTATAGATAAGCAGACTACAACTTAGTTGATCAGATATTTTGGGTGAGACTTTCTTTTGCTGTCTGGAACCCTGTTCTTTCTTTAATTTATGTTCAATTGTAGCTTCTAGTAGAACATATTTACTAAGTAAATATTATATTCGAAGGGCTAACGTTGTAGCTTGCTAGGCAGATGTGAGCATCGCATGTCCTCACCTGGGCAGATCCCGGCACACTCCGAGCCCACCCCACCACAGAAGACAAGAGGTCGTTCAGTGTATGAAGTTCACTCACTGGTTAGATCTGAGTGCTGAATTTTCGGCAAGGCCGGGGAGGGTCGCTCATTCCCGCAAACTTTCCATTTTATTTGCACTAGAACTCGGTTCAATCGGCCCCTCCTCATGATATATTAGGCCGAAGCAGGCATTGGACACAAAACAAGGTTGGGTCGTCAAATATTCGGCATACTGTTCCACTAGCCAATCGGCTTGAGCGGACCGGATGAGACCACATTAACAGTGATTCTTTTCTCTCGAGGCTCTTCGACCCAAGCTAGGGTCAAGGTATTCAAGGCACTTTTGGTGCAAGAGTAGAGCGCAGCCTGTTTGGCCCCAGCTAGTACTATGGGTATCTTCAAAGATGTCCAGATGACCAAAAACAGTACAACGACCTATTTGTTCTATTCTATGCTAGATATCTTGTCGTTCTTTGGTCAAGTTCAAGTGCTTGGATATGGCAACGTGTTGGACACAAGCACTTTATTACCGGGTCATTGTTCCTCTGAGCCCTGTTACTGGAGTTCACCCTGGAGTTAAGACCGCTAAACAGATGATGGCTGTGCGGTTTCTACTGGGAATGGTTAATACAGCCTCGTGAGCTTCGATTATATACAGCTATAGAGAATTTATCTAAAAATGAAAAGAATTCCTGGGTTTCAAGCGAGCAAAGAGCAAAACAACGTCGTACAAGGTACAGACGATCATTGCAGAAAACCATAGAGACGGAACCTCCAATCTTTGACTCTAAGGCCATCGGACATACTCGATGCCAGCCCAACGTCAAGATTTTGATACACCACACCTCCCCAAAACAACCCAGTTATAGCCCCAAGTCTGTCCAGAATAAACGAGTCCGAGTCCCCGTCTTTGCAAAAGGCTTTCTTAGAGTGGTCCGGCTGGGATTCCTCAGTCAAAATAATAAACTCCTCAGTTGCCTCAGTACCCATATCTACCAGGTCCCCACTAGGGTTGTATTTTTCAGCAGAGTTCCAGTTGCAGTACAAGTAAGATCTAGTGCTGAGAAGTACTATTCTTGATGGAAAATGATGAATTTAGATAGGCAGGTGATGATTTAGGGGTAGAGAGAGGGCTTCATAACCTGTTGTAGAAAATACTATGAGGGGGAAAGGAGGAGAAGAATCATTAATAGCACCTTGATGTAATGATTACCCGGATATAACGATTTTTTACTGTCTGAATTATATGATTTTACTGCACTCTTTTTAGGTATATGTGAAGGCGGAAAAAGCATCAACTGGTACGTACTCCTACTAAATATGTCAATAGTACCGTGGCAAAATCGGTAGGCCTGGGTACGGCGGGAAGACAAACACGCTTTGCACTTCTCTGATCACTTCCCATCAACATCTCTCGCCTTCTTCACTCCTCTCCAAGCACCAGCTCTACAAGTCTTTTATTCGCCATCAAGGCATCTTTTCCATCGTTACAAATCTAATCAAGCCACCATGAAAAATCTCGAAACTGCAGAGTTCGTATGCGGCCTTGAAGGCACAGACGTCACTCTTGATCCACCACCCGAGCCGCCTCTCTACCTAGCCCACCAAACCTGGGTGATTGAGACGAAGCTTTCTGAACGATCTCAGCCGATGACGCAGGAGGACGTTAACGATGGCCTTGGACTCCCGTTTGCAGCTGCTAAGTTTCTCTGTTGTCCGAAGGAAACTCCCACTAAGAAGGCCTTTATGCGGATTTATCTTCAAATTCCTGTCGCTGGCACTCAATATGAAAGCCGCCAGATTCGACAAGAGCAGGCTGCCAAGCCACAGCCACATGTTGAGTTAACAACTTTGAAAGCGCTTAAAGAATTTGAATGCGATGTTGTCCCTGACCTCCTTGCTTACCAAGAGGGAAAGCAAAGCGAAGAAAGCATCGTCCCGGGAGGTTACATCACTTATGTGGTCTGGGACAAAGTCCCGGGAGAGCCCCTAAACGCAGAAGAATTTTGGGAGCAAGATTTCAAGTCACGCCAAGCGATCCGGAACAAATTTCGTGAAGCCTTTCCGTAAGTTTACCGAACTCTCTGCCTAGCGTGCTCTTGATTGACATGGGAATCAGAAAGCTGAAGAAGTATGGTTACCTACCGCGTATGTCAACCATGTCGAAGATCATCTACGATAAGGCAACCGGGGATATGTACGTTCTATCCGTTATTGAGTAGCGAATATTATAAGCTGACGGCAATTAGGCATTTCTCGGGTTTTTCACGCGCAGGCCGTACTGATGCAAACGAAAAGTGGCATGACAAGTACTATGCTCTTTTTCGTTTGGCTAAGCCGCCTCCAAAGACGAATTGGGCTGAGGATACTACAGGGTGGACTTGGTGAACAGCGAAGTGACTAAGAAAGTCAAATGTGTATTCCAATGGACAAGTGCGAAATTCAGTATTGATGCCTAGCATTGTCACGTGCAGGGATCCCGGGTGTTAACTATGACCCGCTCCGGCGGGATTTTTCGGCAGAACTCGAGGTATATTATCAACTTCGGTCAGTTACCCGGTAGCTAAAGAATTAACCTTCCATTATTTTCTGTCTGTGCATGTGTTGTTGTAGGCCTGATCTGGCTGCTCGTTCTCTTTCTCGTGTAATCAAGTGACTTTGCCGCAGCGTTAGCTTTCGAAGTGGGCGATGACAAGGTTTTATGACAATTTTATCGCTAGGGGTGGAAAGGCTGGGTCGCTTCGGCGCCATACAAAACGGCCACTCCCAGGAGGGATAGTGGGTATACTTGTCGCACCGGCCACTACGTCGGGCTCAAGATATGGGTTGCTGCCATTTTCCAGAGCCCGGCGTTTCTCCTCGCGTTCTGTACGCTGGAATTGGAACTCCTTGTCGGCCTAATCTACCTCGTGAATCAGGGCATCCAGTTGAGGGGTCATTCCTTCAACCTTTTTGGCAGCCTCCAAGGTTAGGCGGGTGGGGTTGAATCTTGAATCCCCAGTACCTTACGATACAGAGCTCCAATCAACTTCGCTGCCGTAGATACTATGCTATAAATATTGCGCTACCGTTAACGGCAATCGGATAAGCCGCGGTGCTATGGATAGGACCAGAGTCACGAGGGTCTATAAGTTGCTCAGTTCCGTCGGCCTTCCTTTTTCAACGCCCCTTCGCCAATGTAGTCTGCCATTCTCATGGTCACCACTCAAATTGCACATGGCCATTAAACTAGTCACAGCGAATGCGATGCAGGTCCTCTGTCTTAACATTTGTTGTAGAAAACTAAATACACCTTGATAGGGTAACATCTTGGTGGGCTATTGCGGCGACTGTAGCAACTATTGATTGGAAATTGATGGGAAAAAATGAGTGACAGGAAAGTCGCAAAAAAACAGCACCTACTTAACATGTCAAGCACCTTCCGTTTCCCCCCTACCATTGCTCTCAACTTCATCAACCAGAATTTCCAGCCAATTTCTACTCTTCTCATATCGGCAACTTGAACTGCAGGATACTGGAGCTCAATTCTGTCTATATGTTCGGACAATATGCCGGCCAAGCAAGCCCGCGTAAGGGAGGTGGCTGCTCAAGCCCTTCCTCCGCTCCCCCAAGGCCCAAACCATACCAATTCCAACGCCCTCCACAATATTGAGTATGTGGGCGAGCTCTGTCATTGGGTCGATTTTCTCCGTTTTGTCGAAATACACATCCAAGGCCAGACATGGAGCAACAAGGTCATCAAGTACACCCCAAGATTAGACGGCCCTGAGGCTGAATCCCACCTTATTGGCGATGAGACAGGTCTTCAGGGTGTTTTCAATCATTCAGTGGGATTTATGGTTGGAAAAATCTTAAGGGCCCAGTCAATCGATCTACAGTTTGCAGATTTCAAGTGCCTTGGTGACCCTTATCCCAAAACGCCTGATAGCATTCTGATGACCTCTATTGCTCATCTAAAGGTTATTGGGGAACTTAAGGTGCCCTGGGTGTCCGCACATCAAATGAGCGAGGCGTATGAAGAGGAAACTATGCTTCGCCATTTGCTTGCCCGGCCGATCAAATACATGAAGGATCTGGATTGCATGTATGGGTTTATGAGCAACTATTGTGAATCGATATTTCTTCGACAGGTGTTTATTGGAAGCAGATGGGCCGTCGAATACTCCCCAGTCATACAGGCATCTACCTCCTATGTCAAGACGGACCTGGGCGATCTCCTGGCTACACCAATTGTGTCATTACGGCAATGTTTTCTTGCTATTGCAGCTCTAGCACAGACGCAGGGGCCTGTCAATAATACGACACGAATGTCAGAATGGGTTGTGCCAACGAAATAACATTGCGATTACAAGTCCCCAAGTCCACCTCTGTGCCTCCCGATAAGAGGCATGTTCAGCCTCTGAGAAGTAAGAAAAGATCCGAGTTTTGTGTCAAAGGAGCCCTAAAGCCTTGTCTACATGTACCTAGTTATCTAGGATATATACATGGCGAAGCAATAGCATTACATGTCGAGAAGCACCTCCGAGCAGTCTATAGCATGATATGCCGAGAAGTACTGCCCGGCAGTCTATAGCATGATATTCCGAGAAGTACCTCCCGGCAGTCCGCTGCTTTAGAGACAATTAGGATTATGTGACAGGGCATAACTCTCATTGGTTAATATTGCTAGGCAGAATTTTAGATCTACTCTCACTTTCCAAGTATGCGAAGGTGTATCCCAGCCAGGGCTCAGGAACTAATTAGTTTTTAGTACTCTTCAAGTCTTCCAAAGATACGCCGGTTTGAATAAGAGAAGTTGAAATTGAATACTTGTATCGAGTATGCATTTTACCGCCTTTATGTACACTTTGAAAAAAAAATATAAAAAGACCACCAAATTACATTACAAGGCCGCCCAAGCAGCCGACTATCCATGGATGGTTGTTGGTATATGAGGCAACATCTAATGAGAGAGTTATGTCCGCGCTCGCGACATCCACACTTAAGTAATTTACCAACACTAAATAACTAACTATAACTAGTTAACTAACTAGTCAGTGAGAGGCCCACACCATGTCCGGTACCTTACATGTGTATTTTCTTCCAGGCAAAAAAAAGGAGGTTGCCGTGATGGTCCCTAAAATTGAGGAACACAATTCCAAAATAGATGCAATGTTCATGCTCGAACCCTGAGTGGATAGCTTGAGTGGATACTCTCTGAATAATTTCTGATTAATTTAAAAAGAGAAAAGAGAAAATAACGATAATGCCATTTGGTAGTTTTTGACGTCCTTAATATTGATAATTTTTTGTAATCTTTTCTCGTCAGCTCCCTGGCCAGGTGTTTCCCTCATTCAACAGCAGTCCAGTGCCAGTCTGTCCATCTCTGTCATCAATTTCCATCGGAATCCTCTGCAAGGTGATCAAAGTCTTCCTTGCGAGGCTCGACTTTTCGTGCGGATGTTTCTTCGTCCCCCAAATCCTTGATGATCTTCTCGAGTCGATCCTGATGTTGCTGTGAGATGCTGGAGTAGTGCACATGAATAGACGTCCCCATATGCAGGCCTTTGGAATCCCGCAGCTTGTTGTACAGCAATCTGAGGGCGATCTCGAAATAAATTGGGTGGTCTGGGTCATGAAGGTCGTCCGTGGTCCATTTCTTGCCAGCTGGAATATTAAACAGAGCCAGTTGGTATCATGTTTCATCGTTTGGCTGCTTTACTTGCGTGAAGTATTTCCAGCGCATCTTTTCCTTGAACTTTTCAATGTCTGCGTCAGTTGCTTTAGCGGTGGCCTGGCTGGGATTGAGGAGGCTTGAATAGAGATCCCTCTCTTCCTCATCGGACTCGTGTTCCTCCTCTTCTTCCTCCCCAGACTCTTCATCTTCCTCGCTAGACTCGTCGTCTTCTTCGCCAAGTTCGTCGTCTTCCTCGCCAAGTTCGTCGTCTTCCTCGCCAAATTCTTCGTCTTCCTCAGCAAGTTCAACTTCTTCCTCAGTAGACTCTGCTTCCCCGGCACTTGGCTCAAATACCGCTTTGCTCCTGGTCTTTGACTTTTTTTGGAGTTCCTTCAGTCTGAGAAAGCGATCAAGTTCTTCCTCGTATTCTCTATCCATGGCAGCTTTTTCCTTCATGAGGTCCCTTGCCCTATCGGATTTGCGGAACTCATCAACTTCGACCTGCAGCTGCCGAAGAAGTTTCAGAAGCAGCGATTCAATTGATGGATCTCGCGCATTGATCGCTAGCTGAAGACTAGCCTTTTCCGCTTGTCTCGCGTTACGGTATTGATCGTGCGATTGTGGAACCTCAATTCGGAACACTTTCAGGTCGAACAAAGAGTTTATCTGTAAAGTATTAGTAATGTAGCCTCCAGTTAGCCAGAAAAATATTTTGAGGAAGTGTAGCTTACCCTCAAGCAGCGGCCGAAGGCTTGGGCCTCGTGGCCCCAGCTGCGGCCAGGAGTGGATAGGATGACGACATCGCAGGCTTCATGAAGATTTAGGCCCACGGACCCAATACTGTGTGTGATTATGAGGACTTTGAGCCCGCTGGCCGGGTTATTAAAATCCCGTACAAGGTTTGTGCGCTGCTCCTCGTTGAGGCCAGAATGCATGACCCGGGTGCAGATCAATGCAGTGTTCAAGACGACCTCCAGGTACCATGCAGATAGCGGAGAAGACTCCACAATCATTGCCTTTTGGTGATGGCCATGCCTGGCCCTATCCACGGGGTACAAAATCTTGTACTTCAGTATCACCTGAAAGATAGCCCGCAAACGTGGCGATCCGGTGGCAAGGAAGGCAATCAACTCTGTAGCACTACTGATAGGCCAAGTCAGTTCACCTGGCTGCCGAACAACACGATGTATCCATTCAGCAGTGAGTCCTCGGTCCCGCCATTCTGCAAGTTGAGCAATGTGTGTATTTCCCCCCCGTTGCATTGTATCGCATATCTAACCGCGCAAGCTTGGTGGAGCAGGCTAACACCTCCAAAGCTCGGAGAGGCTTCACTCCTGCAAGGCTGTATGTTGATTGCTCACCCGGCACCTCAACAGTGTCCATTTGAGGCTTGTGGTTCACAGTTTCCTGGACATATTTGCTATATAGCCAACGTTAGTGAGATCAAATTTCGATCGTTATATATACTTTGTGCAGGGAAATACTCACAGGGCGTAAATCTTGTGCTGAACCTGATACTCGTATTTTTCGAGGTTGTTGAAAGGGGCCAGGATAGTCTTTGTGATTATCTGCTTGAACTTGTCTCTGATTGGCACCGCAGATCCGTCAGACATTGGCAGTGAAGATCCCTGAGATCGCTGAATTGCTATCGTATCTAGCACCAGCGCAAAGAACTGGGCCACTGCCGCATGTCGTTCTTCTCGTTTCGTGCGCATCACCCGACGCAAAAGCTTCACATCGAGGATCATCAATCTGAGAGGAGATTTTGGATCCAGCCGCTGATACTCGGCTTTGAGCTGGGATAGGTTTAGCTTCTGCAATTTCTTAAGCGTAATGGCATCCGCAGTTCCTTTTGTCTGATCAAAAAGATCCTTCATTGCATTAAGGCCAAGGAGGTCCACGAGGCCAAGAAGATCCTATCAATGTTAGTAAATGTTTCGGCCAAGTTTTGAGCATAGAATGGGACGTGACTTACTCGGATTGCATTGAACATTGGTGTTGCCGTTGCAAACAGTACAGCCGGATACTTCTGCATCTGCAGAATTCCCCAGAGAACTGTCCTTTTGTTCTTCATCTTATGGGCTTCATCCGCAATCAAGAGGCCAAACTTCCCAACATGCCTAGTACGAAGGCCAATCATCTTGTTCAGTGGTTTCTTCGTCTTACTTTGTTTGGCAGCATGCTTGGGTCTATCCTCGACAGTGTCAGGTACTCGCCACGTTGTCCGAGACTTGTGAGTCTCGTACGATGTAATAATCACCGCCCGCTTCGCTGCCACATTTTGGTTGTCGAGCAAATATTCGAGGTCCATGGGAAACTGTAAATTGAGCATTTGTGCTCTGCTCAGTGTCTCGCAGTCTGCAATGTGCACCCGCTAGTATGAAAGAACCGGTTTAAGACCAGGCCATTGATCTGAAATCTCTTCCACCCATTGGTAAATGAGGGAGGCCGGAACAAGCAGAAGCATGGGTTTATTTTCAATCGTAAGAAGTGCAAAGAGCATGGCTGCCAGCAAGCATTGCTTTGTCTTGCCAAACCCAGTTCCGTCAGCTATCATTGCTCCATGAATCCTGAGATCCTGAAGCTTTTCCCCTGCACTCAAAACTTTCTCTGCCCGGGGATCCATGGGATTGAACGCAGTCGCCTCGAGTAGACGCGTAGTATCAATCGATCCAAACAACTTGAGGATAGCTCCAATGGCCCCAGTAATTTGGTAGTCGTAAAAGTCACAAGCCGTTTCGCCTTCAAGCATGAATGAGTGATACTTGTCGGCTCTTTTCTCGCAAACAAGGAGGTCCAGGCATAGATCAAGGCAAGGCCCTGCTCTAGTGTTCGACCCTGAGAATGCGCTATGTAGGGTATAATAGTCGTCATCCACCTGTAAAAATAATTAGATTAAGATTGCGCTTTGAAGTCGGGGTTTTGTTACCTTGGGTTGCATCAGTGCTTCGCTTGCGTGGTGGGCGTCTTGCACCGCCCTCTGGAGAGCATTTCTCTCGTTCTCGGACACACCGACATCTTTGAGCGATTCAGTTCTGTTTTCTTTGGCCTTTGAGACTGTGGTCATGATGCGAATCAGCCTTTCCTGCCACGCAAGCCGGCCTCGCAAGCTGTCTGTGGCCAAATCCCGGATGTCGAAACCGTCGTAGAAATCGATTTGCTCTTGAGTAGTTTCAAAAGTCCGGGGTTTAGCGGAGGATATTCCCTCTGCTCTAGCCTCAGCAAACTGAACAGATTTTTCAAGTACTAGAGCATTGGGGGGGGCTCAACTCCCGCGCCTTCATGGCCATCTGGGTTTTCGTCAACGCTGAATAGTGCCGGGAGGTCGCCCAGATTCAGCGCGTTGTGCGGGTCTTCGAAGATGTCAATTGTAGAATCATCCCGATCGAATGACTCCATTGTCACCGTGAATGTAAAATCCGAATTTCCTGGGTCTGACATGATGCCTAGTAAATGCTCCCAAAGCTCCTCCAGTGCGTTCAGATCAATCTTCGTACCCCGCTTGCCGTCATAGTATTCCAGACGCATAGTCTGAAGATCCATCCCAAGCTCTTTGCAATTGAACAGCCTCCGAATCTCATCGCGGAATTGAACGTCTCTAGAACATGCCCTGAGATCCCATGGCAAGATTTGGATTCTGCTGGGAACGGTGATTTTTTCTCGTGATGCCCGTTCCATTTCCAATCGAAGTTGGTCCGTGCTATCTGTATTGACAATTGGGGCCCAGTGGATGGTCACTTTGATAGGAGGGAGGCGATCAGACTCAAATACTTGGCCGAAATCTCCCAGGTCTGACGAGACTTTCGGAACCAGGGCTTTCTCTCTCATCCACGATGGGAAATGCGTGTCGTTGACCAAACGTCCCTTGTTAATCATTGTAACTGACTGAAAGCGATTAGCCCAGTTCTTCCTGTGGAACCCGGTGCCCAGGTAGCGAAGAGCCTCCCAACAGCGGTTGTAAACTTCAAGCTGGTTCTCGCCAAGATCGGTAAATGGACCCATTGATGGTTTAGGGAAACCAACAGGCTTCTTAGGGAATTTCACTTCCAGCTTGGTGCCATTCTTGCTGGCCACGTCTTTGTGTCTTTCCAGGAATTCTTTCTGCTCCTGGTGCGTTTTCAGGTTGTTGGCTTCAGCAGTGGCTTGGTTGTATATCTCGATGTCTGCGGCCATTTTTACCAAGCACCAAGCAACAATCTTCTTTCGTTGATTGTTTTGGGCGTCTGTCTTTTCGTCCGTTGTGTACGGCCAAGCTGTCACTGGGGAGTCTTTCACGGCCTCTATCTGACGTTTTCCGGCGATTGTGCTCGAGAAGTGGAACGGTTGCTTCTTCGTCAATCCCTTGGCTGCTGCCGAGAAGTACCTTTCGGCACTCAGGCACACCCAAGAGATAGTAAATTGTCGAAGCTCCGATGTGGTTTTGAAAGAAAGGTATGCAGCTAACTGAGCTTCCTTCTCATAGACATTCACCCAGTTCGAACCCTTGTCTGTAACCTGTTTAAAATCTTTCGGCTTGGTAGAGCGGGCAGCCTGCTTTTTCGCGGGTTTCGGTTCTTCGCCGGGGGAATCTTTCTATAAATGATGTCAGCTCGGGCTTCTCATCCTCAGAGAATGCATAATGTCCTTACCGTTTTCTTCGCCGGATTATCATCTCCAGCGGATTGTGGGCGGAGGGGTCGCTTGCCCTTAGCCTTAGAAGAAGCCATTTTGGTGGCCTCACTGCTTGTCCTAGGCTATTGTGTCGATTTGGAGGTTGTGAAAGTTTGGGAATGATGGGGTCAAACCAAGTGACGCGGTGTCAGCCTGAAAGTTGTGGTATTAGGGTGTGATCTGTGTTGTTGGGTTAAGGAAGTGATATTGCGCTGGGGTGAGAGCGCTTATTTGAGACCAATCCAGCGCTGTCTGGTGAGTCGCAACGCTATCACCCTGAGAGTGTGGGTGTTTGGGTGCAACCAGTACTTGGTGGCGAAGGTAATGGAAAGAAGTGTGTGGTGAAGTCAAAGTCAAAGGGATGAAGAAAGGAAATGCCTAGAGTGTGGCGAAGCATAGGTTCTGGAGAAAAAAATAAAGAGGAAAGGCCGAGTAAAGTGAGAGCTCAAGATGTTGTGGGCTATGCTTTGATTGCCTGCTTGACTGCCCACATATATCTAATCTACATATAAAATCTGACCATTAAGTATATTACTATCAAACACTACTAGTGACAATCCCCCTTCCTCAGATCTACACCTGTTATATTAACACAGCCCCATGATTTCTGCAGTTTCAGTCGGGGGTTGAAGTCAGATTGTGTCTTGGAGGTGGTTGGAAGTATACTATGTATGATTCTCTGAGGTCAAAAAGTCAATTACCAACGCCACTCGCAAAAGGCCTACTGGTAACTCTCATCATTTGGACTCCGATGTCAAATGTTTTTAATTTTATCTAGCGATTGCCTAAATATTTCGGACATTTCAAAATTATTCTCTTTCATTCTCATAATGACAGCCATGATGCCATTTGTGTTTACTGCCCTTGCCACGGCTTGGCACATATATTCCTGCCGCAATATTTACAACACCTCTGTGCACATGCAGGCTAATTCTAGCTTGGTCTACACTTCTGTATTCAGCGGTCTATTATCTCATAAAATGTCTTCTCCATACAGAGACTCATTTCCTTATGTCCACTCGAGGATGTAATGTGATACTTTGATTCTATTGAGCCGCAGCTTGTCCGGAAGTACTTCTCGCCCAATTTAGTCACGACCTGCCCGGAGGTGCTTTTTGACACATTAAGTATATGGTAAGGGTGTCAGGAAGGACTACGTCGAAGTGCAGAGTGCAACGTGAGATTGATTGATTTTTAAAGAAGTCGAGCTACAGAGACTAATAAATCTGATAGAGAGCAATGGCACGAAGGTAGTGATCTTGAGAGTGGGCAGCATACATACGCCGGGTTCTAAAAACGCCGTACCTCTGGGCTCTATGGAGTATGTAGTTCTCCCCACTAGTTAGTTATGGGGATGTAATTATTAAGGCATCAAGGCATTCAGGTGTCAAGGCACCCAAAGTGTCCAAGCGTCGCGGCGTCAACGCCAAGAATAAGGCAAACCACGTGAAGCTTACGGAGTACCAGAACTGACTCGAAGCTGTTACCTCGTGTTCTTACATTTCTTCTCAAATCAGCATGAGTGCCAGGGCAATACAGAGAGCCCCTCCATCGGCGTCTTTCACCACTTATCCACGGCAAATCGGGAGGTCGCTAAGACTTTCGCCATCGGCTGCAGCTCAGAAAAGAAGGGCTGATCATCGACAGTTGCATACAAGGTAAAACCTCCAAGTAATCAATTGGCTGTGGCGAATCTGACGACATATCATAGTTACAGAATAGCCTCACTACAGCTAGGTATGTACCCAGCGACTTCTTATGAAGCCCCGTCTCTCCCACGCTTATCGGCGTATCATCCCAATGGGGAAATATGCCTGTCCCGCATTTTCTTTTTTTTTTTTTTTTTTTTTGGATTTGCATGCCTGCACTTTAGTCCAACACTAATATTCAATAGGGTTGCCTCATCAATCCCAATTGGAATATACAACCCAATTGGCATCGGGAATTCTCACCAGAAATGCTCTATCACGACGTTCAGTAACGTTGCATTTGACCCCGCCTGTGAGGAATTTATCCACTGCGCAAGCAGTCAACTCCAAGATGAACTTAAAGTTCCCAAGTCCAGATATTCACCGGGCTTTCATTGCCCTGGGAAGCAATGTCGGAGACCGAGTAGAAATGATTGAGCAAGCTTGTCTTGAAATGGATCGAGTTGGTATCAAAGTGAAAAGAACAAGTTCATTGTTCGAAACCGCACCGATGTATGTGCTGGATCAAGATCCATTCATCAATGGTGTATGCGAGGTATGTTAGGGAATTCCAAATTTGGTAACCAGTTGTTAATTTCCTTCAGGTGGAAACAACCCTTGAGCCTCTGGATCTTTTGGACACTCTTCAATCGATTGAAATTGAGCTGGGCAGAAAGAAGCTTATCGATAAAGGCCCACGCTCTATTGACCTGGATATCCTACTATATGATCAGGAGATCTTCTCTCACGAGCGTCTCAACATCCCACACAGTCTGATGCTCGAGCGAGACTTTGTATTGCGGCCTCTCAGCCAGTACGCCCCCAACGGCTTTATATATGCCATACCGGCATACAAAAGCGCGAAACTAACCATCTGAATCTAGATTGATCCCAAATGAATACCCTCCACTACCAGGAAAGGATTCGCAAACATACAGCACACATCTAAAGGCTCTCCCGCCACCAGAACCGACCCCAATGTCAACAACCCCAATCTCACCACTATTCCCATCCCTGCATGCAACAGACCCCAAGCGCAGCACCCACGTCATGGCAATCCTCAACCTAACGCCAGACTCCTTTTCTGACGGCGGCAAGCATGCCCCAACAGACCTAAACTACATAACAGAAACAGTACGCAACTTCATCGCCTCCGGTGCAACAATTATCGACATCGGCGGCGAGAGTACCCGCCCCGGCTCAACACCAGTTGGAGCCACCGAGGAGATCGCCCGCGTAGTACCAGCAATCCGACACATCCGCACCTCCATCCCCGAAGCCGCCAACATCGCCATCAGCATCGACACTTACCGCGCCAGCGTAGCAGAAGCCGCCTGCGCCGCCGGCGCAGACATCGTCAACGACATCTCAGCCGGTCTCCTTGATCCAGAAATGCTGCCGACAGTAGCACGGATCGGCAAGTCCGTAATCCTGATGCATATGCGCGGCACGCCGCAGACAATGACAACCCTGCACGACTACCCGTCCGGCGTTATTCCGGAAGTGGCTGCTGAGCTGAGCGCGCGCATTGCGGCTGCCGAAGACGCGGGGATCCGACGTTGGCGCATTATCCTCGATCCGGGTCTTGGGTTTGCGAAGATCCAGCCACATGATCTCGAGATCTTGAAGGAGCTGCCGAGGCTGCGTGCGATGCCGGGGCTTGAGTGTTTCCCTTGGTTAATGGGACCCAGTCGTAAGAGGTTCATTGGTCATATTACTGGGGTGAAGACGCCACGGGAGCGCGTTTGGGGTACGGCTGCTACTGTCTCTGCTAGTGTGGCTGGTGGGGCGGATATTGTTCGCGTTCATGATGTCCAGGAGATGTGGCAGGTGACGAAGGTTGCGGATGCGATTTATCGCGTTGAGTGAGATCGTGCTTGCTACGTTTCTTGTTATATAGCCTTGCCCGGCTGCTTTATATACGGGAGCCTGTTTTTGTATTCAACACTTGGGCGTGGCTTGTACTATGATGTACTACTGTGTTCTCTTCATTCATCATGGAGTTTTGGCTGAGCGGTGCGGGACTTGAGGGATTGGAGTTGTGCTCTTGTCAAAAATTCTCGTCTATCAATAATATCAAATCATGAATTTCTCAATTATCCTAAACCATATCAACGACATGAACAAAATAAGAAAAGGTCCCTTCCACCATCCTGTGTTGCGGTGTAGGAATGGGAAGAAGCAAGGGAAAAAGACAAAAAATCGACAATCACACGCCAGATTGCAAACCAGAATGATATGAAACCCAAGTTTTTGGCCGACTGCTGATCGCAATGGTTTTCCAGATAAAGAAATATTGTCAAGGGGGCGAGAGGGGCAGGGGGAGACACAATATACGTCGCGCACAAAGAAGATGGGACTGGGAGTAGTCAGGGAACAATGTTGCTTGCTAAGGTACTTGGAGTGATAGAAGGCGTAATATCCGATGAACATGGGTGACTAGCCTAGTTGTTCAGATAGTTGCGGATGGCGCCTGGCGATATAAAGTCAGCAAGAAGTGGCTACATGTCTAGAGAATTTCTCACCTTGCAACTTAGTTGCGCCTTCACCGACAAGATGCGACAGGTTCTCAATATCATCTCCGGCGGTGATACCAAAGCGGCGGATGAAATCTTTAGCAGCAACCTCCATATCACCATAACCATCGTCAAGTGAGTTGACTTCATCCTCGGGCCGGCCGAAGTAGGAGTTGCTGGAAATGGATGTAGCGCTATCAAATTGGCGGAGGCGTTCCTTGGCCTCCGACTGGGCGGCAGGATCAAACCGCTCCCGTCCAAAGAATTCATCGGACGAGATACCCTTCTGAGCGCCAAATCGAGTTCTGGTCTGGGCTAGTTCGGCTTCTGTATCGAGTGTCAGCTTATTTTTCGTGTTATATGATCAAGAAAGTTTACCATCAGCAGGGTTAGGCTTGGCAGGGCCAACAGAGCCAAAGGTTGGCTTCTTGGGGGCAGCAGGCTTCGACACCTGGCCAAAGCCAAGTCTGCTCACACCCATGCCTAGTCGCTCCACATCACCCGAGTTTCGGTCACTAGACTTGCCAGCAGGGCTGACGGGGATAGGAGAAGCGATCGGGACAGCGGCAGCAGCTGTGGCCTTCTTGGCCTCGGCTTCCGCCTGCTCAGCCTCGGGGTCGTAGCCAAGCTTTTCAATGCGCTCGGCCTCTTCCTTGGCCTTGCGCTCTGCCTCATCGAAATCGATAATATCCGCAGCGGCAACCTTCTTAGCTCCGAGCTTGGGTGCCTTCTTGGCACCGAGGACACTGCCCTTCTTTGCAGAGGTAGCTGTAGTAGGGGTCTTCCGAGTAACACTAGTGGGCCGGATAGCAGTTGGCGCGGGAGAGGCGCTCTTTTCTTCCGAAGCAGACAAGGGAGATTTCGAGCGGGATCCGTTTGAATTGGCGCCAGCGTTCAGGAAAGGAGAACCGGTCCGGCTGACAACGGGGGGAGTACTGGTGCGCGATGGGGGGTTGCTCGGGCGCTTGATCGAGGGCTTATCCCAGGAGGAAAAGAAATCGTCATCACCGTCGCCAGCGGGGGTACTCGAGCCATCCGAGGGAGTACCAGCGGGAATGTCTGTGATGATGACTTCCCCGGGGTACCTAAATGAAGCAATAACACTGGTTAGCACGTAGTTCTGCCAGCTCCGCCGAGATTGGATCCACTGACTGTTGCGCATCCAGCGCAGCGCGCCTCTTGAGTTCCTCCTTATACTTGACAGCTGCATTGCACGTGTATTTGACCTTGGTGTCCTTGCTCGCCAGCGCAGCGGAACCTCCATGCGATTGGAAATACTTGGTCGCAGACTCATTTCCGCCAACCTTCATAACCCGCAGTTGCTCCCATTGCCACTCTGCATGTCATGTCAGCGCTGATCTACCGGCACATTTGGCGTGTGAAGAGATTGTGTGGTAGGGTACGTACGGTCTAGGTTTGTTGATCGGACAAAGGAGATGTGCACACCGAGATTACGGTGGTGAGCCGAACAATCAAGGCACAGGTAAATACCGAATGGAACTGAAGACCATGTTGGGTTCTTAGAGCCGCAGTCGAAGCACACCTGGAAGTAAAAACATCAGAATCAAGTGCCACAATTATGCAGCATATGGGGTGGGGGTGTGCGCACCTTGTTCGCGGGCTTCAGCTTGGCCTTCTCAAAGATCTTTTGAGACTGCGCCTTTGTGGCACTCATGATGGTACCGAGGAGAGATCAATGGGAAGGAGAAAAAGAAAAGGGGGGTTTGGGCGAGAATGTGAGCAGGTATGGCAAAGAGCAAAGCATCCCGAGTCGGGAACGGCGAACGTGGACTCTCTCCGGTGCCTGGTGTAATCGTCATACAACGCCTCCCATTTGGCCGGGGCGCTCTCCGCCACTGGCTGTATTGTAATACCGTATTGTAATCACGTGCCGATTATCAAGATCGGTAGCAACCTTGCCCAAGTCGTAGATGATCGGGTTCGGTATTCGGCTCATATACTCCAACTCCATTCAAGGCTCTCGGTTTTGATCACTCACAATGAGTTATATACAACCACGCGCGCTTCCCCGATTATCGTCGGCATCTCTTGTCCTCCGCCCCTCTCCCCGCATACAGACACAGATCACTCGGCTCTACGCCACGCAAAGCAACATAGGTAGCGGGCCTCAATCTATTCCGTCAAGGAAGAAAAGCATTACAGTCTTGTCCGACGATGGGAGAGTTCAGTGGGGCGATTTGAGTCGAGGGGAAAAGGTTGCGCGGGCAACACAACAATCCTTCAACTTCGTTATCGTGTTGGCTGGAGCAGTACTGACGGTATGAAGTTCATTCGTTCGCGGGGATATAGCGAACCATCGCTGACTATATGGTCTGATTAGGGCGGAGTCTTCACACTTTTCTATCTCGAGGTTTTGTCGCCAAACAGCAAGACATGGCAATTTGAAACAGCAGTAGGGCGCATTAAAGATGACCCCGAGTGTGTAAAATTGCTCGGTGATCGAAGAGAGATCAAGGCATATGGCGAGCAGACCTCGAGCCGGTGGGCACGGAACAAGCCTATCGCGTAGGTTCTATGGTTTCTGCATAACGCTACGGAGCCGTAATACTGACAGTGACTAGATCATCAACCGAAAAGGATCGATTGGGCCGTGAGCACCTTCGCATGCATTTCCATGTATGATACCCTTTCCCGGTCAATATTGGATACGTGTACTAATTGTGCATTTTAGGTCGAGGGTCCTCTCAACTCCGGCGTGGTCGTTGTGCATATGATGAAGCCTTTGGATAAGAGCAATTTCGAATACCAGCTCCTCGCGTTGGATGTGAAAGGGCACCCTCGCATCATCCTCGAGAAAGCCTCAGAGAAGCCTAATGTGACCAGCGCCTTAAAGCTTTTTGGTATTCAGTGGCGCTGATCTGGCAATGATGCCATGTTCTCGTTATATATACCCCTCCAGCTCCAACCACACTACATAGGTTCTGCGCCTTCATCTGCGATGAGCATTTGAATACTCACAACCGCTGAACTTTTGCTCCTAGCGCCTGCTCCGGGCTGGTCTACGCCCTTTTTGCAAGGCGCCTTGTATTCTTTAGAACTGGGCCACTGGCTGTCTACTCAGGCTGTGATGATAACCTGTAAAATATATCATAGTTTCATGCGATCCTATCTTCAATGCGCTAGTCGTCCCATATTTACTCAACAGATCAGATTGGTCCTGGGGATCCATATCTATTGACGAATTTACTCAATCTTTATATTCAAGGAGCAACCCTACCATACATCTGATTACTTGTCGATGGCTATTGGTGGGGGTTATTATCACTGTATATCACTTTCAACTAGGCTATATTGTCGTCATTTCATAAATTATTAAAAAGTACGTTGCTATAAGCTAGAAATATATATCTCATGAGAAATGTAATTTTCATAAACTCCCTAGAGATATTATACATAAATAACATCGGGCTACAAGGGAAAGACATCAAAGACAAACGTTATTGGGATATCGAGTTGTAATATATCACATTTATTATATGTTCTGGAGAAGTGAAATACCCTATGTTATATCATCTTTGGATTAGCCTCATACTCTAAAGGGAGTCGCCGTGTATATATATACTGACAGAGATCTGGCATGATATATGTATGATTAACTAAACTGACACGAAACTGACCAGCCTTGAAATCTCAATATGTAGTAAATCATAGTCTTTTGGTTGATATTTGTATTAATAGCTGAGCACCAATCGAAGTCTCTGTGCCGCAATTGGTCGCGTGCTCGATCTATTGGACTACTACAAATGTAGCTATTTCATGATCTACCGAAAGGTTGCGGTCGAGCCCCGCCAGAGGTTGATTTCTTTCCATTTTTTTCGGCTAACAGCTTAGGTAGCATACCATGTCGAATACCATGTCACTTTTAGTTCGAGAATTACATACATCACTAGTGTAGTGGATGGTCTCCCACTACGATGCGCCTGCGTCCATCCTCTCCTTTATGCCGGTGGATAATATGTAAGCAGGTTAGTGAAATTAGTGGTTCAGAGGCTACAAGTAGTTAGTAGTTTACAGATTGACAATACATACTCCTACACCTCTCTCGTTTGACTCTTTGGTTTGCTGTCCCGGTTGCCTTTGTAAGGCCATGGAAGGTAGGAAGCTAGATTACGACTGCTGAATCAACCCATATGCCAGAGAGCATACTGCCTTGAGCATTCCCCTCTTCAATAGTTACCTGTCATTGAGTTATGCCATACATACATTGTTCTACACGTCAATTTTCTGTCATACTATTTACTGCTAAGGGAGTAATTCACCCACTCGAATACGTTTCCTACTATATATACTATATATACTATGTACTTAGTGACTAGCGCGCGTAACTACCTGATTTAGATTTGTCCTTACATGTTTTATCTTTCTACTAGGAATGGGAGCAAGTATGCTTTGATTTGGTTCCGCCTGAGACTGAAGTTATTGTGCCGCAAGTAAAACCGTGTACCCGGTCGTAGTCATTCTCTACACATAAACATCTATACATAAACACACGATCGTCAAGAACAAATCCCACACTCAAGTCTATCGTCAAGACTATACAACTCTGGGTCCATCAATAATGCTCTTAGCTTCCTCGGATCTCCACCAACTCTTTCCCTCCTGACCGGGGTACTCGAAAGCATCCATACTCTCAGCCTTCATCTCAACACTGTACCCAGGCTCCAAGGGAGTAGAATAGTAACCATCCTTGACGCTGGATGGGTGAACGAAGTGCTCGTGGAGGTGATCCACATACTCGAGGACACTCTTCTTGCCGGTAACAACAACATAGTCGATCGTGCTCAAGTGCTGGGTGTACTCTGGTAGACCAACACCGCCTGAGTGCGGCACGATAGGCACGCCAAACTTGCGTGCCAGCAAAAGAATAGCCAAAACCTCGTTCACACCGCCGACACGGCAGGCGTCAGGCTGCAGTACAGTCAAGGCACCGGCCTGCAGAAGCTGCTTGAAGATAACACGGTTCTGGCACATCTCGCCAGTGGCGACGCCCACAGGGCCGTGGGGGTGTTGGCCAAGGCCTTGCGGATGGCGGCGTGGCCAAGGATGTCATCGGGGGAGGTGGGCTCTTCGATGAACCAGGGCTTGAACTCTGCGAGTTCTTGCATCCAGGTAATAGCCTCGGGGACAGACCAGACCTATTTATTTCCCCAGTGTCAGTCCAAGTCCAAACTGCGGCAAAACCAATTCCAGGGAGAGATAACGTACCTGGTTGGCATCAACCATCAGAATATTACCCTTGTCATACCCGATAGCCTCACGTGCAATACGCAAGCGAGTCTTGTCATCTTCCAAATCTCCTCCAACCTTAAGCTTGAAATGCCTATATCCCTGCTGGACACTCTGCTCCAACAACGACTTGAGCTTATCCTTGCTGTATCCCAACCATCCGGCACTGGTGGTATAAGCAGGGACAGCCTGGCTAGCCTCGGCCTCCTTAATACGCTCCTGCTTGCCAGACTCAACCTCCTTCAGAAGACTAATAGCCTCCTCGGGCGTGATGGCATCAGTGATGTAACGGAAGTCAATGCAACGCACGAATTCCTCGGGGGTCATGTCCGCAACAATGCGCCAGACGGGCTTGCCAAGGGTCTTAGCCCACAGATCCCAGAGGGCATTGACGACAGCACCGAGGGCGAGGTGAATCACACCCTTCTCGGGGCCGATCCAGCGAAGCTGGCTGTCAGAGACGAGGTACCGCCAGGTCTTGCCCCAGTCTGCGGTCATCTCGTCCAGATCCTTGCCAACGACCATTGGGGCGAGCAGGGAGATTGCTGCGCAAACAATTTCGTTGCCGCGGCCGATTGTGAAGGTCTGTAGGTGCTTGGGTTAATTGGAGTGTTGTGGGTGGGTGATGTGGTGTGACGTACCATGCCATGTCCGGAGTGTTCTGAGTCGGTAGTGATGATGCAGTAGGCGGAGGAGTAGTCACCTGCTGCGTTCATAGCATCTGAACCGGTCTTGTCAAGCGACGTCTATGGATGGCCTGTCAGTATTGAGTGCATTGGATGTGCGGAAATGTTCCGGGGCAAGATTGACGTACCGGGAACCTCACGTCCCGCGTGGTGAAGCCAGTGATTTTGACCATTGTGAATAGTTGTCACTTGTGATGGTAGAGATAGGTTTTGCTTCTGTCAATGGCTAGCAATATTGCTGGCGCAAGTCCGTTCTAGAGAAACGAAGTTGTTATCTAGAAATGCGGGGTGTATATCTATCCGGGGTATAGAGTTGAAAGGTGATTTCACCCTTTTTTTTGGCAGATCAAAGATGCAAGGAAGATTAGGAGATGAGGGATATCAAGTGAGAAAAGATTTCAAAAACCGAAAGAGATTTTACTCTGTATATACAGCAAATATGTCCCCCCGCGCCATCTCCAGTTTATCCCGCGCCCCTCCTTCTTCCTCTGTCATTTGCCGTAGACGCGTTCTCATTGGTGGAGAATTGAAAATGCCGGGAAAATATGCCATTCCACCAATCACAGAACTGGTACTATACTCGGAGCTACTCCGTGATTTACCCCAAGGTAGTGGGGAGGTTGCATCTACATATATACCGGATAATGCCTGGCACTCGAGACCTTTCCCTTTCCATTTTAGTGCTCACCTCTTGCCGCTTTTTGATCATTGGGTAAAACCGAGCACGTCCCTGAGTGTTCTGACTTGATCACTGACCATTACGTAATCAACTGATTTGCTCACTGAGCATCATCTGACCTTCCCTTGAGTACCCTAATCCACTCACTGATCATCATCTGAGCACTCTGATTCTGGAGTTTCTCCTGGAGGCAAAAACACAGTGGACAGAGAAACAAGAAGCAATGGAGATAACAAGGAACAAGGAAGGAACCTTGAAGAAACCAAACAAAGAGCTTTCTTTGTCAAAGGTTCCAAAAATTGGCTCAAAGAGCACGTAGAACGAGATGAGGACAGAGCCCCTTTGGTTCAGCTCCTGGCGGATGACGGGAGCACCCCGAAACGTACAGTCTGTCTCCGCAGAGGCTGGTAAGAATGCCTGAGAACTGTTCCCTCCCAGTATATGCTTCGTGCTATTCGCGGCCTAGCCTGGACCGGCCACAAAGAACTGCCAGAGTCTTCAGGATTGCCCCGAGCACTAGACTACAATAGACGTATATTGAATATGAAACTGAAGCTGAGGAGGTTTAAAAAAAAAAAAAAAAAAGTGTGTGCGTCCAGTTAACCAGGGAGTGTAATGTGTGCCCAGAGGGTTGAGGAAAGAAGAATGAAGAAAAGAGAGAAAGTTGGGTGGTGAAAGGGGGTATTTACACCTTTCCAGTGGCTGAAGGCGAGGGAGGTAGGAGAGTTGGTGACGATTTTGACAACAAGATAAGGCACCTGATTTGGGAGCTACATGGGTACTTCAAAATTGGTACATACATGTAGATTGCTTACCACCTGGGCATTTACTCATTTCTGGTTCCCCACGCCATCATTACCCCAGTGGTCTCGCTCTTTCATGGGGAGTTGTTGAACAGGGCTTCCGGCACCCTGAGTGAATCTTGACTGTTCGAATCTGACCGAGTACCACTGATACGAGTTTCGCTTGCGCTTCGTCAAACCATTAAGTCTCCCTGTGAGCGAAGGTTGAATCTCATCATGTCCGACTCAAGACCCGAATACAAATCTACATTAGCTTCTCCATATGCCCGCTCTCGTCTATACCTTGGCATGGGAATATGATATTAATGGTGTTAGTGGAGACGAAAGCATATAAAGGCACAATATGAGTCTTCTAATATGGGGACGGTCGGATGACTATAGGAGATCTCAACAAATATATAAATCTGGGGCAGGCTGGAGCCGTCTATTCGATACAGGTGTTCTGCTGAACAAGAGGATAGAATAGTACACATGTCGAGGCCACTTGAACGCACCGGGTCTAGACAGCGAGCCGGGTAATTACCAAGTAATCAACTAGCCCTGTGAAGGAAAGATTGTCTAGGACAGCCCGTGAGTATACCAACTCGCGGCGAGAGTGTATCAAGGTGAACTCTAGCAGTGAGGTCGGTCAAACCGCTCTTGTGGGAAGGCCTAACATTCCGAGCGGGGCTCACGCTGTCGAGTGTGAGATTCCTCCCGCTGCCCTGGCTCCGGGCGGGCTTCGTCATTAGAATTGCAGAAAATGGCCAGGAAGGTATCTCTATCAAGATCTCCATTGACAAGCCTGCTTTTGTTTTTGACCGACCCACCGTGTAAATGATGCTCTCTGGTAGAAGAGGAATCGTAAGCGCGGGCGACATCGCCATTAAAGACCTGAGCAGAGTGATCCAAGGTTGTATTTGTATAACAATGCCTGATATGGCCGGGAGATTGGACATTGTCGCGACCTTCGAAAGAGGTGCAATTACTTTGGCGATCTAGGAATAACGAAATATATTAGCAGGGGATCACGTGGTTAAGTGAGCGGACAGAGGCACCTTGATCATGATCTGGTGGATAACTTCCGTTAAACCCTATGGAGCGCACTTGATCATCCGTGAAGGAGAAGGAGCGCATCTCAAGGTCACGGTCACGATCATGAGCATAGGTGGCGAGGCCCCACTCACTGTGGCCTGGCGGAGGCTCCAGTGCAGATTGAGCGGGTCCATGGGTATTCGCCGAAGGGCGAGGGGCTGACAGGCGTGTTTCCATTTCCCGACTTGAGGGACGGGACTCTTGAGTTGGGTATTCTTGAGAGCGGATCGGCATAGCTGATAGTAACATGAGCGACTCACAGTTGCAGAGAGAAATCGTGGAAAAACTGCAGTGGGCGCGACGAGTGCCGGGACAGACGGCTCTTAAAGACCATCCATAACAGGGGCTAGCAATGCAGCGCGCAGATATGGTGATAATGATACAGTCGAACACAGGGTGATCAGATCACAAGCGGCGGCAGTAGCGGATGTGATGAGGGTCTGATCGCCCGGTGCGATTGGGTGAATCAAGCATCCATAGATGTTAGAACGGTGGGGCGGTGAACTCAATCCGAGAGGCGATCGATACGGAGGGGCTTGACATTAGTACCACTGTGGGGCGGGCGATTAAGGTAGGCTTGGGACTGACTTGCGATACAAGACATATTGAACGATGCGAACAGGCAATAATGTAGGGCTTAGAGGCTGACCTGGTACTTCATAGGGCGTAGCGGTTACGGCTCCAAAGAAACAGAAGATAGGAAATATAAATATTACCGAAATAATAACATATGAGAAGACGAAAGGGAAAGGATTTGCCTAATAAAGCAGACAAGGGGAAGATTACAGGTACAGATATGTCTCGAGATTCCGCTGTCGATCGCATCCTTCTTCCTAACGAATACTATATGAGACACTCTCCTAGCAACCAATCAAAAAATGAGGCGCGCTTGGGAGCCCTAGAGAATAGGTGATAGCCAGAGCATGCCACTGCACATTGAACGGTCTGTGCACGGTCTGTGCGCATTACCCCGTGGACACGCCTACGCGCTAGTCGTAAGCGGAATCTCGGAACTGTGGATTATCCGCCTCCGGCGGCTGGTCCCGGCAGACCCCGGATAGTATATTAACTTCCCGGCGTGTTCCCATAGTTAAGAATTAACCTTCCATTAATTATTCCCAAGACTACACATTTAAATTCCTCAGGCTACTCATGCTTGACTAAGAGTAGGTCATGGTACTCAGGCTCGGCCCAGGGTAGTTAATTGTCTTTGTCACAGCGCCGAATCATTCCGCATTAGCGGCTCTTCGATACCATGGAACGGAACGCCATTACACTTGGCACCGCCTTCCTAGCTAGAGCACTAGCCTGCATTGGGATGTCATTCCGCGGCCTTGCATTTGTCCATACATCGTAAATGAGTCGGCGTAATTATAGTAACTAATTGCATCTATTTCGTCGGATTCGCCGTGATATCTGTGGCTTTAGAGCTATATTATGAAACCGAAAAATGGAAGAGCATATGCACTCTTTTTTTATCATGAATCTTCCAAATCAAGCTTGGCATACTGATTTACAAACTTATTGAACAGCTTCCTAGCCCTCACCCGCGGGTGAACCTCGGGCTCGCTGACATTAGATCTGCCAGAGACTTGAAACAAGCACGATGATTGCAAATTCGTATCCCAATGATCGTGATTTAAGCAGTATGACCTTGACTCTGGAAATAAAGGTTCGCAATACGCCCCCACTCTAGGAGACTATAGTCTCACGCCCGCGTCAAGCTGTGGGCTTAGCCCTTCCCCCAACTATCACTCCGAGGACGATCTAGAAGTCCTGTCACAATAGTAACCGCAAACTCCAATACTGTTGCATTTATCCAAATGGCATGGCAGAATTTCAAGTACCGAGCTTCCAGAAAGCTGCATCCAGTATACGATAGAATAAAAAGACAAGGTCAATAAGAAAGTCCTTTCACGCGGCACAGAAGATGACGTAGCACTGACTCCTAGTGCTTACTGCCCGACGACCCTAAAGGGTAAATTGGAGAAGTTGATAGAACGAAAGACTCCCGGTAAAGGAAGGGTAAAGTCGGATGACACCTCGATCATGGTGTCAGTACAGTATAGTATCACTTCCACAGCAGAGTAACCAAACCCCTCAAGATTGGCGGGGCCGAAGATTCCTCGGGCCAATCTTCAAGGCCCATAAGACGCGATACAGCCGCACCTGCCACGTGCACACCGTATCTTTGGTCCACGTAAGTCCGCCATGGAGTCTCGACAAAACGCCCAACTAGGCCGAGATTGACGAGTGATTCTGGTATAATACGAGGCGATCTTTGAGGGATCTAGCCAATAATGCCGAGCTCATCCTAGGCATCACGAGTGGAATGGTAATACAACTCTGAAGGGCTGCCGTGGCCATCTCGCCAGGCGGAGATAATACAGGATCTTGGACAAGATTTCGGCACCGGAACAAACAAGCATGTTCTTTTGACATGCTCATCTTCGTTTTCGGGAAAGAACGCAAAGCGCGAGAGGACATAGATGTCATGCGAGGTGAGCAAATACAGGTTGGACAGGGAGACAAAGCCTCAAGCCCCAGTTACTATTCATTATAAGAATGATTGCACCAGCCTGAGATGTACATCACGATAGAGACTGAATATATTTAATAAGTCTAATGTGCTCGGTTGTGATGGTGAAAGATTCTAACATAGATTCAGATTTGCGCGCGCAAATTGAATGGCAAGCTGGCAGGAGGTCATTTGTTCCAATTTTAGATCCCGACACAGTCGAGCCTGGTGTACAAGTGACGATATCGCTAGGCCCTATAGCCTTTTTGAAATCAAGTCCATTCCGAGAAACGTCGAGCGGACTGATTGTACGACAATTTTGGTTGACCGTGGATTCGATATTCCGTGTTTTGGTATCGAACTGAAAATCCACGCCTCGACTCCGGGGAAAGAAATATATAGGACGATTTATCGACTCGTATTGATAATAGCCCGTGCGATCTAAGCAGCTCAAAATATCTAAGCCATGGAAGCCGGATAAATATTACCCAACAGTACGCCTGAAAGCTACGGCGCCATGTCAGGGCTGAAAGCCGAATTTGTAGGATTCGCACACCAGAAGTTGAATAGGGGAGTCAATACGTTAGGTCGTGCAATTACTCACTATATCGACCCAATATGGTCCGAAAAAAGCTTTCTTGGAAGAAAATACGTATCTCCTTTTTTACAGGCTTTTCTCCCTTTTCATCAGGATACACATTAGATGTATTCTGTAATTCCACTTGATATTCAGCGGTTTCGTCGGCAGGTATTTAAAAGCTCCTTTATTTTAAGCGATAAAATAGGTGGCCCCTTTTCTGTTCATAGCATTTTATCCCTCCTCTACCCAGAGGTCATAGAGATAAGAGCGGCCTTCTGTCACTGTAGATGGAATCATATAGAGAAGCTCTGTCAAGGCCGTTCCAACAGGAGCAGGGAGACACCCTACGAACTGATCGTATCCTACATGCATACTACCTTGATCATGCAACGTTTGCTTCAAAGATAAGTGTTCATCGAGAATATGCACAGCAGAAGGACGTAAATGAGTCTTCTTTATCAGGTAAACTGCTGATGCTAGAGATATGGTTCCACTTCCAAGGATCCAGGCCTCGGTGTTTCTGGTGAACGCTGGTTGTATTGTGCTGAGATATCCATGGAGAGTGTCTTATAGGCGAAGCAGATTCGAATGTGATGGAAAAATGGTGCAATATACATATGTCGAACATCAAAAAGCATGAACATCGCACATACGTTCACCTTACTATATCAATGAAATTACTACACTGAGGCGGGGTGCACTCACTGAGTATCAGTCATCCTGCACGTGACTGATATGAGCATGATCACTAATCTGAGCCCGTGCTGACATCTACTCAGTGAGCCTGCGCCTAAGGACCCTCATAAAAGCGGCGGCAGCTCAAATAGGAAGCCCTACCCATCAGGGAATACTAGACCGGGTCCTGTTGGAAAAGTCCCCGAGGGTATGTGATTTTAGAAAGATTGAAATCATACCATACATGCAACTATTCTTTTGTGTACACGTTGCTGTATTTCAGTGAAGCTTAGAGACATCAGGTACAGGGACCTGTCTTTTGATATGCAGCCCTATTATGAGGACAGGCCTCGTTTCTCGCTCTCGGAGCAGAAAATGATCATCCGCCAAAGCTTGCGAACAAGAACTTCGGCCTCTTCATCCAATGCCTATAGATAGGTGAGTGTGGTTAGTAACTTGTTTTATAAATGAGAGAATTAAATGAATACTCACTTCGGCCAGCTGCTCCACCAACTCTTGAGGCGATCCATGCTTGCGCACATGTTCCTCCACCACATCCACCAGCATTTGTTCCTGTACACCAAGATATTCGACGATCTTCTTCTCGACGAAAGGTTTGAGTTGGTCGCTGATGACGGCGTCATCCACAAATTCCCACTTGACCTCCCAGTTCCACAACCCTTCCTTCTCGGCCGGAATTTCCGCAGCGAGTTGACGGGCCGCCTGAGCACGTTCCTCGTCGGTGAGACCTGCAGCTTCGGCCGCGGAATCGAATTTGATCGGAATAAGTTGCCGGCGGGTTGTAGTAACGGGCTCTTCCTCGTCCTCCAGCAGACCTTCCACATCGGCCATGGCGCGACGGCTGGTCGCGGCTTGCGCCTTCTGCGCGGCGGCTCCGAGAGAGAGCTTGAAGCGTTGGGGTTCGCGTGGTGCCTCCTGGGGACGGGTTTCAAGCTCCTTTGCCTGGCGAGCCAGGAAGTCGTCGGCCATGCCGCGAGCCTGCTCTTGCTGCTTGGCGGATTGCACAAGTTCGCGATCCTCAGCGGCGCGATCGGCATCGTCGATGTTGGTTTCACGAGAACGGAAGCTTGCACGGTTGCGGAGCCAGACACCGCGGTCTGCGTAGTAATCGACCGCCTTGCGGCTGTCCTCGACATCATCGTTCCAAGCGCCAAGCCGTGCTTCCATCTCATCGTGCGCAGCTTGCAACTTTCCATCTTCCTCATCCTCGCGCTTCTTCTCTCTCTCCAGGGCAGCAGTTCGGCTGCGCTCACGGCTAAGCCAGCGGCGCTCTTGGTCTGAGAATTGCTTCTCTTGCTCAGCCTTAACCCGATCCTGTCGACGGCGTTCGATTTCCTCGTCGCTGGCATCGGAATCCTCGCCTTCGCGATCAATAGAGACTCCGTTGAGGGATCCACCATTGACAAAAGCAACTCCCTTCTGATAATCCTTGGGAATCTGCACACCGAACGCCTTTGGGCCAGAAGGTGCATTCAACACATTACGATCCCGTGGGCCTAACGGAATACCGTTGATACCGGCAGCAGGGCCACTGGGAGCGGATAAGGGAGGCGAAGCAAGTCGATTAATCCGAGAGCCAGAACTGCGCGCACGTTCCATCGACTCAATCTCTTCCTCACGTTTCATACGCTCGATATCGCGACGAGTGCTTCGTTCACGGAAAGCCGAGATCTCCTTGGCCACATTGGCGCGCATCTCGGGGGAATATCGGCTAGCTCATCTTCAATTGTGATGGGAATGGTGACTACTTCACCGTCCTTGGCAACCTCGGCATCCTTCATTTCACTGTCGCCTTCCCGATCAAGGGCAGATGCCTCCTCCTTTGGAAGGGGCGCTGCGGGATGGAAGAGGCTTGACAAGACATTATCCAGATTCTTGCGGGCAGCGGTGAAACGAGCCTGGCGTTCCTCGGGGTCTTGTTCGGCTCGGCTAGACTCGAATTGCTCGAGGTAGGTGAGGGTGCCTTCATCGACGACGACCTATCAGACAAGTTAGAATGATTTGAGGAAATGGTAGACAATTTATACGCACCAGAAGCTTGCTCTTTTCAACCTCTTTTTCCTCATCACCTTCGGCGCGGGGTGTCTGTCTCTTGACTGGGACTTCCACGTTCTTCAAGGTTTCAACCGCAACCTCAAGACTCTCCGGGTCATCATACTCGGCGAAGCCAAATCGGCAAGGTTTCTCATCAGCATCTGTCGCGCGAATCCAGCGACGCAAGATACCAGTAGATCGTAGAATACGCTCAATGCCATCATCGCCACCAGCGCCCTCTGTAATTCCACCGATAAAAAGCGTGCGCACAATTTCATCGCGTGTAGGTGGCTGGAGTTGCATCATGGGATCACGACCATGGTGGCGCTGGGTATCCATTCCCATTGACCCCAGACCACCGCGGCGCCCAGGAGCATCGGATACTCGTTCCCGGCCGCTCTCTTGAGCTGCAGGCTTTGTCGGACCCGCGGTACCCAATCGAATCACTGGCGCAGAAAAATTGATGTTTGGCATATTCGCAGGCGGCTGGAAGTTGGGCGGGAAGCTTCCTGGACGACCAGGCTGGGTATTTGCTTGCTGCATGCCGGGAGGAGCAGCGGTGCCTGGAGCAGCCATCCCCGGAGGAGGTGCTAGAGCTAGTCAGCCTAAATTGAAAATGAAATCATCGTGGGAAAGGAGCGAACTCACCCATGCCTGGAGGCGCACCATATGCACCATAGTCAGGAGCCTGTCCATAGAGACCCGGAGCTATGTAATAGTGAAGTTAGTTTCTTCGAAGAATCAAGGCTTTCTCAAAGGTCAAGGAGAAGGAAGTGCTCACCTTGGTAAGGATTGTACATGGTGGAAGTCGTACCACTCGTTAGAAAGTGAGGTTGATCAAGGCTCAATTCAAACCTTTGGCACCGATATCAGTTGCCAACAAAAAAGCACGGGCGGTGAGATATGCGGTGAATTGTCCAGAACACCAAATGTGGCACGTGCCCGGTTAGCTGTCACGGGGACCTGCAAATGCTTCTCTATTTACTCCGTACTCCGTGCATCCCACATCTCCTCGGGGGGCTCGGGATTGCCATTGAGGCCGATGTCGCAACCTTGGAACTGTCTACAGAGTACATAATCAAAAAGAGCATCCATGGATTACAAAGTATGAATCCCTAGGTATGTAGGCCCTTGGGAGGATTGGAGGGTACATTGCAATGCATGTAGACTTGCAGTAGTGGCGTACCAGGTTCAATGCCTTGGTTTTCTTAAGAATAGAAACTATTTCAGCCGAGAAAATAAGAGCTATAGCCGTCTGATTTCCAATGTCTTGCTATACAAGAGAGCATTTCGGGATTGAATTGGGTCCGGGCCTAGAAGAGTAAAAGCAATAGCCTACGGAGTAGGAGATTATAAATGGCCGAATTGGTATACCGGGTATATATATTTTAGTATTTTAGGACTTTCGGAGAACCAAAGGAGAAATAATAATATAAAAGCTCCAATCAAAACAATGATAGCAGTAAAACAAGTGCCCCCCAAACAAATAAAATAGGTAAAATAACAGAAATAACAACCGAATGCGGCAATGATGATGTTGCCCCACGTCCCCCTCGGACCCCAATGCGCCGGGTGCAACTGACGCCATTAGTTTTCTTGCTTTTTTGTTTCTTCACTCTTTTTCTATCACCCCATTTACCTTCTAATGTACGTTGACAAGTTTCTTCTATATCCTGAACTTGACTCTCTTCAACATTGCCTTTCTATTCCGCTTGCCCCGCGCTGACCCTCTGCCCATAGAACCCCTCATCGTCATCATGCCCGGCTTTTCGCAAACCAGCGACCTTCCTGCCTGGAAGGAGCTCCAGGAGCACCACACCACCTTGGGACGTAACCTAGTCCTTAAGGATCAGTTCCAGAAGGACCCCAAGCGCTTCGAGAACTTCAGCCACAAGTTCGTCAACACTGTAGACAACACGGAGGTTCTCTTCGATTTCTCCAAGAACTTCCTGACCCAGGAGACTGTCTCTCTTCTGGTCAAGCTCGCCAAGGAGGCTAACGTTGAGGAGCTCCGTGATGCTATGTTCCGTGGTGAGCACATCAACTTCACCGAGGATCGTGCTGTCTACCACGCTGCTCTGCGCAATGTTGCCAACGAGCCCATGGAGGTCGATGGCAAGAGCGTGGTTGAGGATGTTAACTCCGTCCTGGAGCACATGAAGGAGTTCTCCGAGCAGGTCCGCAGCGGCGAGTGGAAGGGTTACACCGGCAAGAAGATCAACACCATCATCAACATTGGTATCGGTGGTTCCGATCTGTAAGCTCTCCTGTCCTTGGTTAATCGGGAATTGTAGCTGACATCTGCACCTAGCGGCCCCGTAATGGTCACCGAGGCTCTCAAGCCTTACGGCCACCCTGACATTAAGCTTCACTTCGTCTCCAACATCGACGGAACCCACATTGCCGAAGCGCTCAAGGACTCCGACCCGGAGACCACCCTTTTCCTAATTGCCTCCAAGACCTTCACTACCGCAGAGACCACCACCAACGCCAACACCGCAAAGTCTTGGTTCCTCAAGTCTGCTAAGGAAGATTCACACATTGCTAAGCACTTCGTGGCGCTGTCGACCAACGAGGCTGAGGTCACCAAGTTCGGCATTGATGCCAAGAACATGTTCGGATTCGAGTCATGGGTGGGTGGACGTTACTCCGTGTGGAGTGCCATTGGCCTGTCTGTCGCTTTGTACATTGGTTACGACAACTTCCACCAGTTCCTGGCTGGTGCCCAAGCCATGGACAAGCACTTCCGGGAAACACCCCTCGAGAAGAACATCCCCGCTCTGGGTGGTTTGCTGAGCGTCTGGTACAGCGACTTCTTCGGTGCTCAAACCCACCTGGTTGCTCCCTTCGATCAGTACCTGCACCGCTTCCCCGCCTACCTGCAGCAGCTGTCCATGGAGAGCAACGGAAAGGCCATCACCCGCACTGGTGAATACGTCAAGTACACCACTGGACCCATCCTGTTCGGTGAGCCTGCCACCAACGCGCAGCACAGTTTCTTCCAGCTTCTGCACCAGGGTACCAAGCTCATCCCTGCCGATTTCTTGATGGCGGCAGAGTCGCACAACCCCGTCGAGGGTGGCAAGCACCAGCGTATGCTGGCTGCTAACTTCCTCGCTCAGTCTGAGGCTCTGATGGTTGGAAAGACCCCTGCCCAGGTCAAGGCCGAGGGCGCTGCCGAGGAGCTTGTTGCTCACAAGACTTTCTTGGGCAACCGTCCCACCACCTCTATTTTGGCTCAGAAGTTCACCCCTTCCACCCTGGGTGCTCTGATCACCTACTACGAGCACGTCACCTTCACCGAGGGTGCTATCTGGAACATCAACTCGTTCGACCAGTGGGGTGTCGAGTTGGGCAAGGCCCTTGCTAAGAACATCCAGAGCGAGCTGGAGACCGCAGGTGAGGGTGCCAACCACGACAGCTCGACCAGCGGCCTTTTGCTTGCTTTCAAGGCAAAGGCCAATCTGTCTTAGAGTGTTATAGTCTTATATGAAGCACTGTGGGATGTGTAGTTTTGACGAGCAACGATTTTCCACATATTTGTCTTGGTTTGAAAAGAAATGAATGATTCTCAACCTTTTTTCGTTGCCAAGTAATGTTTTGTAGAGGCTGCGAATCACTTTATAGAACAGGGACCTTTGTGGTTAGACATGATGCAATCTGAAGTACGGGGGTGGTTGGAAGTAGCAAGGGGAAACCCGCTTTGTTGTCCGCAACTCCGCAACGCGGTAAACCTCCGTCCTAGACTCCTGTGCAATCCTCGAACTCTGGAAACTTGCCGACGCGGGGCGGCTACCCTCCTACAATAAAAAAAATAAGAATGTCTTCTATGCGCCAATTGAGTCCGTCTTCTGCAGCAGTGGCACTGTTGTCCTTGACAGGCGCATTGTGGCCAACCAGCGCACTTGCGGGGAACACGAATGACAACAACGAGGGATACAAACTGAGAGAGGACATACCTGTATCATGTCTGAACCGGACTATGTGAGATCACTCTTCAATCAACCTCTGGAGCATGGCTAACCGTTGCTTGTTCGACACTTACAGGGAAGGAGAACATGTAAGCGCCACCAGCCTGCCTACCTTCTCCTGACACGAAGATAGTAGCGCAGACTGCGAAAGACCACAAAGCTAATAACAACTACGAAAATATCCAGGTCACTGATAATCTCGGCCAACTCCAATACGTCCCCTTCGTGACCTGCAACGAAACCGCCCGCCCTCTCTCCCTCCACTACGGCATCTCCGAAACAATAACATGCACCATCGACTCCCTCTCCGATGAGATGTACCATCTCCTCGAGTTCTACGTCCACTCCGATGTCCCAATGACCTGCCGTGTGCCAACGGCTCCACTAACACAATCCGCCGGCGCAGCAGAGCATGCGGACAAAGACTCAGACCAGAAGTCAGGAGAAGCAGACACCCTCTCCGCACTAGCTGACAACGGGCCACCCTTCACGCCGCTCACAATCGCGCTGCAGGGCACACTTCAGCGGAGCCATTTGCATATCTGGACGGATATGAACGTGGTCATGCACAACATGGCCTCGGACGCGGCCGCAGAACAAAGCTCCAAGACCCGCGGCGGTCAGTCTGGACAGCCCGGATTCACGGTTGGCGGTATTGCATACTCGACCCCCGAGTTCGACAATACCGGCAAGAATCCCAAGCTCGACGAAGACGAGGAGCCTGTTGCTCTTGCTCAGGCGGCGCGTGAGCCTTGGACTGCCGGACACGGCACTAAGGTTGTACGCGGAGAGCCGCTCACATTCTCTTTCCACGTTGCGTGGCTGGAGGGCGGCGCCAGTATTGGGTGGCCGGTGCGGCCTGCTTTGGACTCGTGGCTGGCTTTGGCGACTGGGTCCGGGAAGAAGTCCGGGTCTTTCTTTTCTAAGCTGGTGTTCTTTGTTATGGCGGCTTCTGTTGGCGCCTTGGTTGCGTTGTTTTGGGAGCGCAATGGTGGCCGTGGCCGTGGACGAACCCCTTGGCATGGAGATGGGCTTTTGGGTGGGAGTCCCGCGCGTGGAGTGAAGGGTCCTGGTGTTACCTTTGGCAATGGGGGAAAGAATAATGGGTACGGTGGTTACTCTGGCCCTGCTAATGGCAATGGCAATGGACACGGGGTTGGAAGTGGATATGGATTCCCAACTGGGAAGAGGGATTGATATGGAGAACCGAGAGGAATGGGTGTATAGCCCAGGTACATATAGAGTGGCGCTTACGACGTGTACAGTGTACCTAACTTGAGAGGCAGAATTGACCATTAGCAAAAAGCTAGTGCTCTACGTATTATGATGCTATATCCCAAGTGATCGAGTCAAACAAATCCGATGCATTCCATATCTAATGCAAGAGCCAAATTCAACAGAAAAATCAAGTACCTAGATAATAGTTGTACAAGTAACAAAAGAAAACACCAATTTTCAGGCCAATGCCACCTTGTCCACTCAGTCCATCACCCGCACCAGCCTCTTCGGTATATACATACAAGCCGAGTAGACAAGCCGCAGCACAAAAGCCCAAAGAAAAAGATCAGCATAAATCTACCAACCCTGCGCCTGCATACGCTGAATCTTCTTCACAGTCCCTTGGAAGGAGAACTTGAACAGCTTCTTCCATCGCTGCATCTTCTTCTGTTTGCGCACCATACCCTTTCTCACATGGAACCTCTGCTCATGAGCATCAGCCCTGACGCGATTCTGCGAAAGAGTAGCCTGAAGCTTGCGCAGCGCACCACCGAGATCAGTACCACGCTCAGGCTCAACATGAGCCTGACGGCCAAGCGTCGGTCCGAGCTTCAGCTCGACCTTACGTGTAGGCAGAGGTGCCCTCGAGCGTGCCCGGTAGCTGCTCTGTGCACCTTCGCCGACAGCCCGGGAAAGTGAGTCTGAGAAGATCCGGCGCTGGGCGCTGGTTGCTTCCCGGGGCTTGCTGAGGTCGAGTCTGCTGAGGATATCGTCGAAGTCGGAGACTTGCTTGCGGGCTGGCTTTTCGGCTCCGGGGGCGGCTGTGCTTGGTTTGTTGGCGTCGGAGGCCGGCTTCTGGGTTTGTTGAGCGGCCTCGGGGACTGTGCTTGGCTGGTCGGTGGGTAATGTAGGTTTGAAGGGTGTCTTTGGTGATGAGGTGGAGGAATTGTAGCGCACTCCGTTTGCGAGGGAGGCGACGCGGTGGAGCTGGGTCTGCTGTTGGAGCCATGGTGTTGGCCTGGCGCGGAGGCTGCGGGCTAGGAGGCGGAAGTCCATTTTGATTGGACTCGCTCGTGTCAGAGCAGCAGGTCTATGGGGATGAATTGAACTGTCTCCTGCGCTTGGAAAGGAAAGATTGGTCGAGGTGGGCACGTAGGGTCGGAGGTGCTCGAAGTTGCCGTGACGGAAAATCATCGTCTCCCGATTGGAAAGGAAATTGTAGGTCACGTGCCATGTGGCATTGGGGTCATTTTCTAGAGGTTGTGAATATCACACCTGCAAATCTTTTGATCTTTCAAATATCTCTGTCGTTTCACTATAAATAGTTCTCTTGACATAGGACGCTCACAGATTTCCGCCAAAAAAAAAAAGAATGTCGTCTATCTCAATCGCAACTCTCCCCCGCATGGGCCGTGATGTTCTAGCAGCCCTGCTTTCAACCGGCGAGCCAAGCAATCTAGCTATCATCGACGTTCGGGACTCAGGTAAACAACCACTCTTTTACTATATAACCGTAGACTATCAACTGACATTTGAATCAGACCACGTTGGTGGCCATATACACTCATCAACTTGGGTCCCCAGCTCAACGTTGGACGTGCGCATGCCTGAGCTTATTCGCACTCTCAAAGACAAGAAGATGGTTGTATTCCACTGTGCACTCAGTCAGCAACGTGGGCCCTCTGCTGCTCTTCGCTATGCGCGCGAGCGTGAGAGCACCCTCGGTGCGGAAGAGAACCAGAAGCAGCAAGTATTTGTACTCGAGGGTGGGTTTGTGGAATGGCAGCAGAAGTATGGCAATGATACTAAGCTGACCGAGGCTTATGCTGCGGATATCTGGGAGGAATATTGAGTTGGGCCTTGATTATGGGGGTTCCGGTCACTTTCTTGCATCTGCTTTTTGTTTTCATGAGATTTAACGAACTTGATGGGAGATATACCACTTAGATGCATTTATGGGTTTCATTTTCATTTTTCTATTATTCTGGTTGATTTCTGTGTATTGGGCGAGTCCATGTCATTTGATGGAAGATGAAATTATTGTACATGAAATGAGCAGTCCACGCTCCCGAGTCTAATGAAACATAAGACGAATATACTTACTTGTAGCTCTACATTTGAATGCCACCTCCAAAACCAACAGGCCGCCTCTGACCTCCATTTTCAGGTACAATGGCCATGACCTTGTAGATCTGTCCCATTGATCCGCCGCTCTTCTCGACCAATCGCTTCCAGGCGGTCTCTAGTGTCTTTTTGTGCTCTTCATCCTGCACCTTACGGAGCAGCTGTCGCATGCGCTCCTCGATACCCATGGCCCCGAGGAAGTCACCCTGCTCAACAGGACCGTGGACCTCGACGCCCTCACTGCCCTCGAGGGCCGCTTCAGCCAGCGAGGTGAAATCCACATCCGCACTGACATCCACTCGGCCCGGTTCCGAGAGTGGTGCTACTTTCTCGTGGTTTTTAATTCCGCGCAGCGAATTGATAGGGATGGTTGACAATGTCCCATAGTCCATGATCAGGGCTGCGCCAGATGGAGTCTTCTTCTGTGATGACGGGGCTGGGCTAGAAGCAGAGGTCTTTTTAGCAGCAAGCGCAGAACCAGAGTCACCACCGATACGGCGTGCAAAGTCCGCAGCATAGATTCGGCTCTCAGGGCTGATTTCGATGGTCGAGCCTGGCCGCGACTTAAGTGCTCGGTAACGCTGAGAGATCTCCGGGATCACTAGCGACGACGGCGTGGAAGCTTTGGCTTTGGTCAATTGGAACTCGGGCTCTCCTTTTATGTTCTCTTCGACGGCTTTTGGATTCAATGTCACCATTAACTCACGCCATTGCGGGGTGTTCACGTGTTTGGGCGGATTGTGTAGTTCTGCTGGGCCGGTGGGAGTCATGATCTTTCGTGGCTCGTTGGCCTGCTGGTTCTCTGGGGATGGCGGAACAGATTCGAATGCATGGATTGGAAGCGCGTCGAAGAATTCATGTGCGAAGATGAAGGGTGTCTTCCCTTCCTCTGTATCACCAATGTAATTGGTCAGCATCAGACAAACGGGCAGCTGACTTAAAATCATCACTCACCATGTGGCAGAAGGCGAATATCCTCTACCCAGACGATAGGGACATCAAAGTACTTGCACACACTCCGATGTCCGATATCCGTCTCCTCCAGCACAGCCTCCTCGCCGCACAGCAGCTTCTTTTGAACTTCTCTAAGGGTTCCACTAGCTTCCACAAGGTAAATGGCTTCAACACTTGAAGAAAAGCTCTTGAAATTTCGGAAAGTCTGTTGGTTATAGAAATGGTGGTCAGTCCAATGACCTTCTTGTCTCTTTTTCATAAAAGAAAGATAGGCATAAATGCAACTACTCACCCGCAGCATATCATCCATCAAAGTTCCTTTCCCTGGGCCAACCTCCATCAGCTGGACACCACTTCTCGTCCGTCCCTGGGCCATCCACTCCGCGATAGTCCAGATACCGATCAACTCTCCAAAGACCTGCGAGATTTCGGGTGAGGTGACGAAGTCACCATTTTTGCCGAAGACACCTCCACCCTCCCCTCGAGTCGTATAATATCCACCATCAGGAGAAGTCAAAACCTGGCGCATGAACGCTGCGATTGGTACGGGGCCAGTGACCTAATTTCCAGAAGCGCATGATCAGCAAAAGTGCATTGAGAGGCAAATCGAAGTGCATAGCTACCTTCATAACATTGGCCAATGTTTTCGCCAGCGGCGTGGACCATTCTCTCTGTTCAAACGTGGAGTTCCATCTTCCTGGACATCTTGGAAGTACTGTGTTGCGAGGTCTGCGGAGGATATGCGACGCCACGCGCCTCGTGGTTTGGTTCATTCTTGCCTCGGAGCTGAGCGACAGTAATTGTTTGTATCGTCGGATATGCAATACTGTAACTTTTCACAGTGGGGAAACAAAACGTCCGGGCCCCAAACACATTCTATTGCGTCGCGCCTAGTCGAGATGTTTCTCTCAATCTCTCCGCGGAAGCTCTGCTACACGTGATCACAGCTTATCGGATTGTTATCAGCCGCTAGTCCTAGGATAGTTTAGTCGGCAATCCAAAGCCCTAAAATCTTAGAAGACTTCATGCCATTATTATTACTCCGTATAGGAACAACATTAATAGTCGGCCGCTTATGCGGCCTTGTCATGGATTTTTGGTGGTTTTTCACATAGTCTTTTGGTGATCTTTAGATTTTCTTTTCAGATGTCTTTTAATGTCCTTTTAGACGTTCTTTTTCGATGTCTTTCCAATATTCTTCTAGACGTCTTTTAGATGCCTTTTAGATATCTATTTAGATGTTCTTTTTTGATGTTATTTTAGGCGTATGCGAAGATGTTAAAAGAAAGCATACATTGTGCAAAGCCCTTGTAGGAAATTGTCCTTCCCGGATCGATCTATTGATGGAACACCTTATAATAGTAATTCAAGTATCTTCATTTTTCTACCAGTCTTATTTCAGACATCAATAATACTTTAAAAGGAGATTTTGTCACACAGCACCTATACTGCTGCATACATCGACTTTCTCGAGACATACTTCGTAGTGAAAGCAGCAAATAAGAATAAAACGAAGGAAAACAAAAACTGCAAGAACAATCGAATTTCTTCCTCATTATCCTCCTCTTTCAGAACATGTAAAAGAACTCTAAATAGAACGTGAAATAGATATAGGAAAGACATCGAAAAGAACGTCTAAAAGGACGCCTAAAAAAGACATGTAAAAGGAAAATCTAAAGAATGCTATTTACACTATATAAATTGATATATCACCACTCTTTTGGGGTGATTTACAGCTCATAAGTGTGAAATAACTTTATCTTTATACTTAAAAGTATAGAGCTACCAAAACTCTCTAAAAGTGGTGACATATGGATATTATAATAGTTGATAGCTTATGAGACTTCGTGATGCTCATTTCAGATGTTCTTTTAAATGTCTTTTTTAGAGCATGTGAAGGCGATAAAAATCAGTACTTTCTATAGACGATCTTTCTGCACGCATGTATGTATGTAGTTATAGTTTTATGTATGGCGGTCTAAGCCCTAGGGATAATCAAGTATGCAGGTATCAGTGATACCCGAAAAGGGGGGCATATTGCATGGCACCTATACCGCTTCACATTGGCTATTATATATAGCCCGGCCTTTGCTTTCTATTTAAAGAACTTCAAACATTTCTCTTTTGTTTCACATTGTGTAAGGACTTCTCGGTTGATCAGGTTGATGCTTTATCTCATCAAATGAAATTTTATGACTTCCGAGGTGTATAGTTACGGGAGAAATGTCTATTTATATACTCTATAATTGCGGGCGAGCAGTATGTCCATTTCTAGAGAATAAGAAAGCCTGACATGGCATAGATCACTAACAACTAACATAGGGTCCTCCTGATTCATAAATAGCTTTCCCAACACAATTACCCGCCTGTAATGGTAGAGCAAACTGTATCATGTAGTTGTCCGTATCACGAATCGGGGTGGGATTCCACATAGTGACGATACCACAACTCTTGAGGGCCTCGTGAAGGGTGGATCCATCGTCAGTGATCCAGCCATCGCTCCAGATATCAAACCAATCCGCTACACCTTTGTACTGTCTCTTGCAGATGGGCGCGTATGGGTTCGGGACAGTCTCGGTTGTTGACTGACTGCAACATTGATTGTCGATGATATTGTCTAGACAATGTCAGTACACAGTCCGGTTGTTTGAGATAGAACATATAAATGAGGGGCTTGTACTTTGACTATCATAGAGGCAGTTATCCCCCTTGAAATAAACATCGCCATAATAGGACGGCCAACTGGCAGTGAGCTCACAACCAGGTTGGATATTCTCGTGGGTGGAACTGCTGCCATCAATTTGGGCATATATCTTCACTGTAGTGGTATCTGAATCGGAGCGTATGGCGGCTTTTTTATAGGTTAGCTGGTGCTTTATTGGTTATTAAGATTGAAACGCCAGTGGAAACTCACTCTGAGTCCAGCCGTGGCATAGGACCTGTCCATTCACAGAGATACAGCCGACATCATTGTTCTGTGATCTGAGTCAGTTTTCTTGTTTGCATAGGCCAAAAGTTGGAGGGAAACCCACAATAGTAGTTCCATTCCCTCTAGGGGCCACCGTGTTAATGGATATCTCAGGCGTAGGAGCTGCTGAGCTTGTGGTGGTTGCTGAGCTTGTGGTGAGGAGAGTAGTGGACTGTATTTCAGAAGTTGATGACGGCAGCTGCACAGACGATGACTGGGTGCTAATGAACTAGTAAGGATTTGACTGATTGATGATAACGAATAATAAACTGACCTGCTTGAAAAGAGAGAGCTGGAAGATCGCGCTGGCTGGCCTGAAGCGATGGTTTGACTTGAAGCAACAGAGCTAGAAGGCCGCACTGTTTGACTCGAAGTGGCGGTTTGACTTGGAGTAACAGAGCTAGAAGGTTGTACTGGCTGGCTTGAAGCAACGGGTTGACTCAAAGAATCAGTCTGGCCTGAAGCAACAGAGCTAGAAGACCTCACTGGCTGGCTTGAAGTAATATAACTGGAGGCATGCGCTGACGGAGTGCTACTCCATGCTGGACCGGAGCCGGTAGTTAGCGGGAAGTTTTGGATAGCTGTAAATTCAGCGACATCTGATGTAGCCGTAATGGAAAGAGTGGAAAGGGAAATGGTCTCTACCACCGTGGACCTCGTCGTACTTGAGGAGGAAGAGGAAGAGGAGGAGAATGTGGTAGCATCCACTAAATCCTGGATATTATCAGATGCCGGGTACATTCCGGGAGTCAACCACGAAGGCACGGAGCCAAGAGGTATAACCATCATGCCAGCAGCATCAATCATGATGGGTGTGGCAACACTGCCAACCATTACGATAGCAGCCAGACCTGTAGCAGGAATAATTGGCAATCCAGCAAGGATATCATTGGAAACTTGCTCCTTAACGAAAGTCACACTCTCTGCAGGATTTGATGGATTGGTGACGGTGGCTTTGGCGGAGTCCGAGGTGGGAATGGGAATGGCAGCCACTGCGATAGAGGTTGCCGTGATGATTGCAGCAGCTGCAGATGAACTAGTGGTCTGCGTAGAAGAACTCAAATAATATTGAGAAGTCGCTGAAGTAGTAGTGGGGAGGAACGGCACAGCGATGGAGCTGGAGCTGGAGCTGCTGGTTGTGGTTGATGATGCGAGTGCAATGGAGCTAGAGGTGCTAGCATATTGTGTAGCTGCTGATGAGCTACTAGCATCCCGTGTGGTTGACGATGGAGATGCAATAGAGGCAGAGCTGCTAGCATTCCGTGTGGCTGATGTTGACGAGGTATAGTGAAGAGGCACCACTGTATTGCCATGACGAGAAACACTTGCAATTTCAGACAAAGTGTGTCCCTGATTCGCGCTGCTCGACAAACTAGTTGAAAAAGTGTGCTCGGGGTGGGTTTTTCTCAATGAACTGGTTGAAAAACTGCTTAGATGGTGAGACGACGAAAGCGATCCAGGCGGAGCCTTCCATCTCCTATGGCTATACCCACAGACACCCTGTAGGAGGAGACCACAAATAAACAACCACGCAGAGACTTGCATCTTTTTTATTTATTTCTATTTTTGAACAAGAAAGGAGGATGAGATTGAAAGAATAAATACATCTCCAATATCTACTAGGTACATATAGGTTTTGACTCTGTGCACGATTCTATTTTGAAACCCAAATTACTTTGATCTAGTGGACTTTTGAGGTGTTTAATTGCACGCGACCTCATTCCGATTGAGGAATACCTTCATAGAGTAAGTGGGCTTTGAAGGTGCGTTATATTATGAATATCAATTATCAGGCCAGAATATAGCCTCTCTAAGCCATAAAGATACCTCTGCGTTTACTATGGTCTAGAGATAGTTCGAACAATTATGACCAAGTTCCGCCAATAATGCGCATTTTGATCGAAAGTCCAAAAGAGTCTTGCCCCACGTTCATACTCTAGACTAAGCATTTACCCAAGCTGGCAAACGGCGAGCTCCACCTGGGCAGCTGCCCACTTTCCCGATGCGGAGCAAAAAACAACCCTATACACGATACGATATCCCATTGGAAGGTCTACTGACGTCTAAAGATATTCTAGTACAATCATGCACGACACATAATTCCTTGAAGCAAAACATAGATGTCCACGGGTATCCTCGCTGTTATCCAATGGTTAGCCATAATCAATTGCTCGTATGCCCAGTCAAAACAACATTGGAAGCTTGAAAATACAATACAATACATGCATAATTACAGTTAGCGGGAGACCCACTTCCCGTGGATGTCTTGGCAGGTACATCTATGGATATACCTGGATATGTACCTTCCAACCAAGGTTGGTATCTTCCAAGGTAATTGGGACCATTTGGGGGCGAAAACATCCAATATTATCTCGTACAGTGCCTCTTCTAAAAAAGGACCAGGAGAACAGCGAGGAAATTCCTTTTTTGTGTCTTCCATGCTCCATAATGGGACGTTGGTTTGTTTCAAAGTCGAGTGATTTACATTGTACAATGTTGCACCCTTTGCGGGAAAAAAAAGGAGACCAGTAATGACTTTCCTTATTCGTATCCTCCTTGTCCCATACTTAGACTGTCGGCCTATGTTTTAAAGCTGGATGCAAGCAAAATGAAACAAAATAAGGCCGAATGTGGAGGTAGTATGAGTAATAATAATTCTTCGTTGATTTTGATTAACTTCTTTAGGATTCCACGTGAGAAGTTTTGAACTAGATACAACATAAAACACTAAACATCCCCATCTACAGCTCGAAAATTTTCAACTCATTGTCTTTTCCAACCATGCAGCCCCAAGTCCATCTTTGGCTTTTCATGCTGCTGTCCTCTTGGGCGGCAGCTTCTCCTGTTCTCGTCAATCCAACATCCTACCTACAGGTGACATCTTACCCGTCTTCTATTGATAAACGGGGTGATGAAGCCATGACTTTCCCAGCCAGTGAATGCGGCTCGCCCTGTACGATCAGCTTTCAGCCAATTACCACGGCATTGACTGTATCTGTTCCATCTCAGACTGTCTGGGTAGCGAGTATCACCAAATCCGTGTCCTTTGGATTTACCCCGGTCACCACGACCACCGTTTTCCAACCGAGTGCCCAGACATTTTCCAATAATGACCCAGCTGCCACCCCGAAAATTACACTCCAACCATTGCAGTTGGGAAGTATTATAGTTTTCGGTAGTGAGGACATGGACATGGATATTGACGATGAAATGGACGTCGACCACTATGAGCAAATCATCCTACCGGTGGAATACATGATCATTGACGATGATCCAGTGGAGCATTTGAACGTTAAATACAACCCGTATAACTTGGAAAACAATTGCGCCATCATCACCATGTCTTATTTGATGGGAATGTCATTAGATGAGTTCCTCAGCCACGTGGAATTGATGCAACCGGGGCCAACTCAACCTGGGGGCATGAGTACCAATCAGATTCAAGAGTACCTCACAGCCACTGGTCGCAGATACGCGTAAGTAGAATATTTCCTTTGACTAGTCGTTTACTGACATTTGAAATAGACTCATACCATATGATAGCTATCTCGCCGATATGAATTCAATGCTGGACTTTCTTCATGTTAAAAAGCTTGGGGCCTGCTACTGCCGTGATGACTTCTCGGGGCATTGTGTTGTGTGGGAGAACGACGCTTTCTGGGATTTCCAAGGCTCAGATACCCCAGTGCCCTACATCGAGGAAAACGGCGTCCCGGTCTCGAATTACCTACGCTTGCGGGAAGTAGTGAACCCTACTACCGGACAAAGGGTTCGAGTGTTACCACACATCTTTGCTATTTATTAAACACAAGAAGAGTGGGCCGCGTTTACGGCGTTGTGATGTCTTTTGTTTGGCGGGTTTTGAAAGGTCTTTTAGATGCCCCCCTTAACAATCTTGTTAGATGTTCTCAAATGTTAAGGACTTTGTATATCCACTAGATAGTATTTTGCTGATTGTAATGCGAACTCTCTCTGTATAAGTAGTGGCTGGAGGAGATTTCGGATAACATATAAAATAAATAAGCCACAGTGCAGTGAAGATAGTCAGAGGAATCTAACAATGAAACAGGACACGCAGTGAATTTCAGTATCAAGTCAATCAAAAAAGAAAATTTGTTCCGTTGCTTCTGACTTCATTATTGAGTACGCATCAAGAAATTCATTGGCTGCTATCTATAGCACGGCCTTTCCTTTGTCTTTGAAGAGCTTCGCACTTTCTTTCTTGCTTCACGTTCTACCGTTGCTACCCTCGGCTCAACGCATTTCTTTGTCTTGCCGCTCTAGCTTGTATGTCAATGAGCTTTGACTCCGTGCTAAAGTCCACAAGTTTTATCTCTTTTGCGCTGGACTCTCGACTCTACCGAATTTGTCTTTGTTTGATAATAAACAAAAGTTGGTGCCTCAAGTTATAAAAGCTGTTTGCTCCTCAAAAATTAATCTCTCTCTCTCTTCTGCATCCCTCTTCTTAGTTGGTATCAACCCACAACATTTTCTAAACCCTCTTCATCAACAACTGAGCGTGGTGTTGATTCAAAATGCCCACCACTCGCCAGAAAAGAAAAGACGATGATCCCCTTCTACCTGGTCTCCCTGAAACAAAGCGACCTAGGAGTGATAAGGGCGCTGGTTCTACCTCCGGCCGTAAGCCCGCTGCACAAAAAGGGAAAAAGGTATTGTATCCCCATGCACCTTTTATCATGGAAATTACTTACAAATGATTGATTTAGAAGAAGCAAGATTCAGAACCGCCTTATGTTGCACTTGCAAACGACATCCTCAGGCGCGGGGATGCACTACTCCTTCCTGGACCCCCTGCAAAACTTGGTCAAATCAACGAGATTCCACCAGTATGGGGACCTCGTGATGAGCCAATAACCGATCCTACCAACCTGCCTAAAGGATGGACTGCAAGCGAACTAGATCTAGATGACGAGTAGGATCAATGCCAACTTTCTCTGTCTATTGAGTCTTTGCTGACATTTTCGTGATAGTGATGTCGACGGCCAAATTGCGAGATGTCTCAGACGCATCGACGAAAAAATCTTGCCTGACATTTTCGAGAACAGATTGAAAATGTACCAACAGATCAAGCAGAAGCAGATGTAAGAAAATCCTGTATCCCATATGTACTCTGTTTTTCTCTTGACAATGACTAACCCGCTCGTTTATAGAGACATGATCAACTCCGAGCCTGACGGTCTTAGCTGGGAAGTCGTTCAGCGCCTCGATTCTCTGAAGAGGGTCCAAAAGAGTTTCGACGAGTTGGGAAATGACAGTGGAAATATCCCCAACGTGAAAGCCATCATGGCTGCCTACCGTTCGGGGGACCTTGTCTGGGATGCAAATTCAGTCACTTACTGGGCACACGGGAAATTGATTGGTGGTCCGAGGAAAAATGATGTGGATGAATTTCTCGCGTTTAGTAAGGAGCATGGCCCACATGGTGTTTGGGTAGAAGGAGTGAGTTCGAATACAAGAAAGATCTGAGCCTCATTCGCCATTCACACGTAGACTTCTTGTTTTATCAAGTTAGTCCAACATGAAGGCAATAGACGTTATCCAACCTACGCACAGCTCCTAACATTGACTTACTAGATCGGCAACTACAAACCGGAACCGATGAACCTGTTCCTCACTTTGCGGCCGATTCTTTATGGGCACGCCATGCATCAAGTAAGACTTCCCAGGCGAAAAACAAAAAGAAAACATGAATCAATGCTAACATGAAACAGTTTACAGTAGCGATCCGGAATCCCACTACTTGGAATATAAACACCCGGGAACATACCATGTTCCTCACAGTTATGGAGGATAGTGGTGCTTCGGCAATGAAGATATTCCAAGAAGATCGGCTCTCCCTTGAACGCATGAGCGGTGCCCCCTACCTATCTCTGGTATGATGAATATGTCCACAGCAGGTGGTCTGATGGAGGCGGATACTGTAGTATTGCAAGTCAACATGTTCCACAATGGTCAGGTTATGCTCCCTCGGTGGATTAACCTTCGAGCATGTATAGCCCGTCAACGCCCCAATACTCCTCCGACGGGTGTACGGCTATCTGGTATTTGGCTTCACCATATGCTATATTGTTTGAGTGCGCCTGATAACACTGGGGATATGTATGTGGGAACTGATCTCTCTGAATTTTTGACACAGCTACCCCCTTGCATCCCTGCGTTCGCAAACCCACCACCCACATAATCATATATACCATTTGATCAACCTATTCCTCTCGGGAATTTGATCATGCATCGGAGTTGGAGATCGATTGTTGGTTATATATTCTCATGTTACTTCTTATACTTGCGTTTTTGTTTTTGTTTTTGTTTCGTGTCTTTCGTTTTGGTTTATATGGAGCTTCGGTATATATCTCGTATATTTGAAGTTCTTGAATTTGGGACTGTTCAAGATTATTTACTCTTTTTATTGCTACTGCGAGGATTAAAGCCTATATATAGACTTGGGTTGGTACCTATAGTTTCACCTCTTCTTTTCTTTCGTCGAAGGAGTAAATAAGCAACTAACGAAGGGGCAACAGGTAATACCGTAGCGGGACTACGGGTTGATCTGCATATTAAAGAAGAATTCTCAATAAAACATTAATATTCTGTCTGGTTTGTCCCGTTCGCCTCTATCTGTTGCAAAAAGTGTGCTCCGAATGCTAAAAAAAGATGTCCATAAACTGCTGTGACCATATCATACATTTCATGAGAGTGCAGGAAGAAGCATGATCTCCACGACCGTTTCGCGCAGTGCATACTATGTACTCCTTACACCAACAACGCTAGCCAACCTCAATTTCTCATGCTCAAGCTTGGATATTTAACGACGCCATTTCCGTTGGTTCTGGTTCTTCTGAGTATTCCGTGCCGGCGCATCGACCATCATTTCATCGCTGTAGAGGCCAGTCTGCGAGTCTCCTTGGTTATCAGATAGCAGGTCTTTCACATGGCCCGGGCCACGACGGGCTCGGAGTCGTTCCTGATCAGCTTGTGCTCGGAGGGCAGTGAAAGGATCATGGTGGGTTGTGGCCCTCGCCGATTTAAGGGTCATTGTAAGAAGTCTCCCGTCAGCCTAGAGTGGTTTGTCAGCATCTATCTTGCGATATCATTAGGCAGGAGCGGCATTTACCCTCTGATTGTGGAAATTGGCAACCACCAGCTCTGCAGCCGTCTTCTCTGCATATGCAAATTCCGCAACAACACTTGGCTGGCTTGCTACTATCTGGCAGCTGATCATGGGGCCTGTTATGGGCTCAAGCGCAGACTGGATATCGGCAGCTGTTGTCCCAGGCGCAAAGTTCTTTCCGATGACAATGAATGGGCCTGAGGCACCCTTAATGGTCATGTTGCTGCCACCAGATAGACGGCTGCTCTGTGCGAAGTTGCCGGATCGCGCGTTCAATTGGCCATTTTCGGGTTGGAAAGCTGCCCGGACCTGATCCGCATTCACGCGATCTTTCTTGCCAGCTTTGCCGCGTGTCCGAGAGTTGTTCGTGGGTGCGGGCTTGTTCTTGTTGGGTTGTACGGTCGCTGACGCGGAGCGCTAAATTTCGACGCGAAAAATTGTTAGATTTTTTTCTCCATTGGTGGTCGCATTGATGGTCATATGGTGGAATTGTTCATACCTTGGCTACTCCGATCCTGCTGGCTAAGCTCCCGGGCTTTGCATTTTGTGCTTTGTTTTGCGCTTTCTTGCCAGCACCAGCGCCCGAACCTGGCGCGCTTGACCTGCGGTTCTTTCCAAGGAGTTGGTTTGCGAGGTCCTCTTGCTTCTTCTTTTGACGGTCTGTGGAGGAAAACAGTCAGATCTTGCTAGGTGTCATGTCGGGTGGTTGGAGTGATTACCAGCCTGGATGATGGCGTCGAACGAGACAGGCTGTTTGGTCGCCATGGCAGAATGAATATAGATTAGACAAATTAAGAAAGGCAATTAAGGAAAGAAATAAGTCAGAATAAGTGAGGATACGTGACAATCAGTGGAGATGTTGAAGAAGAAAAGAAGCTCCGGGAGCCGATCAGCTTTGGGGGCCAAGCTATCGACTCTTATCCACAGCTAACTCCTTGATTATGCATAGCCACATCTATAGCCATTGACGCCAAGGTTGTTTCTACGTTTCTATATTATTCTATTGTAGATTTTTTCCTAAATATATATTGAAATCTGCCTGATTAAAAACCAAAGGTGTACCTAAACCTGAAAGTGTAGGCGAGAGGCACGGAGCATATCTCCGAAGTAGATTATATACGTATTGTAAAGTGTAGATCAACGCAAATGCAGGCAATAAAACAGAATCTGGTATTGTTTACTCTTGTAATGTGAATAAAAAGCAATTACCCCAATCGAAGAGTAAATCCAGCCCCTGCTTCACCGGTATCTCCACCCGGGGCACCTCCAAATACACCCGCAAAGTCCAGCTCGGGTGCTTCCTGGCCCCGTTTAGGAGCCTCAGGTGTGCGATGACGTCTCCGCTTCTCCATGCCAGCCTTGGAGGGAAAGGTCGGGAACATCTCTCGTGGTTTGGGCCGTGGATCTTCCTTGAAATATTTGTGATCGAGGCACTGTCTTGCCGTAGGACGGGAGGCCGGATTCAGCGCTAGCAATCCTGACATGAGACCCAAGCCTGCATTGGTCAGGTAGGGGAATCGAGAGCGAGGTAGTAGAGGCGGGTTGCCGGCCGAAGAAGGTGCCGATGTCGACGGGATTCGCAAGCTCTTGGCGTTGGGCAATGAACGGAATCCAGGCCATGTTTCAGAGTTCGGTGGTCCGGTCAAGGCGAAGATCTTGGACACCTGGTCGACTTCATTCTTGCCCTGTAAGAGAGGCTCTTTGGTGAGCAACTCGCCAAAGATACAGCCAATGCTCCACATGTCGATCTCCGTGCCGTACTTTTCGGCGCCGAGGAGCAGCTCCGGCGCTCGATACCAAAGTGTCACAACCAGCTGGGTCAACTTGGGAGGTGGATCGCCGAAGTAGCGGGCCATGCCAAAGTCGGCGATTTTGAGTTCGCCACGGTTGTTCATTAATAGGTTGGAGGTCTTGAGGTCGCGATGCATGATCCACTGTGAATGTAGGAACTCGAGTCCTCCAACTACCTGTAGCAAGACGGTTTTGATCTCCGAAGGAAGGAAGGGCTCGCGCATCTCGTCGAGTAGGGATTTGAGGTCGTGTTCGTGGAAATCCATCACTAGGAATACACTGTTGGAACCAATTGATTAGCATATATAAATGATATAGATTCAATCACGGAGAACTCACTCGTCCATTTTATTGCCCATAACTACTTCCCGTAGGTACACGACGTTTTGATGTCGCGCCTCCATAAGCGTTTGGATTTCCCGAAGCCCAGTGACTGGGAACCCGTCCGGCGAGTTATCCAGTTTCAGCTTCTTCAGCGCGACGATTTCTCCCGTGGAAATATCCTTTGCACGTGAAACCCATCCATACGAGCCCTCCTCAATGTGATTCAATCTTTCGAAGTTATCCACATGCCTGCAGGGGCCCCATTCTCCAGCCGGGAAGCGTAGTAAGGTCGACTGGTTTCTCTGTTCCTTTTGGATGTCCACCACCTCGGCGTTGTTTGGATGGGCATCGGGGTCGTTGGAGAGTCTTCGTCGTTTTGTCGGAGGGCCTAGCTCGCCATTGGCTTGAGCATCCCGAGCTTGAGCCTTGCTGGCATTTTCCAGTCGCTGTTTCTCCGCTTTAGCGCGTTTTTTCTGCTCTTTATCGCGTTTTTGTTGCGCGATAATTGCCTCTGTTTCTGGGTCCTCATTCGCCCATCGGGATGACATTTTTCGTGGGGGAAGGTTGAAAGGGAGAGAAGTTCGGGAATGACGTTTCGTCAGAAGCCGAGTTCCTTCGATTTGAAATCCAACGCCCCCACCTTGAATTTGTATAGCACATTGCATGTTCTTTATTCTAAATCTTTAGATCTTTCTCTTTCGAGATATTATCTTTCTCTATTTCTTTCTACATCCTTCACCTTTAATTGTGCACATACTCCTATACTCCCCACCGGTGTCCGATCTACTGTCTCTTCCCCGCCATGATTGAACCATTCCAGGTCAGTCTATCTGAGTGCCCTGACTCATAAACACCCCATACTAATGCGGTTTTCGTGTCTAGACGACCTTCTCGGTCCCAATGACCTGTGAAGGCTGCGTGAAGTCTATCTCCAACTCTGTGAACAGCTTGGAAGGTAGTCATCTCCCGAAAACAGCCCAAACCAACCTGTATCAAGCTGACCCCGCGACAGGAATCAATAAGGTTGAAGCAAACCTCAAAGACCAGCTAGTCTTCGTCGAAGGCACGGCCCCTCCCAGCTCCATCGTGACCGCAATCGAAAACACCGGCCGCGATGCCATCTTGCGCGGCAGCGGAACTACAAACAGTACGGAATCCCCGGCTCCTAATGACTATTCCACGCGACACACATGAGCAATGCTAACTGATGCACACCAAACAGGTTCCGCCGTCTGTATTCTCGAAACGCACTCAACGAGCGTCTCAAACAATATCCGTGGACTCGCGCGCATGGTCCAGGTCTCCTCAAACATGACCCTCATCGACCTGACGATCAACGGCCTTGCGCCGGGAAAATACTGGACAACTATTCGAGTAGCAGGAGACATCTCTCGGGGCGCTGAGTCCACCGGTGGTATTTGGGAGTCTCTGAAGACTAAGGTGCTTGGCGCTGATGCTGCCGCCCCGGCTGAGGAGTGCCGGGGCATTCTCGGTACCGTGGATGTTGACAATAAAGGAAAGGGTAGTGTGTTCTTGGATAGACCTGTGGCCATTTGGGAACTTATTGGCCGGAGTATGGTTGTTTCTAAGGGAACGGAAGGCCCTTTCAAGCGTGAGGATGAGAATACCCTTGTTGGTGTTATTGCGCGCAGTGCGGGCGTGTGGGATAATGATAAGATGGTTTGCTCGTGTTCGGGTAAGAATGTCTGGCAGGAGAGAAAGGAGCAGGTTGTCTTGGGTATGGCTTAGGTGGGTTCTAGTGTTGACCTTATCAAGAGTGGTGTTGAATGTCGGTGATGATGCCACTCTTTGAACATGTAACCAGATCGATTACCGAGTGATATATACGTAGCTTCAAATATGTGATACCACGAAGAATAAATGCGATAATGAATGACGGTGGTTTTGCCTTGCCTTCAGTAAGATATCACGCAAACCTTGGAACAAACTACCTGTATTGTGTTCATAATCAGTATCTTTCCTTGTTTGTGAGGCTCTTCTACTATTAAATTTAGTTGCTAAGGTACCTGAATAAAGTCATAGATGGAGTATTTTTGTTCATTATTGAACCCCATCTTCTTTTGGGACTATACTTTTCCGGGATAGGATAGTCGATTATATTTTAAAACACTAATGCAAAGACCACGGGAAAACACCACAGAAGAAGTACATAGAAAGAATATTAAAAGAGAGAACAAGCTGCTACTGTGAAAACATCATTCAGGTTCTGCTAAAGGTGGGTAATAATACAATGTGGCCAAAGAGGACAGGCAGTCGTTTTGGTTAGGCCATTTCCATAAAAAAGTATCAACAAAGAATTTCACCAAAACTGTCTTGGATGCACAATTCCAGGGTAAAACTCGTCGTCCGTATCATCTTCCAGAAACTCTAATCCTGCACCGGGAATGCCATCAGATAAGAGCGGTAGGGACAGGACCCCCGGGGAGATCAGCCCAGTTAGTTGTTGAGGTGCTCTGATGTTAGCGCAGTTTCTGGTGGTATTCTGTGTAAATTTGACTGGTTGATTGCCTCTGTCGGGATACTGGCTGCTTGTTTTGCTATCCATAAGGAAATACCCATTTCCATCCTCCACTGGGCTTGGGAAAAGAAGTTCAGAGTCGATGGGGGACCATGGGGACCATGTATCGTTCGTCATTGATTCCATTGAAGTCATTTCAGTTGATGTGAGATCTCGCGATGTGGTATCAGCGGGTGTGGAACGGCTTGAATAATCTCCAACGCTTGACCGCTGTGTGGTTGCTCTTTCGGAGATAGACGTCCATATTTCGCCGAAGTTCCGGTTAGAGATGGAACTGAGGGGATTGGGATAGGAAAATGGTTCCATCTCTTCAGAACAGGTGATTGGGGTTTGTGGGGGTACCAAGGGTATGAGACCTTCATCATCTTCGTCATATGGAGGCGAGTTGTTGTATGTATTATCCTGGAGCACAATGGATTTGAGTGGGTTTTGGGAAGCGTGCGGGGTTTCTTCTTGTTCATTGAGCCTGGGACTGCTTTCACTCGGATTGGGACTGTGGTGGCTGAGGCTAGAAAGGTGTTGACTTGGGCTGGAACTGTGTTGACTGGTGTTGAGACTTTGTGCACGAGGGTTGGATGTGTGCTGATTAGGGCTGGGACTATCATGTTGTCTTGCCCACTGGTGCAGCGCCTCATGATATATTGCTGGAAATGCAAATCGAACTTCGGCGGAGCATTGTCTCGAGATGAGAACTGAACTTGATTGATCATCAATGATTTCTGTATCTGAACTTGCATGACTGATATTTTGCTGCTGAAGATTTGTTGCTTGCTGCTCTTCACAAATTGGCTCTGACAGGGCGTGGGCGGACATTTTAATCTCTCCATCAGTAGAGATTGCAACGCCCCATGTTTGTTGTATCAAATGGTTCTCTGTCGATGGCGTGGTGTGAGCAAAGTAATCTTTGGAATTTATACTTGTCCCCAACTCTCCAGTTTCACCAAATTGGAAGTCAAGATCATGGTCGGTGGCTAGTGTACAAGTCGAATTTACCCCCGAATTACTTACAGCTCGGCTGGGTTGGTAAAAAATGGGCGTAGACGCAGATGCAGATCCGGGAAATGTTGCGAACGAGTCAGGTATCGAACCCAGAGACCTCACGCGGATAAGCGACTCCATATCAGTACTGGACGATGGCGAAGACGGTGGAAGATGCATGCGAGATAGTTCGGCGCCGAAGTTCACGTCCTCCTGTGTATCCGAAGTGTATGCCCCAGATGAAATTGCATAGCGTTGTCTTTCGTGTCTCAGAGCAACGGGACTAACAAAACCTTTCTCGGGGCTGTCTTCTTCACTTGAACGGTGGCTAAGCCCTGCGCGCAGCGCCGATAAACCTGATCGTGCTTTGTGGAGAGTTCGTTTCGAGACGGATTGGACCCATTCCTTTGGATTGTGTGGCTCTGAAGTCAAACTCTTTTGCTTATTTGGACGCCACCACGAGGTCGATATCTCGGGATTGTGGCGAGGATCTAGGGGATTAAACACAGGGTAATGGATCCTTTCTTGGCAAGTTGGCTCTTCCTGCACTGGATGAGGTATGCTGCTGTCTTGGTTAGCAGGACACCTCTTTCATCCTTTTTTCATTCTTTGTATTCAATTACCTAGGTCTCGTGCTTGCCCTGGACCGAAAGACTGATGATAGCGAGAATAAATGGCGACGTATGGTGTCTGAGCCTGTCTGTTGGTTGACAGGACTCATTTTGTTCAGATTGCTTTGTGACGTCTATCCCACCATCCGAATCATCAATGAAATAAAGGAAGAATGTGAATAATCAGCAAAGATAGATATCGATTATGCCAGCGCGTGAATATGTGACATGGAAAAAAAAAAAAAACCAAAACACCAATGCTGGAGGTCTGGTTAAGATCGGGAGATTAAAACCGAAGGGACGCGTGATCAAGATCTAGTCGAGCTTGATCGCTCTTGCCCTCGAGCTCCATGCTCTCCGCCTTTTGCCAATTGTATACGTTAAAATATTGGACACTAAAATATTCCAAGGTTGTAGGTTTACATTACTTAGCCGGAGATCATTGGCCGTATTAGATTTCCGAAGCATTTTGATGAAACTGCGAGAATGAATGAATAGGGGAAGACAACTATAAGCTTCTATGCACGATAAGCATTAGAGGTAGGGTTCGTCATGGCAACGTGACCGAACGCGCGACAGAAAGCGGGACAACGATATATGGCAACAGCGACATCAGCAGAACCTCCTCGAAAAAAGAGAAGCATGAATTTGCATGGGATAAAAGCTGTACTTCTACACATGCGAGGAAAGAAGCCTGGAGAGCTTCTAAGCAACCTTGAAAAATGGAGATATATACATTTCTTGTCTATCCATGGCACCTTGCTTATTAAGGTAAATATAGTATTAATTTTCCCCATCCGAGAGCCGTAATTTGCTATTTTAGGAGTCGGGGATGTGGACTTTCTCCAACCAGTTGTCGTTCCTGCACGTTGGCATTAAACTCAGTATTTCCCATGCATGGCATTCAACGTGGAGTCAAGTCTCGCAAGGATATTTCTGTCCATACGAGCCAGACATTCAATCGAAACCATCTGGTTCAGGGGCCGAGTGGGAGATGACCCAAAACGATCGAGGCCTGGTATCACCGCCAGGATATTTTGCTTTGCTCATGTTCCCACATTGGGTGGTTGAGGTAACATTCAGATTGTGGCGGCGCATAATGGCTTCGATCTCTAGGTAAAGTGGACGGATGTTCTGTTCCAGGGTAGTCACAGTCTCCGCTTTTACTGGCAGAGAAGGAGAGCTGATAATGCTGACAGATAGATAGACGTCAAAGGAGTGCATGTACTGCTCCAGGCTCATTTCGCCCTCCAACCCTTCGAATTAACGAGGATAACAACGCCTTTTCGGGGCGATAAAGGAGGTATAGGACGGCCAGAGGGCGAAAGAATGGAGGCTGGATCAGCCATCACCGATATGACAAGAAAGACAAAAAGCTTCGGCGTAAGGTAAAAAAAAGAAAAGGGGGGGGGATACTGAGGCAAGCACGGCTGTAAGGCTGTCAGTGAGAGGTAAGTGAGATACAAGTGAGAAGTGAGAGAGGCTAAGGACAAACCTTCTGTGGGCAGAGACAAAGAGAAAATCGGTCGAAGACTGTAGAAGTGGTGTATGGACAAGAAAATCAGATGGGATAAACAACTCGAGTGAGGAAGAAGAGAGAGAAGAAAAAAGACTCTGCTTATACTCTCCAGGGCTACCTACCTAGGTAAAGGTCCAAACTGATCCTGTGATCTCATTGGTTCTTACTTCCCATTGATTCGAGGTCTTTTATGAGCGATTAAGTATGCCACTGGTTCATAAATCTTTCGTTAGTTCTGTTTTAAGAGTTATTATGATCTCCTTGTCGTAAAGACCAACTTGGAAGACACGCTGGTTTAAAAAAAAGGATATAATCTGATCTCCTTATGGTTTATGATTAATAGTTGGTCGTATTATTATAAAGTTGAAATTAATTATATAGCCAAATTTTATATCTAGAGAAGTCTCTTATATAGAATATGCTTTTTTACCGCCATCGTATACATCTAAAAAGATAGCTAAAAAGACGTCTAACAGTCATCTAAAAAGATAGCTAAAAAGACGTCTAACAGTCATCTAAAAAGAACATACCAAGGCAGTACAAGCGGCTGATTATAATTCTGGTCGGCTTTTGGCTTGTAAGAAATATATTGGAGCCCACTGCGCCTCCTATTTTCCCATAATCCAAGCCAAATCAGTTTGCCTTTCTTTTTCTTTTCCCTGATGAAGATTGTGGAGCTCACTTACCAAATTACCAATCGACATAAATAGTGCCATCCCAATCACCCTTTTCCAGGACGGGGCGAGATGATTCCCTATCCATGAGACAGCACCGATCAGCAGGGGATAAGAGTTAAAAAAGGCCAATTAATAATATTGCCGTAATACTAATAGCCAAAGGTAGGGAGGGATCTCCTGAGTTCATCCCCACGGACATGACGCCCTGCTGGCAAGTTTGCGATAGGGCATGACCGCTTGAATACGGAACCTAGAGTGCGACTACCTGAGACAAATCTAGGTGTTTCCCCCAGCATTGCATTATAATCTTGCTAGACATGCTGTGCTTTCCCTGGATTTGTGACGTCCTTGCGCTGCAAGAATGATAAGTGAGGAAACTGGCCGCAAAACCCCGTATTAGGTACGGCCTCCTATCCTTGAAGCCAATGAGGAGCATACGGTTTGCGCTTAACACGCTAGACAGAATTAAGAATAGATAGCAAGGTTACATGATCGGATCTGTCAAGAGATCTTGTCCGCAATCACACATCATTCCCAGAATGGCAATTTATGCGGCCTTTGCTCTGGCTGGTTATAGTTCTCAATGGGAAAAGAATGGTCAAATCCCAGAGATAGGACAAACATGCCAAGTGTCTGCCGAACATGCTTAGATATGTGTGGGGCTTAGATATGTGTGGGCATGTGCGACCGGCTCAACCTTGGAGGGACACTGTCACAGTCTGTCACTTGCCCCATTTTTAATCGAACAGCATTCAACTCCCACGTGTTTGGAACGTCCGGGGTATAGAAGCACTAGGTCCCAGCGTGGATATTTCCCCGCAGAAATACGGGGACGGAAATCACCGTGAGAGATAAAAGTAATTGCAAATGTCAAGCTTCACGCACATCGGCGTCTCCCGTCTGACAAGGAGCAGGAAGCTTGATTGAAAGCCATAGAGGATTGGCTGGGATACTGCCAATTAGGGGGTGTTGCGCGAGCACAAGGTTTAGCCACGCAGAAGGCACCCCTGCAAAATGATAAGAGGAAGTGACATTCAAGTATCTCGAACAAATGTGATTGGTACAAGGATCATCAAGAGTTTCAATACGGAGTACCTACCTACTAAAGGTGGAGTCAAGGATAATGTCACTATCAGGAGATAATCGGAAGTCGGAGATACTTCTTATCAAGTCCCGAGACAGGACACTCCACTTGTGGACTTTCAGATCCGCTCACACATGTCCGTCATCCAATGACAATCAAACACCAAGTTCAAGACGCCAAGCGAGTGCACAACCCTCGGCATGCTGATAAGCTAGGGTTATCCGGAGGGTTATGATTGGTTTAACTGATTCCTTGATGGGGCCTCAAGGCTTGTTATTCGGCTCGTCTTCTGGAATTTATGGATTTTTCGAGGAGGAACACGCGACAGGGCTATCTTTGCCACAGTGCGCGCTCCTCGGTGGGGCCGAACGCGCAAAGAATTCTCGTGAGACACTATATTAACAGCTCCTCCCGGTCGGTGGAGCGAAAAAAAGAAAGAAAGGACGATGTGACACTGTCCCTTCATTTAATTCCTTCAATTTCCCTGGGTCTCGTTGAGCCTTTCCAGCTCGCCGATTAATCCCGTTTATATATATATATATTACATTCTTCACCTTCATTGGTGAGGATTCGACCGAAAAGATGCTCCCTAACCTCGCCAAAACGTTCCGCAGCTCAAATGAGGACCTGGAAAAGGCACCCCGAGTGAATGATACCTCCGACTTGAATAGCAATGAGCTATTCGACAACTCAAGTGATGGCACCGTGCCCGGCGAGAGCTTCGAATACGGCGATTCGATGTACGCCAAGCTCCAACGCGTAGCCGGCAAGTTCAACATCGAGCAGCGAGGTGTCGAGCGAGTTCCAGATTCTGAGCGGACCGATACGTCCTATTTCAATATTGGTAGCATGGTGTGTTCCTGCAATTACCTGGCGTGATCGCCGTGGCCTAGAGGCCTTTTCCACTGACCAAACCTAGTGGTTGGCCGCAAACATGGTCGTCAGCTCCTTCGCCATTGGCGTTCTTGGAAAGTCGGCGTTCAGTTTGGGCTTCGTTGATGCCATTTTGGTCTGTCTCTTTTTCAACCTCCTCGGTGTTATGACCGTGTGCTTCTTCTCGTGCTTTGGTCCACCCTTTGGGCTGCGCCAGATGGTGCTCTCGCGATTCTGGTTTGGATGGTGGCCTGTGAAATTCAGTAAGCTCGACATGTCCATCGGCTTGTGCGTGTCTAATTTATAATTTTCTAGTTGCTATCCTTAACATTATCGCCTGTGTCGGTTGGTCTGCTGCCAACGCTATTGTCGGTGCCCAGCTCCTCAACGCAGTGAACACCGAAGTTCCCGGATACGCCGGTATCCTCATCATCACATTCTGCACACTCTTCGTCACCTTTGCCGGTTACAAGTTTGTCCACATGTATGAGTATTGGAGCTGGATCCCCACGACCATTGTGTTTATCATTGTGTTCGGCACATTCGCCCACTCCGGTGATTTCATCAACATCCCAATGGGAGTCGGAATTTCTGAAATGGGTTCCTGTCTATCCTTCGGGTCCACTGTGTATGGTTTCGCAACTGGCTGGACCAGCTATGCTGCCGACTACACCGTCTACCAGCCAAAGACCCAAAGCCGTCGCCTAGTCTTCTTATCTGCCTGGCTTGGTCTGATCGTCCCCCTACTCTTCACTCAATTCCTCGGTATCGCCGTTATGTCCGCGACGGCTATGGGCGACGGAGTTAACAACAAGTACGCCGAGGGCTACCTAGCCTCAGGCAATGGTGGCCTAATCGCAGCCGTGCTGGAGCCTCTCGGCGGCTTCGGCAAATTCTGCCTTGTCATCCTGGCCCTATCCATTATCGCCAACAACTGCCCCAACATCTACTCTGTCGGCTTGACCTTGCAGGTGCTCAGCCGGGCTACGCAGCGCGTTCCTCGATTTATCTGGACTTTCCTCGCGTCGTGCGTCGCCCTTGCCATTGCTATCCCAGGTTATTCCCACTTCGAGACTGTTCTTGAGAACTTCATGAGCCTTATCGCTTACTGGTTGGCCATTTACTCCGGCATTGCGCTGGTTGACCACTTCGTTTTCCGACGTGGATTCGACGGTTATCGTCCGGAGGACTACGACAGTCCCCATAAGCTGCCCCTAGGAATCGCCGCCTCTGTTGCGTTTGCTTTCGGTATTGCCGGTGTTGTTGTGGGCATGAGCCAAACGTGGTGGATGGGTCCTATCGCCAAGCATGCTGGAGACCCAGAATTTGGTGGTGACGTCGGATTTGAGCTGGGCTTTGCCTTCTCTGCCGTGGTCTATTCCATCTTGCGACCCATCGAGCTTCGTATGACCGGTCGTTAAGTTTAATTTTATAGTATCGTACTTTAAAATTTGTATATTTTAAGCTTATATATCTCAACCATATCATTATTTTTTATACCTTAACAGATACAGTACTAAACTAATATGGTCTATATATCACAGTCATAGAATAAAAGTCGAGATAAAGATGTGGTCTAGAAGAATAGATTTGAAGAAGAATTTTAGGGATATGTACACTTCTAAACCTTTCTACTTTATAAATAATAACAAAAGCGTTGTAGAGATAAAAGGGACTTTCCAACTTATTTAAGTAGGTTATAGTTTAATATCAATCCATGTTTCTATGGCTAAATTATACGGTTGAGATATATATAGGTCAAAATATGCTAGTTTTGAGGTACCTGAAACTAAATAGTTGGATTCAACCCGTCCTAAATCCTACCTTGAGCTTCGGGCGAAGGATGGGCCGAATAGTATATAAAAAAAAACCGGACGGGGGACTCACCCCCAACCCTCAGAGCCCTGGAGGACATCCCAGATTACAAATCCGATGCGCTACCAATTGCCCCAGCCTAAAGCTCTCTACGCCACTGATAGTACCTTCAACCTCGGACTTAGACAAATTCAACTCGTTGTCCGTCGGTACAATATCAAGCCGTTCGAGTAACGGATATAAAGAATAACTTAAACCCGTGGACAAGATTGTCAGATGGATAGATTACATATGTATGTCGTTGGAGAGCTCGAACATTCCGAGGTTGCTAACTCTAACTTGCCTAACTTTCATTGGCTGTAAAAGTCACATGTGGAGACTTCAGCATGCCCAGGTGCCCCCATCCGGTTAGTTGATGACATCCAAAGTCGGCAGGTTGATATCTGACCTCAGATCACAAAAAATCATGCACCTCCCAATACAAAAGATATAAAAAGTAGATCAAATCCCAGACAATGCCTCCTATTTTGAAGCTACAATTACCCACTTCAAGCCAACCTAACATTACTTTAAACCAATATTGCGCGTAACACATCTAGCCCTAATCCCATACATCAACCATGCCTCTCACCTATAATCCCGACAAAGATATCCCCGATCTGGCGGGGAAGTCAATATTCATCACAGGAGGTCTGAAATTAATCCTTTCTGCGTTCTAAATTTTCCCACCTAACAACCAATCTAGGAACCGGTGGTCTAGGCGCAGCATCTGCACTCCACTTCGCCAAGCACAACCCATCACACATCTACCTCAGCGGCCGCAATGCTACAAGCGCAGAAAAGATGATCCAACAAATCCACGAAATCAATTCCAAGCTCGCAGTCACATTCATACAATGCGACCTAGCCTCCTTGACCTCCGTCAAAAATGTTGCCGAGCTTTTCACTAGCCAACACTCAACTTTAGACATCCTAATGTGCAATGCCGGGATAATGGCTCAACCACCGAGCCAAACAGTCGATGGCTACGAACTGCAATTTGGCACCAATCACCTCGGCCACGCACTATTAATAAAAAAGTTCATACCCCTCCTCGAAGCCTCCACCGACCCCCGCATTGTGCTCCTCACTTCACAGGGGTGGGGCCTGCACCCGCGTGGCGGAATCGTCTTCGACAAGCTCAAGACGACACAGGATATTGCCTTCGGCGGGCCGTGGGTGCGGTACGGACAGAGTAAACTGGCGAATTTGGTGTATGCGCGCGAACTCGCGAAGAGGTTTCCGGCTATAACGTCGGTGTCAGTGCATCCTGGTGTTGTTGGAACGGGTCTTGTTTCTGGGCTTGGGATTAAGGAGAAGATGCTCGTTTATGCGCTTACTTGGTGGATTATTCTGCAGCCACATGAGGGTGCGTTTAGTCAGACGTGGGCGGCTACTGTGGATAAGGCTGAGATTCGTAATGGCGGGTACTATGAGCCTGTTGGGAAGTTGATGGATAGGAAGCTTGATTCGACGGCAAGGGATGGGGCCCTTGCGGAAAGGTTGTGGGATTGGACTGAAGAGGCGTTGAAGGGATTTTGATTTGGTGTTGATTGGAGTGACTACTGGGGCCTTTGGGCGACTGTATCTATTCAATGTTATCATGGAGTTACATGTATCGTATTTAAGAAACAATTCTCAACAACTCAAATAGTCTCTTTGTAATCTACTATCTCAGATCTAGTTTGGGAGCTCGTCCGTCTTCTTTCTAATATAACTTCAAAGTTTATGTATCTGGGTCGGTGTAATTTAAATGGGTACCATGTAGTCCAATAATTCATAGAGTGACGAAAGGAGGCCCAGCAAATTCATGCGTTTTGGCACGACCTAATTGGTAACATAATGTAGAAATAATGAAGTTCGATGGGTGTTCGATCTATGTTGCGCAATCTAGAGGCTTGGGGTTAGAAGCTTGATCGTGTTTGAAAATATTGGCGATGTTGGCGTGTACCTACTCTTTCCGACCATATTTTCTACCTAATACTATGTTTTATTGAATATTTCTTATTAAAGAACATTTACTATTTCTAGCGTCTGGTCCTATAAGAAACAGAAAAGCAGAAAGAAAGAGCGTAACAAGGTAAACCAACGGACATATCCTGCGAGAAATAATCTTAAAATAAAGAGCAAAAATGAAATCCCGAACAACACCCATGACCTCCTTAATAAGTATAGTGCTTGTTTCGTGTGTGCTGAACCAGATTGTCTGCACGATTAAAAGCCTTCTCGCAGCCCTGCACTGGACATGGATAAGCCAGAGGGCTGACGTGTATTTTCCGAATGTGGCGGATGAGGGAAGATTCCCGTTTGAAAGTGCCTCGGTAGCCACAGCTGTCCCACTTGCATTGGAACTCCAGATTGTTGGGGTTGTGCGGGGGCGAACTATGGAGTGATTTCATTGTTAGATACAGTTCCGATTTGTATTGCATATCCGGGAAATGGCCCTACCCGCTGGTCTGGCGTTCTCTAGCGCTGTTTCGAGTGTTGTTCTGTCTCCTGGAAATTACAGCCGGCTCCTTTGGGGGATTTGGATAGGGAGCAATTCTAGGTTTCGAGGCGTTCGGTTGGTGGGGCACGCTAGGTGACATGGCATGAGTAGAGCCTCCCTGCACCGCCAAGGAATTCAGCCGGGGCCGAGGCGATAGGTCGGAGGTGACAGGCACAGCATTGGACATGGTCATTTCGAATTCTGCACATGTGCTCCAGTTGAGACCAGGGGCTAGATGAGGGAAGGTCTGAGCAGGATTGTCTAGACTATACTCATAAATACGGGTATCTTCCCACTGCTGATCGTAGGGCCATGCCATGTTGAGCTAAGAGAGCGATTTAATGTAAGAGGGGCCCCTAAGACGAGGGACCAAAAATAGAAATGGTTAAAGAACGCTTGATAGGAAATATTAGAGTAAATCCATGTTGTCGGGGGCAAGTAACAGTTATTTATGCTTTAGCAGCAATAAAGCTTTAGAAAAAGAGCCTTGGTGTAAGCCATAGAAAATATTGATCGGTAGGAGGCAGGCGACACGTAAGAGAAAAATGACCTCAACAACGCGATGTTTGAGGATGTACCAATGAGATTCTTCTATCAAGCAGTCGAGGTCGGGAAAGTTGGGTTCTCGAAAGTTGGGTTCTCGACTTCCAGAGCTGCATTCTCTTTCCATACACCAACCCTGACCGCAGCGATGAATTCAACAAATCACAACTCAGAATGCGTCATAGGGTACCTATATGGCTATGCATCTCACCCAGGTAGGCTTAGTCGCAGCGAATTCTGCGAACTGACCAATGACACTGTAGATTTCGGACCCATTTTTCAATGTTGGATATTGTAGTCTGTGAGATTGAAGCTACTTTGGGGCTGACTAGGTGGTCCGTGATTTATCACGGAATCACTTAAAAGGATCGTCCGCCACACTCCTCACCATAGCCTACTCCACTATCAATTCTCATAGCCATGGCGGGATCGGATTTTGAACCCTTTAAGCTCGAAATCGAGCGTCTGTACATCCATGAGAACAAAACCTTGCCCCATGTGATGGATTACATGGCGTCTAAATACTCTCTGATCAAGTCGTAAGTGTTGCAATACCACTAAGCCACTCCACTCAACTCACAGCTAGAAAGCCCAGGTCAGTACAACCGCCAACTCAAGAAATGGGGCTTTGTCAAGGGTCGCATCACAGCAGATGAGTGGAATTGGATGGCAAATAAGCAGAACAAAAGAAAATCCAACGACAAGAAGGAAAGCGAATTCTACGTTGGTGGAAACCAGGTTCGCGTACCAAAGCTCAAGAAGGCAAAATATAGAGATGCCTATGTTTCAAGCATAGCCAGGTACTCTACAGGTAAGCTGAACATTTGATTCCATTCGGACCAGAGATTAATATACTGATCGATGTCTAGCTCCTTCCCCAAAAACCCCAGAAGGGTTTTTTGTTTGCACCCCAACATCGCCAGGGATGGATCTCACCTGGAATGGGCCACTCCCATGGCTGCGCTTCATCTCATTTGTGCGTCTGAAAGAGAGTAGAGGTATGGCGTTTCTGGATTTTCACATTCAGACACAATGCGGCCGAGGCTCACCATATATTCAGAATCACCATCTCCATCCTCGTCCCTGCCCATCGGTTCCCCTCATCGTTCCGATACGCTTACTCGCATCGTCAACCACGAACTGATGAGTCGCCTAAGCACAATCATACCATGGAGTAAACTCGGCCATCCCATGGATATACACAGTAGCTCTCAAACATCGGCGGCTTTGAGCATACTCATGCCAGAGGAGTTTCGGGGCCAGCACAATGCTTTGGCCACGGACTTGAACGGCGCTACAAACAAGGGGAGAGAGCGCAGGGCCTTGGAGCTTTTTCTTCTTTCGAACAACATCGCTTCACAAGATCCACATAAAGCAACCAAGGATAATATGAGATCGGATGACGAGCGTATGATGCAAATGTTGGGCGATTATGGCTGGAAGGACTTGGCACATGTCCAGACCCTTTTATCAACTAGCGAGCCAACTGCTGAAGCTATTGCAGAAAAGGTGTTTGCAATTTCACTAAGACTACAACATGTGGACGCGGTGAAGATGATGCTCGAAGTCCACAGGGATCTAAACACTCCATTGATCGAGTCAGCACCCCACGGTGTCTTGACACCCCTTCAATTTACTACGAAAAGCCATCATGAACGGAGTGAGGAACTTGTCAATCTTCTTATATCTTACGGGGCCGATGTGAATCATGCGGGTACTGAGTACCCACCTTTGTTTTATGCCATCAGGAAACGCGACAACAGAATCATCCGCGCTCTTATGCTTCACGGTGCGATTGTAACGCCATCTTGCCTCTCTATTGCCACACATCTGCAGGATATCGAAGTCTTTGCAGAGATCGTCAATTCCAGTCCGAGCGTGAACGTGAACGCAATAACAGGATGGCAGAGTGCTCTTGCCGAGGCTGTCAAACGTCGCAATGTCCCGATAATTGAAATTTTAATCGCCAAAGGTGCCAATATGGATAATATGGTCAGTATCAACTTCGATGGTGACATCGCGACGACCACAATCTTGGGCCTTGGCGCCATGTCACAATCTATGGATGTTGTGCGTACCCTGCTGCGGGCCTGTTATGACATAAACCCTAACTTCGTTCGCATGCCCTATATCTCACCCATTGTAATAGCAGTGAGAGAGGGAAGTGTTGAGATCACTCAGGCTTTACTCCAAGCTGGGGTTGATATCAAACTAGCCGATAAGCAAGGGAAAATGACACTACTTGAGCGCGCCGCCAAAGACTGTTCCACAGCCTCCTTGGTCCCCCTGTGCAAAGTCTTGATTGCATATGGGGCCCAAGTTGACAGACCACTTTCAGCCCAGAAATACGAGACCTCAGCTCTTCTCATTGTGCTCGCTCGAAAGTCAGCATCACCCGAAGTTGTTCAACTCTTGATCAACGCAGGTGCACGTGTCAATGATGAATACACTAAGCCCCCTTACACTGCACTTGGAGCTGCCGTTGAACAGGGAAATGAAGTGATGATAAATCGTCTTTTCGCTACCGGGGCTACATTTGTGGGAACCAAACTAGAAGCAATTGGCAGATTACGTACCGCCATATACTTGCAGGAGAATGGAGTTCTCGAAGGCATTTTAAGGGTATCAGGCCCCGGCATCCTTGCTGCTGCTTTATTGGCGAAGACGACCGATCTAGCTCAGTACTTGCTTGAACACAACGCTGATCATGAAGAGCGGATCGAAAACAAAGCCTATTTCCCCTACCAACAGACTCCATTGGAAGCAGCAACCCAAGCCCAGGATTTTACTTTTGTAAAAAGGCTTTTAGAACGCGGTGCAAGGGTTACAGACAGTGTTCTGGGAGATGCTATAAGCAAAGATCCTGTGATTTTGAAATACCTACTGGCCAGGTTCCGTGGAAGTGCCCCAACCGCAGTAGGGGCCGCAGTCTCTTGCCGTGCATCCCTGCAACTTCTTCAACTGCTTCAAGGGACAGGATTGGACCCCACTGGAGTACCAAACCTCTTCCAGGAGTACTGGGATTTGGACAATTTTAAACTTCCACTACCAGAGTCGGTACTCGAAATAGCGGTGGTCTTAGGAACCAGGGAGACGCTTCAATTCCTGCTCCAATGGGCACCCTGGAGTCCAAGGCTAACCGGTCGCGCCTTGACAATAGCAATATTCTTAGATCTAGCGGATCTCGCCGAGGATATACTGTCTTTCCATCCTGATCTGACTCAGGAGATCACTATCAAATACCCCGAAGGTGAAGGAGAGCGACAAACATACCGTCCCCTTGAGGCCGCAGTCAACAACCAAATGATTCCGGTCGCGCGTGAATTGATGAAAAAAGTTGATGTCAACTATCTTGGTCGTGGGGCCCGCCGTCGAACAGCATTGCAATATGCCGTTGAAAAGGGAAATATGGAGCTTATCAACCTATTAATTTCAACGCACAAAGCTAGAATTGATGGTCCTCCTGCCACAGACGGCGGTGCTACTGCATTGCAGATTGCATGTCTGAAGGGGTACATTGGTATTACAAGGAGACTACTTGACCTAGGAGCAGATATCAATGAAGCCCCCGCAAAGTTCAACGGGCGTACCGCCTTACAGGGAGCGGCAGAACACGGTCGAATCGACACGCTACAAATGCTGCTCAACGAAGGAGCATTGATTGTCGGTGAAGGCGAACCGCAGTATCGCAGGGCTGTCGAGCTTGCGGAACGTAATGGACACCAAGCTGCTGCGAGGCTGCTAAGGTCTTGGAGGGACTCTGTTTGTTTGAGTTCCTCAACGATTTGACAAAGATGTTGTTTGAATGTCGAACAATGCGGCCCAAATTTGCGCTGCTAGTGCCTGAATTCACTCGTCTTCAAGATTTTTATAGCCTTGTATTTATGTTAGAGTTGGGTAAATTTCGAAGCAGATGGGGCGCTATTTTTCAAGACTGCATGGAGAAATAGAAGACATTTCACTGTGACGAGACAGTGTGAATCAAGTAGTGGCATATCATATTAGGTAGGGTGAGAAGTAAAGAGTCCGAAGTGTGTAGAGGCAGAATGGAATGTTGCCTGAGACTGGCAATTTAAACCGCCTCATTCATATTAGAGTCGGTTTGCTTAAAGAAATGGAAGACCGTGTTATTTCCCAGTCTAGCTGAGATCAGAGCAAATAACTACTTTATCCACTGTAGGTAAATCACTCTGGTTTGAAGGCAAGAGTCCTCAGTGGAATATGTCTGAAAATGGCACCCGTGAAGATATTCGATATTTGGGAACACGGTTATGCTTATCGCCGAGAAAACAGTGTGAGTAAAGGGAATATTTACTCCATTAGGATATAGAAACGAGGTTGTTGAGAAGCTTGGAACCACCTTCAGATGGGGTTATACACACCGCGCCACGTGATTTCCGCCACCAGCCACAGCTGCGCCACGGCAAATTATTAAATCCACAACGGATTCGCCTTTGAAAGAAATCGTGAAATTCAGCAGCCGTAATAACACCATCACTTACAACATGTCTCCAACCGGGAAGTGAGTATACATAGTTCCAGTCCTACCAAAAATTCTGACCTAACAAATCTCTCTATTTTTCAGCCGCGCCGACTGGGCTGACGACGAAGATTTCGATGACCCCTCCGTGCTCCCGCCGCAAGAAGTGATCGCGAACAAGGACGGCACCAAGACCGTCATCTCCTACCGCTACAACGATGACAACAAGAAAGTGAAGGTCACCCGCCGAATTAAGACCACTATTGTCCGCGAACACGTCAACCCCCAGGTCGCCGAACGCCGCAAATGGGAAAAGTTCGGTCTTGAGAAGGGCCACGCCGCCGGTCCCTCGTTCGACACCACCTCCGTCGGCGAAAACATCATCTTCCGTCCCAGCGTCAACTGGAAGGCCAACGCTAAGGAGGCTGAGAAGGAGGGTGGCGAGAAGGGCAGCATGAAGGACCAGTTGAAGGACAAGAAGGTCAAGTGTCGTATTTGCAGTGGAGAGCATTTCACCGCTCGCTGTCCCTTCAAGGACACTATGGCCCCCGTCGAGGAGGGCACTGCTGCTGCCGGTGGCGCCGAGGCAGAGGACGATGCGGGTGGTCTTGGTGCTGGAAAGTCCAGCTACGTTCCTCCTCACATGCGGAAGGGCGGTGCTGGTGGCGGCGAGAAGATGGGTGGTCGTTTCGAGAAGGACGATTTGGCGACTCTCAGAGTTACAAACGTATGTTTTACCATTATTCTGCTTTTTACGAGCTCTACGAGCGTCAGGCTTGTTTATCTTGGTTCGGTGCTGACTTTTCTTTTTTTCACAAACAGGTCAGCGAGTTGGCAGAGGAGAACGAGTTGCGGGATCTCTTCGAACGTTTCGGTCGTGTCACCAGAGTCTTCCTTGCACGGGATCGGGAAACCCAGAGAGCCAAGGGCTTTGCTTTCATCAGCTATGCGGATCGTGGCGACGCAGCACTTGCTTGCGAGAAGGTGGATGGCTGTATGTCTCCCATATTCCGTTCCGTGGTTTTGTTTCTACAAGTTCCTCGAGTGCTAACCTGTTTTTCTGCTAGTCGGTTACCGCCACCTTATTCTCCGCGTCGAGTTCGCCAAGCGCACTACTTAAACTTCTTTCTCGGTTCTCTCTTACGACTTTTTGAATGGAACGTTTCCTTCTTCTCAGGCGGGCCTATCTTTGGGCCGAAGCTCTTTTCCTTGTACTGTAGGACCTGGTTGATAATGATGATTCCCAAAAAGACATCCAGGATGTCAGTTACTTGCATTCGTCAGTCTATACAAAAGCAATGGGTTAGAGAAATTTTGAACTTCATACATGGTTTTCTGGATAGTTTCACGGGTTGTACCCTTATCCACGGTAGCTGTTCTTGGTTGCGTTTCTGATAATTATTCCCAAGGTTCTTCTTGAAGCAACTGTTCTATAATTGCTTCACGGCTACCATGGAACATTTCAAGCACCCATGGGAAACCAACCCCGTGTTCGTATGAAGGGACGACGTCCTAGAAGCAGCAAGCTTTCATTTGTTAACCAGCATGGAAATGAAGATCATCGTTGGATTGGAAGTGTGTTTCAGCGTCCACTAGAGATGTTAGTACGCAATTTCCCTAGTAAAGAGCTCAAATTGACTCAAGCTGCTGAGACCAATGGCTGATAACAGTGGATGCTAACCCAGGCATCCAAGCCAGTCGACTCCTTGCAAGCTTTCTCTCGCTGCCGACTCTAGCCTTGGCAAATTTCCACATCTTTCCACCCTCCTCGCCAGCACAAATCTAATGCCCAGGTACCAGACTCGGCTAACAACAATCCCGCACACCGTTAACGGCGAAACTATCATCTAGAAGATAAATGTCGCGGGCCTCGACTGTTCGATTGTTCAAAGTCTCCAGGGATTCATTGAGACATCAAATTTTCTGCATCTTCGCATGACAGTGGAGATGACATCGGAAGGAAATGCAGCTCAAACAACCTGGACTTTTTTCCTATTATGCCCTAGCTTCATACTACTGCGTACTAGCTACGTCCCCGGGTGCCAGATCCCAGGGTCAATCACCAAAGTACCAATGTACAGATCGCTATTAGATCTCAGCAAGTCAAACCCAGACCCAGCCTCGTCGGCAGAAGTGTTGTTGAAATTTCCCGGTAACGGGATTGGGTTGCATAACGTAGCATCGGTGTTTCTTTTAGGAAAGAGACTTGAATCGGCGGGAAAAGCTTACCTACGGGTCCGGCTTTTCGCCGAATGCTCCCCTACTCGAAACAAGACACGGGCTACGTAGACAGTGACTGAGAGGGCCGAAATGTTCCCTGTAGGATTGGCCCTAGCTCCCTCAGAAACTCTCCCCAGCCCATCGTGTTTTAGCATTCCACTCCGCCCATGGCAGCATCCAGTATGACACCCAAAACACATGTGAAGGGGGCGTTCGTGACGTTCCGAAGTCTTAGTGATATTGCAGGGAATGTCGGCGCCAAACAAAGTAATCCACTTGTCATTGGCTCGAGGAGTTCGACCAGAAGGGCAGCTCTTCACTGAGAGCGTTTCGGCCGGTGAGCAAGTTTTTTCTTGGCTGTTCCTCCGTGCTACATCGATGCAGCTTAGGGCTGGCTAGGCTACTTCCAGGATGGTTGTCAAGGGCTGGTAAGAATTGCCACGGGGAGGCAAAAAAACGGCCGGATGAGTTGTTGGATGATGAGTGGAGTCTTCAACTGGTCTGCGTCCAACGCCATCCAAAGCATATTTTCTAGCCTGACAAGCTTCATATCCAGAATTTTGGAGGGCAGCGAGCCAATAACATATCCTTCTTTCTACTGCAATCCTTGTTTGGTCGGTGCCTTGTCTTTCCATCCATGCCGACAGGGTCGGATACTTCAGACATTGATGGATCTTTTTGCCCGGGAGCTTCCTGGTCGTGATACGATCTGTGCTGTCGGGCTGTAGATCCAGGGTGATCAAAGTTTGGGATCATAGGGTGGGGAAACTGCCAATGATCATCCCAGTCTCGGGGTAAACTCTTGCCTTCGCTGACAAGTCGAGGGCGAAAGGATCCTCCCAATTTCCCACAGTAAGGCACCTAGCTCATTGTAGTAGGCCACCAGTACTTAGCTCTACTTCCACTGAAAGTAACCATCAATCTCGGAAGAAGTGATACACGGGTAACCCATCACAGAACCTTGTGTCCAGACGACCCAATACCAGGAATTGTGGAGCCATAAAGGCCTGAACAGTTTAATCTCCATGGTCAAAAGGACAGAGCCAAAATTCGGTTCAAAATTGTACCATTGCCGTTGAATGGATGTGCCATCTCGATGTGGCATGAGTCTTGAGATGGTACAGAATATTGTTACAAGTAGAATTAGGTAAATCAATTCTTTGCCCGGTCAAGGCCGGTTGGATGTCTCGGGATGGAAGGGAAGCCCTGGAGGCCTCGGCCGTTGGAAAAGTAAAACTTTAATCTGCCTCAGTCAAAGGCAGCAAAAAAAAGCTATTGTCTAAGGATATGAGGATATGAGGAGGTGCCGACTCTTTCCTTACTTGGTAGTCATCGTCCAGGAATATCGCCCCCGACATGCGTGTAATTGAAACTCTAGACCCAATCGACCAGGATTAGTGCATTGAACATGGCATATGGGTCCATCGGGCGTGTCGCATCCTCAGATCCTGGAGCAACGAGCATATGGGGGCTGAGGCAGCAAGACAAGGGGGATAAACAGTCTAGAATGACACTCTAAATCTGTACCTAGGTTAGATGGTTAGATTCTCAGCCAATGGATATTTTTTGTTTCCTTTTTGGCTGTTGGCTTTTGAATTTTCTGTAGTAAAAATCGTAAATACTTCAATAAACACGGTTAGGTCAGCAATCCCGACTCCGGGATGTGTATAGCTCAACCTCTGCCGTTGCCTTTGCCTAGTAGGCCGAGCTGTAGCTTTTTCGCCCCCCTCCTCCCAAAACCTGGTCCAAAGATCGAACACCCGAATGTAACCAGCAATGAAAGGCATGGCATTGGCCACGGGCTTTATTATTGGCCTGCAGCAAAAAATTGTTGCACGAGGGAATATAAATTATTTTTTTTTTTTTTGGAAGATTCCATCCAACCCATGGAGAAAACAGACTCGGTAGATGGCACGTGCCCGAAACAGAAACAAGGGTCAAAGGCCCTAGACCCTAGAGCAGATTGGGCTGAGACAGTTGCAACGTCAAACTTTTCAGAGTTTTCCGGTGTCAAGGATTCTGGGGCTAATCCATGTCGATGAAATCCATAGATGGGTTCATGCATTTCTCTGAAAGTCAATTTATTATTGGCATTGGGTTCGAGGTACCTGCAGCCCTGGATGTACCCACGTATCGGACAATTTCTGAGCCTTCGTTTCTCTTCTGTATCTCATCTTCTCGGTAGTGCTGAGATCCCTGCCTGGACAAGTTGGATTGATAGATCGAAAAGTGACATGTGGATAGTTCACGGGTAAGTGGGCTGATGGATCTGATAGTGTCGTTCGAGTTGCATTATTAGTTGCATGGTAAAATGACAAAATGATTTGAGATGATTTTGATTTCAATTAGAGTTGGTCTAAGATTCCAATATTCCAAGGTTTCCAAAAAAAAAAAAAATGAAGGTCTATATAAATTTAGCGTGAATATTTGAAGATATATGTACTCCATACTCTACTCCACCTATAGCCCTATTAGTACTTAAGTAGGCTCCGAAATTACCAGTGTACTTTACCATTTGTATATTATACATAGTCTATCCACCAATTCATTGTACCCAGTTGATGTACCTGGTACATGCCCCTAATACTTGTAAATTCCTTGTATCCAGTTCACCGCCCCCCTGCACGTGTCAACCCCCCATGACCGTCATCCGGGAAGGGGCTGATCCCCCGAGAGTCAAAAAGAAAGGTCATCGCCAACTAGACACGCTTGTCACCCTCCTTTAATTTTTGACTTTGTGATTCGATGTTATCATTGATCAGTATTTTCTGACCTTGATACAGTTAATCGATTCTGCACCTAGTACCGATTTTGGTACGAGCACGGTCGTTGTGTGTGGTCCTGTGGGGGTAAATAGCTGCACAACATACCCGCCATAACCATTTGAGGAAAACGGAATCTACGGCTTATCCAGCCAATCATTGGCTGGCGGGTGCTTTTGACTGCATCTTGCCATTTACCCAGCCTCCTGCGGGATGGTCGATCTTGCTAGCCACTAATGCGGTTCTGTCGACACGATCAGTATCCACTGAAGGCCAATCCACTGAAGACCAGGATCTTTTTGAATCCATGGCCTCCCCTTGATATTTTCTTGGGACGGAACGGTGGGACTAGTGCCGCTACGGTTCTGGAAAAGGCTCCCGGGTACGGACCGCAATCATTGTCTACCCCGCTAGGCTGCCTTAGCCTCTCTTAGTGGTGGAGACCCTCCATCTGCAGTTAGGGCACCATTACGGTTTGACGCCAGAAGAAAGGTCGGGCTTACCAAGGCTCTGTTGGTTCTCTTCCAGAGTGGGGTGGATCTAGTTGGGTGCATCATCTCGAACATGCTATTTTTATTGCTCTACCGGGTCGGGTCGGTTCTGTCGGTGTGAACACCGCCAACATGGACAATGCAACGTGCTGAATGAAACTCGTCGATCGCATGATCCTCCACTTTCTTCATGCAAGAACTGCTGCTCGTGCCTCGAGCCTCTTACGGCTTAAAGGATCAAACTGGAAAATGAATCTGGGAAATACTCTAATAGACCAAAACATTATGGAACTCAGTGAAGATTGTCTACCCGATTTGGTCATTTCTCATATTTAATTCACCCTTTTTGTCATTGGTTTGTGGTCCCCCCCCCACAGTCTGATACATCAACCACATCTATCATGGGTCTGCATAGGTACATATACTGGGGGTCGATCATCACCTCTATCCTTTCTAGTTTCATCTTATTTCGCTCTCCTGCAGCGACCCGTCTATCGGGTATTCGCACTTGGACATCTGATCCCATCGGGAATTATCTGTAATGGAAAACACATAAAACGTGTACGTACCGTGCCCTTACCCATCACGGTCCGTGCAGCCGGCATCGGGTCCTTCTAGCACGCAACATGGGGTGTTCTGACCAATGCCGTCCTCCTTGAACAATCAAACTATATGGGGCCAGTGGTGATTTGATGCTACTCTTTTTTACTATGGAGATACACTAGACTATTTGCGCTTGGCCCGGACAACCAAAATTCCAAATTCGGAACTTTCAAATACAAATCATCGAGAATAAGAAAAAGAAAATAAGTAAAATTTACTTTTTTTCTCCCCCCCTCCCCCCTCTCCCTCAAGGAGACTGCGGAATATATCTACATAGGTATACCCAGAAAATGAAAAGGATAATCCGGATCTCTTTCGCTGATTATGGTTGGACCCCTATGCAAACCCACTGCCACCCATTGGAGCCTTACCGAATACAACGTATTTCACTGTCCCTGGCAGATCCCAACTCGTGGTTCTGATCGCCTATCGGCTAGACCATCACTAGTGAGCCCCCTCCCCGTGGGAGTCTTACTAGGGTAGACTAATGATCCTTCAGGGAGTAACAATCCCGAGAACGGCTTTAAACAATAATATAGACCGGAATCTTTTATTCTGTAGAAGGTCTCAATTGCAACCTTTCTTTTTCTTCTTTATTTTCGAGGACCATAAAGATTCAATTATATACGTATACTACGTATACTACGTACCACATCTGTTCTTAACACCTCACACATATCCTCTATTTATCAGGTAAGCCACCGATCTACTTCCTGCAACCTGTCAAGAGAAATGATTCCCTTAAGATCTACTATGCTTTGACCATGCTTCTTTCTTAAATACCAAGCTAGGGTTGCAGAATTGGAAGCATTCTTCTTTCTGCAATACCTGCAAGATACTTATGGGACAAGAGCTTTTTATTTGCTCACCTTCTACGACTGTCACACCAGATTACATCAGTTGTCTTTTTCTTTCCCCTTCTGGAGATTCTCCTTTTTTTAATTTTTTTTGATTTTTTGATTTCTTTTGTTTTTGTAATTTTTGTTTTTTATTTATTTTTTTATTTTGTCCCTCCATTAACTGTGATTGCTGCGGTTTCTATGATTGTGATTATTGTTATTTCTGGTTATTTTTGGGGCTTTTTTGATTGATTTTTGGCTAATTCTTTTCTCCCCCAGTCTTCTTTCTTCATACCCCCCCCCATCATCTTAGATCGTGGGTTTGCAAAGAGCATAGATTCTAGCCCGATCTATTCCAAAACTCTTCCCTTGTACTTTTGTACCGATGACTTCAGTTGATGCGAGATTTCCCAATTAGGAAGTCATGTCTATAAATCGGTGACGCACTCCTGCTCGGACATTCATCTACTTCTTCTGGTCAACGCCTGTCCAAAAGGGCACCGTTTTACGCACCGTTTTACTGAGAATACTACATATGTATTACTCTTCACACTCATCTTTATAACCCTGGGGACCTTACCTATCTTCATTTATACTTCTTCACTCTTTATCACCCACTTGTCTACTCCCCTTCACTCCAAAGCTTCATCACTTGCCTCTTCAAACTACTTGCTGTGAGAATTGTGTTTTGGTTTATATCCAAGACTAAGAGTTGTATTGATTCTTTTTCCTGTGATCTTGATAGACTCAAAGGCACACGCCATTTTGGGTGATTTCGGACACCAAAGGTATCAATCGAGTACTGTGAGGGAATTTGACTATGCAGAGAGTTCGTTTTGATCTTACCTAACCTTTGCTGCTATTCTAGACACCAAACTCTTGCCACCCAAGACCCCAAGGCCCAGACAGCTTTGGCGTCTCTCCCAGTGTTACATCGAACATCCAAAAAAACTTAAGGGTCCTCGAGGCACCTGGAATCAGCACGCTCAGGATGAATCCCTGTAAGCTTCTCTCTTTTCCATTCCCTGTTTATTCCGTCATGCGGTTGATTCAACATTGTTTTCTTCTCTTCACCTTTTTCCTTTTTTCTTCTTTTTTTTCCCTCAGTTTCTTTTTTTTGGCCAATATATCTTCCCTGTCTCTAACCTATGAATTCCCCAGCACTTCTCTCGGAGGTATTCTCATTGAACGATCCTGTTACTTCGGAGGGTGACTATATGAACTCCCATGTGACAGGGTTTGGAACGGATGAAGACGACAACAGCCAGCGAGTCGGAGGTCTCGTCTCTATGCCTGATACCAACGGCGTGAGGTACCACGCACAGCAGCCTGTGATGCAGGATTTACAGTAAGTTATTTTTTTTTCCTATTCCTTTCAATCTTTCAATCCGGACTTGCCCTTGCGCTCCACTCGGTCAGCCTCTCGACCCCCTTGTCGCTGCGCTTCCTCCGGGTCCGGGCAGCTTGAACTTCAGGCCAGCCTGTTTCTGTACCTTCCATACCAATCTGCTGCCTGCATGTCTTTCTTCCGATGTTTTGTCCTTTTTATCTGAGCTCGTGCCGTTGAGGTCCTTGTCTCTTTTCGCCCCCGTTTCGATTGTCTCTTTTTTTTTTACGCATCATGGTTTCCGTGCTGCGCCCGGACTCATATGATATCTTCTGGACTGTTTTAATTCCAGGCGATCGCACGTGGATTTCCCATGAGCTTTGAGGGCTTTGACTGAGCCATTCCTTACTTTAGATATTCGGGTTCGAGTGCTCTTGCAATGACTCCACCAGACTCTTGTCCCGGTAAGCCCCCTCTTTCTTATACTTCGAACTCTCCAAAGAACTTCCTTTGACTGATGAAATTGCGGTGTTGTAAAGACTCGTTTTCGCCCACATCTGGTCCCCTCTTCCCTCATATATCTCGGCTTCAGCATCCCTTTGATAGAATGGCAGACTACCAGCGGGTGCCAGCGCTGTAAGCTTTCGTTCTACTATAAAGTTGGATGAGGTTCATGAGTACTGATCCTTGCTCATCTAGTCAACCACCGACTGGCATGCCATCTGGGATGCAAAGTTCAGGGCATGCCTTGAACTCCATTCCAGCGCTCATGGGACGCAATAATTCCTACGGTTCATACGCTTTGCAGCGCGGAATCGGAAATATCGGTATGCCCTTGGGGGGATGAACGATCTCTCCCGTAGCCATGGGTATCCTGGTACTCCTCGCGCTTTAGATAGCGGGATGGATCGATCTCAGAATAATATGTATCAGCAACCGATAGTGGAGTCCTCACAACGTTCACAGCCCCAGGTTGAGGCTCCGCCTTTTGACGAGACGACCATTCTTCATACAGTTGTTGCAGAGTTTGGCGGCCAATATCAGACAGTGAAACCAGATGTCCAAGCAAAAATGGGTCGAGGACCCTTTCCAGCTGAGGGAAAGTGGACTTGCTATCGCCGCAATTACTTTGCAGTGACCTGCGGCTTTGGACTTCATCCTTGGCCTCCCACTGCCCCTCTATACATCCGCTATCCCGACCAGACCCTTGAACCAATCCGTGGATTTTCAATGGCGATTTCAGCTATCGTGAACGGTCAATATGGAGAAACCCGAGAACTTGTTCAACACACCCCAAAGCGAGACAAGCAATCCGAACGCAAACCAGGTCGTGTCGTTCTTCAGCCTGCGCCACCACCTTCATTCACAGCAAACTCGTCAGTTAATGGAAGTCTTTCTGGATTCCCCCTTGGCTCACAACCTATGGATTACAACCCTTCCTTCGCCGGGACACCTCAGCCGTGTCAGCCCCCAACCTCCCACGTATTCGAACGCATCCAATTCCAAAAAGCCACCGCCAACAACGGCAAGCGCCGCGCCCAGCAACAATATTACAATCTGGTCGTTGAACTGTACGCTGAGGTTGCTAGTTCGGTTCCCGGTGAAACCGAGTGGATACAGATCGCCCGGCGCCACTCCCACCCCCTGGTCGTCCGCGGGCGTTCACCCGGTCATTACAAGGACGGACGCCGTGGCAGTACTGGCAGTATGGGCCCAGATGGGGCTGGGGGAGACAACACCTGCGGTCTCCTTCCTCATGGGATGGGCCAAACGGGCCGTCCACACATGCTCATGTACGACGCGTCTCATCGAAGTGGTCTTTCTTACAGCAGATCTGATCATCGCAAAATGAATGTCGCAGATCATTCCCCACTCAGCGATAGTCCTATCATCTCCTCTTCTTCTTCTTCTGGGTTCGAGTACTCAATGATTGATACCATGGATCCCATGGATACGATCAAGTCCGACATTTACCTCAAATCAGATCCCTATCAGGATAATACCTATACAGGGGTTCCCAGCCACCAACACCGCCAGTCTAGTACTGGTGGATACGACCCTGTTTACTCAACAACTTATAGCCGTTACGATCCTATCCAGAATTCGCATAGTCTATGCACTTAGGCGTGCCTTGGTTCATCTGAATTATGTTTCTTTTTCGTGTTTTATCTTTTATCTTTTATTTATTTTTTTTGTTATGATCAAATGGGAAAGGGGTTTATGCACTGGTGCAGGACGGCGTGGGGGGATCATGAGGCCATTTCTATTCGTTGTTTTATTTTATCTTTTTTTTCCCTATTTTATTTTATCATCTGATTGCTAGTTGGAACTTTATGGCCTTGATTTATTTCATTGTGATCTATTATTTTATCCCTTTTGATTCGTTTCGAATATTTACTTGAGATATTGTCTCTCATTTCTTTGAAAAAGAAGCATACAGAATGCTATTAAAGACTGTCTTCACAAGAAAATTACGGGATCTCCTATCGAATAGAACCGATTTAATTAAGATCTGGACTTGAGATCATAGTATCTTGATAATCATAGCTGAATTGACATTATTTTCTACATGTAAGCATTGATAAAAAGCCCATACATATCAGTAAGGAAGCCAAATATAGTATGACAACACCATCAAAAAGCAAATATTCCAGAAACTAAACATCAAAACCAAATGCAGACGGAGTATCCAGTCCAACATTCAAAACTCCCCGATTTGCTCTGTTCGGTAGCCAGGAACCGTTATTTGCTGCGGTCCTGGTCCTAGTCCTCATCTATTGCAGGGCTCCCAGTCCCATTTGCAATGGATATGGACTTATGCGGTCTTTGCCTTGTTTTATTTTTATTTTTTTACTCTTTTGTTTGACTTATCTTTATTTTCTCTCTCTCAGTTATCCAATTGAAACATGAAGCAAGGACCGGTAATTGCTTCCAGGACTCTCTTTTTCGTGTCTGATGACTACGTGAACGTCCCCGAACTAAGCAGACATGGGTTGCCCGACTGCGGGAATGATTGGGTTGAGTTCATTGAAAATTAAAAGTCTATGCAAGATTAAAGGGCTTAGTGTGGATTACTTGGGTTTATTTTTTATTTTTCATTGTTTTTTTTTTTACTTCATTCCCTCTGTTGCTTTGGTGGGAGGCTCCGCGGTCTCGAAATCAAACGAAGCAAGGTGGGTACTATTTCCGTATTGTGTACTTTATAGTACTACGCGCAGATAGAGAGAGTAGAACGGTAAGATGCAGAATGGATCAAGAGAGTAGAACCAATTAGAGTGAGCAGCAGTCTGTTTGTATGGTTTGGAGGCTATGTTTGGATATTAGGCAGCAGAGATCGCCTTCGAAAACAAAAGTAAGTAATAGATCAGCCTTTAATAATATGAATATATTAAATGTATTAAAGTATTAAATGTAAGAAATCGTTAGATGCAGATCCTGATCGACAACCAGTGCAGGTGATGCTTCGTTACAATGTGCATCGATGTACATGTCAGCTCAGCCCTGTTCTAGCTATGTGGTAAAAAAAAAAAAAGTCGAACAGATATTTCTCAATCTAAGGATTATCAGGTGAAACAAAACAGGCTTCGGTGTGACCATCAATTTGATCCTATGCTTGGTAAAGAGTAAAATAGACGTTTTGTTGAATGCAATCTCCCCAATGAAATCTGCTCATGTGTCAGGTTAAATTATATTTAAATAAGAGATCCTCGTATCATCCAAGCCTCCCTGCACCTCGGCATATTCCGATGTTTTAAACACTCTGATCCCTGTCAATAACATCCCCTGTGATCGGCCGGGGTAGTAGCGTCCACATGCGGTAAGATATTTGGGAGAGATACAGAGTATTTTCAGAGAGACTATAACAGGATTTCATTGTTAGAAGACTCTTTTTTTTGACTTTAATCTGAAACCATTCCAAGTCCGGGTTCCAAGTTTCGTTGGCATATAAATAGTACCATGTTTGCCACCGGAAGGAAATAGTTGTAAATATGTAACCCTTTTGGTATTTTTACTTAATTTTACTGAGGAAAACAGGAGGGGGGAACGCTCAGATACTTGGGGTAAGTTTAATATCATTGGTCGTTTACTCATAGCTGGTTGGATAGGTACTTCTGCACGTCGTACAAGAAAAGTCAGACAAAAGGACAATCCTGGGCCCTTGGGGTTTCTTATTTCTTATTCAATATCTTGAATTGACACTCCGAATCTGGTCCTTGGTCATGCCGGGCATTTTGATATACTGGTATGTCGCCACTCTTTCTTACTTCCTTGGTATTTCCACTTTAAAGTAGATGTACCCTAATCTACACCTACTCTGTTTGCCCTCAAATTAATCATATTAACTTAAAACATATCTACTTCATGACTCAGGTCATTAAAAGCGCAGCAGTGACGTGCTATGGGCTGACCGCTGCACTTGCTGTTGTTACGGTCAAGCAGGTTGCATTGCTGTCCTGCTGCCTCCTGCTCCTACGCAGATGATATACAATCTACTTGGATACCATTATAGAATATGAAACTCTCGCTTTGATTCTTTTTAGGAAATTTTTTCAAGAAATTCCAATATCAAATTATCCTTGCGGCCCCTGCCGCTTCCGCTGCGCCCTTGACAACTCCCTACCTACGCCTCTACCCGTTCCATGGAATGAACATTGACATAATATCTAGAGTAGTGTAGATCAATGTGCGATTGATTACGAAAAGGACATTTTATAGTTTTATAGTGCATATAAGGCCTTTCCTTACCTACATCAGCTGCCAAGCTTCATCTCACCGAGTACTGAGGTCTGTAAAGTCCTTGTTTGGCTTCCGGTGTCACTTTTTACCTTCAATTTCCCTTTCTTGTAATTCTGTAAAGAATAAGCATTGCTGGGGCTGGCTGAGAGTCTCAGATACACATGATATTGATACTCAATGCAGAAATTGCTGGCTAATCAAAGCGTGCCAGCAAACCCCTGGAAGCGCATTTCAAAGCTTAGGCTTACATAGTAAGGAGACTATGTGATATAATAAAGCACAAGCTTGAAGAAATGGACCCAGGGTTGTCCCTACGGCGATAATCAACCCTATCCACCATCAAGCCAAGACGCCCAGAAGAAAATCTGTGTTCTCAAGATTTTATATTTAGCCCAATTATCCCGAGTGCGATATATATTCCTGTTGCCTAAGAGACGTGGGCATTGACATCTGCATGAACACCTCCGCGATCTATTTCTTTGCTACCACACTAACCCTGTCCATGGCATGTCTACTCCAATATCAACCCTCGCCATTGTCTTAGACGCATTACAAGCTAAAGCTAGCTCCTAAATATAGTTGGTTATGTTCTAGTGCACTTAGTTATTCCTTCCAGATCGAGATATGTATCGGCCAACTATGTATCTACCATGGAGCCTTACAATACTATCAGCCATCCAGGGAGGATGGCCTCTATCTCCGTGTTCCACCTCAACGGCCTCCGAGATTTGTCTCACCCGGAATAAAAGCACATGACTGTAGATCTTGTGGGAGGTAATGTTTTAAACCAATAGCGTACTCTCAGGCAGTGAAGAATATGAATTAGATCATCGTATCTATGAATAGAATAGTATGCAAGAGCAATCTATCGAGACTGGCATGACGAAAAGTGCATATGGATCAAATTCCCGATTACCTCAAATGATGAGCGTCGATCTTTGGGATGTACAAGATATCTTTCAAGGTAAAAGGGTCTCTCGTACTACACTTCAAGTGATATCATAAACTAATCTCCGAAAAAATTGCTTTTAGAGCCGCACTGCCATTATATGTCCATTTGAGGTCTTCTTGCTTTAAGAACCTTATGATACAAGGTACTTTGGAAGATTGTTTCACATTACCTTTCATTAAAGACATTTCATCTAGCATCCTATATGTAGTATAGCCAATGCAATATCAGGGACCAATTCAAATATTCGAGATGTCGAGATGACTACAGTAGAAGCTAACCTAGACATCCCATATTCCAGATATCCTTATAATGCGCCCTCATGATCAAAAAGCCCCCAAACAGGACACCCCGACATCTCAAACAAAGAATCACCAACAACCCCCAATCCCAACCAGACCAACTGCCCCTCGCATCACTTTCCCAATCGGACAAAAGAGAGATGTCGGAAATTAAAATTGACCTCTAATTGGACCATCGAGGCAACAACCAACATGTCACGATCCAGACCAGGCTAAGCAACGATCCCCTCTCTCAGCCGCAGCAATTCTTCCGAGCCACATGAATCCCCAACCAATGGCCCAGACAGGAAAGGGAAAAATAAAATAAAAAATAAACGTCCGCACCAGGTGAGGCTAGGCGGGGAAATACCATCGCTGACTGCAGCAGCCCAATCCTTCCCTGCGCTGCGAACAGGGCAGTTGAAGCCGGGGGTCATTGCAGCTGCACGGACTGGCGTGGGCGTGAGCGTGGGAAATGACAAGGTAAAGCATGGATTATCAGGCCATTCCCTGTGGTCTTTCCGATGGGGACGTGCACACGCAAATCAACTTTCGCAGATGTAGAATGGGGGCGCCAGCCACTGGCCATTGACCACTGCTTGTTTGTTTTTTCTCTTGGCGGGACGCGCGAAGACAAGTCAAACAGTGGGAGGGTGGTTCGCTATGACCGCTTTCCAGAGGTACATAGTAAGTGACCTTCCGGCTCCGACAAACCGGGTCCTCTTTTGAATCCCGGAGTCCCGATGCGTTGAAACGATAGATAGACGGGTGCGGGATGTAGGGATGTAGGTAGGCGGTTGAATATTTAGACATCGGGCACGGGCACGGGCACAGGCGCAGGGAATTGCAGCAATGCAGCAATGCATCGCAATCACAATATTGCAATTGAGTTTTCGGGGGAAGGTAGACTCAACAAGATATCCATATCCAAGGAAAGACTTCCTTCCACACCAGTCCGGCAGCCTGCAACAGACTGCCTTCCCTTTTCGCCATTTTCTGACCAGTCGTATTCAACCCCCATGGTTCCGTATAACTGCATCCATGACTCCCGTAGATAATCACAGCCGACCACAAAGCACACCCCATAGCCTCTATCGCCATCACCAGCTCATGGATCGATCACAAGAATTTGGAGCTCCGTTTTCGTGCGTCGTCCGTTGACACCTCAATTGTTCAGTTTGTACGGGTATTCGATGTCTCTCCTTCCTCTCCGCCGATACGTGAGATGCGCACCGCCAACTTCCGATCCAGCGCCTCCTGCTCTTCCTTCGAGGGTTGCATGCCCAAAGCGTTTTCTACCTGGGGCGTAGTCCAGAGTCCGATGCCTGCCCAGGCCATGACGCCGATACCGAACAGGGCCCGGGTTTTGGGCGTGAGGCCGCGGTAGGAGCTGTGAAGCCTATTAGTTTCTTCCCTTCTTTCTTGTCTCAGTGGTCCGAGTGTTGGGGTGCGTGCGGGGGTTGGTCGGTTTAGGGCTGTGTGACGTACCTCCAGAGAGACATTTGGACTGGGAATGAAAGTATTGTAGTCTTGGAGGGAGAAAATAATAGGGCAATGTGTGACTTCAATGTCGGCTTTGCTACTTTGACGGGGAGAGTCACGTGGAGATATCTACACCTTTGGTCACGGGATTATTTTTGGTACCTGAGGCTAGCAAACTCTATATACCGATTTGTACCAGTGCGACGGGTTCGAATGTGTGTATTTTTGTCGGACGCTAAGTCCTGTCAGGTACATAGACATCCCCGGGTACTTGTGGGTTGCTAAGGGGTGGTGTAACTGTGGCTGATCAGTGAGGTACCGAGGTACTTAGGTACTTTGGACAGAGGCACTGCTACATGCATGTGTACTTGTACTTTTGTGTATATGATAGGTCTGCTGGTAGATGGCTGGATAAAGCAGTCATCGGAGATATCCTTGAATATAACTACATGTTCGAACCATCTTGAGACGCCGCTTATTCTAATATCTTTGTCTTTTAGTCGGAGTACATACCATTCTTGGGTCAAAGGATCATTTTGAACGGTGCAAGAAAGAGGGTTCATCGCCAATCAAAGACGCCGTTTTTTGGTAAAAAGAAATATGAGACTAGGTAGATTATGTTAGAAAACAAGTCCGTCGCGATGTCGGTCAGTTCATGTCCACTTGATTACTATGTCGTCTACATCGTGGCAGAAATGAAAAGTATCAAGAGCAAGAGTCAAGAGAAATGTAAAGATGAATTTGAAAAAGTGGTAATAACAGAGAGGGTCTCAAAGCGCAAGCAAGTACAGCAGGGAAAAGAAAATGAAGAGGAAAAAAAAAACACAAGGGTGAAGCTCGAAAATCCAAGTGAAGCAGTCTGACACGCTTTTTTTTTTTCTTGCCGTAGGCCTTGCTGATTTCGGACTCGTAGCGGGCGAGGATCTTCTTGCGCTGGAGCTTTTGCGCAGCGGTCATGAAACCCTAATGTCTTGTTAATAAAGTTCATACAGATAGCTCGAGAATCACTTACGTTTTGCGGGGTCCACTCGTCGTCAGATAGCACAACACCGTTAATAATCTCAATGCCCCTCAAGCCACCAGCACGGCCGGCGGCTTGCAGCTGCTGCAAGACGATCTTGTTGAGCTTTTCGTCGTGAACGAGGCTCTCGAGGGTGTCACCCTTGATGCCGTTCTCGTGGGCAAGCTTCTTCAATGCCGGCTCGGCGGGAACGATGATTGCGACGGGCTTATCTTGGTCCTGGGCGGCGTACACGCAGATGTTTCCAACCACGGGAGACGAGCGGTAGACAGACTCGAGCTTCTCCAGAGCGATGTATTCACCGTTCAGGGTCTTGACCAGGTTCTTCTTGCGGTCAATAATATTCAGGTGGCCGTTGCGATCAAACTCGCCGATGTCACCGGTCATGAACCAGCCATCCTCGGTGAGCGCAGCCTTGGTCTCCTCCTCATTTTCGTAGTAGCCTGAGGTCACACTGCCACCGCGGATGAAAATCTCACCCTGAGGGGGGTTGTTCGAGGTCAGGTATCCCGCATCGGGGAAGTCAACAAGCTTGACCTCGATCGAGGCAGGAATCTCACCCAGGGCATCGGGGTTCCAAGCCAAGGGGTCGTTCAGGGCACCCATGGCAGACGTTTCGGTTAGACCGTATCCGCTAATCATGGGCGCGATAGCCATTGACAAGAACCTCTGGGTGTCCTTGGAGACAGGGCCACCACCGTTCATGACAACACGGAGCCTTCCTCCGGTTGCCTCCTTGAGCTTTTTGAAGACAACAGCGTCCAAAACCGAGGCGCCCAGGTTCGCACCAGGGAAGCCGGTGCTCATGAGGAAACTCTTGGCCGACATGGCACCCCAGAACATACCCTTGACGACAAAGCTAGCCTTGTTTAGGTTGGCCAAGACACCCTTCTTCACTGACTCCCACACGGCCGGAACACCGACCAAAACGGTAGGCTTGAACTCCTTGATGTCACCCAGGCAGTTGCGCATAGAGGCATCGGACAATGTTCGGGGGTTACCGTATCCCATGGTACCACCCCAGAACAAGCACAAGTTCTCGAACATGAATTCCAGAATGTGAGATTGAGGAAGGTAGGTCAGGAGGGAGTCTGTGTGGTTGATACAGGGACCGATGACGGCGTGAACACCAGCAGCTATTTCGAGACATTAGTTTAATAGACGGTGGTTATGGGGAATCGTTTCGGCTTACTAGCAGCGATCACGTTAGCGTGGGTCAGTGGCACACCCTTCGGTGGACCTGTTGTGCCCGAGGTGTACATAATGCAACACAGGTCCTCCGGCTTGGGGGGAACCGGCTCCACAAGGTTCTCCTCGCCCTGCTTGCGCAATTCCTCGATGCTCAGCACATTGATGTGGATAAACTCGCTATGTAACTGATCAAGAAGCTTCTGGTCCATTTCCGTGTCAGTGTTGTAGATAATGTGCTTGATGGAAGGCACGCTCCGGAGGATGCTGAGGAGGGATGGCAGCAGACCGGGGTCGAGGAAGATGGCAGTGCTACCAGTTTGAACGATAGAGTGCTTCAGGCCTTCCTCGCCTAGGGTATCATATGCAGTCACAATGGTCACGGACTGGGAGGCAGCGCCTGTAATGGTAGGTTAGTGCGTTTGTTCGCGCGTCAGGAAAATAAGGGTAAACGAACCGTGTGACATGGCCAGCCAGTGTGCGCTATCAAGGAGAATCAAGTCAGTCATCCTGCCCCAAATTCCTTGCAGGCGCAATGTATCACTTACCTCGTCGCACCATAAAGGTGGATTCTGTTATCCTTCTCGAAACCTAGCTTGCGGAGACCGCTACCAAGCTCTAGACAGAGCTTCTCATATTCGAGGAAGGTCTTGTAGGTATAACCACTCATTTCAAAGTAGGTCCACTTCTTGTCAATCTCCTGCTCAACACCATCCACGATCTTCTTGACCTTCTTGTTCTCCACATGGGTCTTGATTAACCGACGGCTACCGACAGCTTTGGAGTTGCCAAAGACGCGAGCTGACCGGCGCATATTCTCGTAGGTGGTAGAGACATCTTCGAGGGTTGTAATAAGGCCGTCCTTGGCCTTGGGGTGTCGACGGGGGATTGTCTCACCGGGGACGCGCTCATATCCGGGCGCCTCGACTGAGAAAGGGCCCTTCTTGACCATGCGCGGCTGGAGGTGGATGTTTTGTACCGACATATTGATTGTATGTCTCGATCAAAGGGAAAGCGGAAGGAACTGGGGTATCGAGGATACTCGAAGAAAAGATCCTCTACTCGAGGGGGGGGCGATGTTAGCTAGTGCGGAAATAGCACGGAGCTAGGAAGGGGACCAAACACCAGAGCTGTAGGAAGCTAGAGCAGGAGCTAGAATGGAAAAACTTACCAAGTCCAAGAAGAGATGGGAGTATTATAGTATTATCTGAGGCTTCCGCGGAGGAGAAGAGGAGAGAGTTGACCTTGGGGAAGGTTAGATATGTGGCTGGTCTTCGGCAAATGACGCAGGAGTGTCCAAGGTTTTTCGGCCTTTCGAGTTGCATACACTCGCACGGAGCTCTTCCAAGGCACTTTCAAGTGCTTTTTTTCTTATTCTATTATTATTTTTAATTTAGTTTTAGTTTTAGTTCTTAGAATTAAAATATCTCATTTCAAATTAAAGCAATAAATAATAGTAAATCTGTGAACCCTTTTACTCCGTAGTATTTGGCAGATCAGTTCCGGTTTTCCCTTTTTCTGTTGGGTTTCCCAACAATTCTCTTAGAAGTCATAGCTTTCTTTGATAGAACCACTAGAATAGGAATAGGCGTAAATCATATATAACCATTGGATATCCCATATATGTACCTAGGTAAACCTAGGTAAATCAAAGTTATATATATATATATATATACTTGGTCCCGTGATCCCTTAAAAAATATCATCAAATCAAATGTTCCCCATAAACCCATCCATAAACCATCACTAGAACATCCATGGACCAAATCATCCACCTACTCGCCAATGGCGAAGAGGTTATCGACGTGGATGAGGGTACGCCACCCCCGCATAAATCCCAAAAGTACTATGCTCACTTAACTCGCTATAGAATCATTTCTTCTCTTCGCACAAGACATCCAAAGCAACAACCTAGGGATGCTCAATCCCCGAGCACCATCAGTAGAGATCACTATCAATGACAATGAATACACAATTCATCAATCACCATCATTACTCTCCTCTCATCGGGCAGGAGGTACTACAGGCGCCGGTAAGTACGGACTCCGGTACGGAGTACATACAGCTCGCATGATCTGCACCAGTTCCTTTATGATTTGTCCCCGGAATCCCCAGAGACCACAAACCCAAGCACGGACTTCTCCGCAGGTCTTTTACCCGAGTCCGAAGTGCCCAGACCAGGCCCGAGGGTCAAGGCGTCGAATTCTCGAGTCGTTCTATCCGCTGTTTGTCTGTGCCTCGGCTCTCGGAGGAGGAATGTCTCATTTGATTCGGACCCTGACGCTATCACATTGTGCTTTTCTGGCTTTTTTCCCCCAAACACGAGATCGAATTGTCACCTGCTCTGCTATCCCTTGGCTTTTCCCTTATTTATACCTCGGGATACCTTGGCGACTTCCCGACAATCCACAAAATCACTACCCGCTTTCATGTTCACTGCAATCAATAACCATGCCATCCCGAAATTAGTTCACTACTAACCCTGCAAAAAAAAACTCAGTCCTGTGGAAAATTACCCCCTATTCGCAGAATGGATAACGAATCCCTCAAACCCACTTTGGACAACTTCCCTCCTGAGCCAGACCTCAACAGTGGCCGAACTCGGGACCGGGATCTCAGCGCTAGTCGCTCTCGTCCTGGCACCATCCGTGCGCCATTACATTGCCACAGACCAGGAATACGTGCGCAAATTGTTCCGGACGAACCTTGACGCCAATGCGTCCGTTGGCGTCTCTTCCAGCAACAGCAAAGCAAAAGGCAAGAGCAAGGGATCCAAATCATCCAAATCAAAGTCAAACTCAACCGCCAAACCTGCTGATAATATCTCCTTCACAACCCTGGACTGGGAGACTGACCAAGCCGCGTCACTGAAGGAATGTATGGATTCCGACGATGCCCATGCCCAAGATGAGGGAGAAGAGGAAGATAAAGGCTTCGACCTCCTCCTTTCCTGTGACTGCATCTACAACGAAGCACTTGTTGCACCGTTCGTGCGCACCTGCGCCGAGATCTGTCGACTCCGGCCGGCATATGTGGCCGGGTCTGAAGAACCTCTCCCGCACCGTAAACCGACGGTTTGCATTATCGCGCAACAGCAGAGGTCGCCGGACGTGTTTGAGACTTGGCTTAGGGAGACGATGCGGGAGTTTCGGGTTTGGAGGTTGAGTGATGATGCACTCGGGGAGGGACTAAAGAGTGGCTCTGGATATTTGGTGCATTTGTTATTGGCGAGGGATAAATAGGATACAGCTGTAGATACAACTGCAGTACATATGGAGTGGCTTTGTTCATGTGTATATCGGGGATACATGCTGTTTGGGTACTGTATATAGCTAACTTAGAAGCCCAAGCTCCCCTTTTGCTAAAATCACCAGGTATAACCTTTGAGTGTACAGTGAGATGGCCCCAATTAGCGAGATCGTTTGGATGGACATTTTCGAGCTGATATCAAGAGACCCGTGAAGAGGAATCAGACTGGTATGGCCGAATCAAGTTTTCGGACTTCTGATATATACGAATACTTCGATGTGGGATATCTTTGAGATCTCAAAACATACTCCAAACCACCAATGAACCTTGCCGGTGTCGTTAGCAAACGCATCTCTTGAGATACTAGGGGAGTTGAGCAGGCAATTTGACTGCATTGAAGCTAACTGCACTGTGTGTAGGGTAAAAGAAGAAGAGGGAGAGGAAGCTATTTGTAGCTGCCAGTCCTGTCAAACAGGATCAGGTGATCACAACAGCATCAAAGGCAGACTTCATCTTCTATAGTCTCGACAGCCAACCTATTTCTTGCCTTGATAGTAAAAAGCCTAAACGATACTTTCTAATAGGCATTCCTTTGTAGCACAATCTCCTGATTCAGTACCCCCAAACGGCCGTGGATCTCACGGGAATTCCCAAGTGCAATAACAACAAACCCGACTATATGTTTTCATTTACCTCAATGGGTGTTACACAAGTAGAGGGTATTATTACGGCAGACATATATGGATGAACTCGGATATACTCAGTAAGTATGAAATAGGTAGTTAGGTGGAGTGGATTATACGATATAACCACGTGCAATGTTAAGTTGCTATATCAAACCAAATAGGAGACACGAAGACCACCCAGGTATAACGACAGGGTATCTAGGAAGAGACACTAGCTCGAAGCCAACATTCTAACCCCCAGTATAGAAACAAAGAAATATAGATGTAACATGATGCAATTGATTATCATATCGAGGGCGCTAATATCTGTAGACGCCCAAGAAATTATGTAGTTGTATATATATATATATAGCCGGCGGAAATCGACATTGAAGATAAACATTACTCCGCAAGGACACCAACTAAGGCTCCGCATTTTCTTTTTCCGCCGCAGGCGGCGAGAATTCGTACTTGCGCTTCAACGGTACAGATGACTCAGTCGGTGTAGGAGATGGACCCTGGATACCCGATTCCGACGGTGGAAGGGTAGCCAACGCCTCTCTGGGTTCTGTTTCGGGGGTGCGGTCGATAATAGACGAGATGGATTGCTTGGTTGATCCGTTAACTGCGTGCTTGGGTGGTGTTGCTGCAGCGGTTTCGATGGGAGTGCCTTCTGCATCGGGCATAAACCGGTCTAGAACTTCGGTTTTGACTCGGTAAGAGCCTTCGCGTTCGAGCTCGCCCTCTGAGTCTGAGTCCATGTCCTCGTAGTGCTGGTCGCCGTCGTGATCCGGAGGAATGGAACCTGGCGGACTTCCTTCTGTTGAGGCTCGGTGGCTGTTCATAACTGGTGGGAGCGGAGCGTTCGGGTCGTAGACAACGCCGCAGACTTCGAGGGCGCGGGATTGGCTGCCCAGAGTGCGGTCTTTGTGTTTCTTGGTGAGATGGCACATGAAGCCGTGGAGGGTGACGAAGTCGGATTTCCCGCAGCCGTGGATTGGGCATGTGAGATATACGAGGCTTCCGTCTGAGGGTCGCTTCCACAACGCTCGCCCAGATGGGTCGTGGGCTGCTGGTCGGCCATGGCGTTCGCCCCATGCCTCTACGTTTTTGATGGTGTATTTTTGCTTGCGGCGGATGGAGCCCGCGCTGTGTATTTGGTCGTGAGGAAGCATTGGGTGTTGATGCTGAGATGGCGGGGGAGGTGGGGGAGCTTGATGATGAGGTTGAGCGTGCATGTGGGGTGGGGGCATTGAGGGTGGTGGTGCCTGGGATGAAGGTGGAAGAGGTGCTTGACGGGGCTCGGGGGGACTCTGTTGCTTGAAGAAAGCCAATGTTGTTGCTGCACTGGTCTCTGATAATCGGCGAGGTGGTGTAGGCCGTAGAGGCGGCGAGTCGCTCGCAGCGTTGAGCCCCAAGCCCATGGACTCTCTCTTTAATTTCTTGCGTTGTCTTCGAAGGTCCTGTGAAGCTTGCTTTAGAACTATGATTCCTTAGATAGGTATCAATATCCGGCTTACCTCTTCTTCTGCTTCAGCTCTCTCCGTCATTGACCGAAATTCCTCATCTTCATGCTTGCGCATTGCCAGAATGCGACTACGGGTTGCATTCCGAGCCATTTCCTCGTGCTCTAGATGCCGGAGTCGAGCTTCGATATGTTCCAAAGTAGCTGGACTGTGTACTGGTGGTACGCCTTGGGCATGATGTTCATGCATGGGCGGCGCGAAATGACGGAAATGGTGACTCTGCACCATCTGCTCCGGAGGTGGCATTTGGTGTGGAGGTGGATTCGGGTTCATGGCAATGGGATGATAGCGAGGAAGATGGTTGACGAGATGGCCGGGTATACCACTATCGGGGCCAGGATGATGCACCGGCGGTGCAGTTGTCATTGTTATGAATGGAGGTGCTCGAGGTTATAGAGTTTTGAACCCTTCCTGCACCAAAGAAGAACCTTGGAAGAGAGTACGGAGTATGAAGAAGTCAAAAAGGGAAAGGAAACTAAAAAGAAAAGAAAACAGGATGAGACAATCGAAAGGGAAGACCCATCTCCGATCTATGGGTCGACGGTTTGGAAAGGATTGACATTCAGACCTTGGAGCTAACTACTTTGTATAATCTGTGTATAATAAAAATAATATAAAAAATGTAAAAAAATAATATAAAATTGAAAAATAAAATATGAAAAAATCAAAATGTCAAATAATATCATAAATATAATAATACAATATTATAATAATAGAAAATAAGAAATGACTCTTCCACTAGCGCGACCCTTCTGCACCCCCGTTATCTTGAAAAATTCCCGTAACGGCGTAAGGGGATCGTCTCAGGGGATCTCGATTGTGATTGATCGTAGACTTATCTAGTACTCCGATAGGCATTATTGAATAGAATATTGAATAGAGTATATATTAAAGGAATAGCTTCAAATATAAACTTATAAACTAATATACTAATATACTAAGACATACTAACGTATTAATATACAATGTACAATGTACACTATAATCCGAAAAGATTGTTTTTTAATTTCCCAGTGTGGACGATGGAGCCCCAAAACCAGAAAGACAACCACTCATCCATGGAATTGGCACGACGCTAGCCCCATGTAATCAAATCACAATCAGCCCTGGAGAGCCCTAAGGTTCATTTCCTTTGGATCAAAATGGACCCTAATCTACCGGGCCAATGATCGGCATCTCCAAATTGAAAGGAAAAAATGAAAACGAAAAAAAAAAAAAACAAAAATAGTCACTTGACATCTCCTTCAGGGGGAGAATAAGTCTAAACATGACAAGTCTAAAAATTCTGACTGCAGTCATCCTATGAGCGTCATTGGTCCGAGACTATAATTTCAAAAAGTAATATGAACAAAAGCGTATTAATTCGGTTTCAATAATACTTTCAATAATCTTAACACCCTTTCCCCGGAGAAAAGTAGGAGTAAAAGTACCTTATTAAAGTATATTATCAAGGATATGTGTTTACCTCTTGACCCTAAAACAAAGCTAAACTTGATAGTCGAAGCCTCGAATCAGAGCCTCCGCGATTGAATTTTTTCCCATCTGCCCAACTACTTTATTCCGGGATTACCGTCCAATAATAAGCAACAGATCTACCCCATTACTGCCAAGGGTGTGTGCTCATCCTGAAGCTGGAGATCATTATGTAACACAGGGGGAGAACTTGTTCCTGACAAGTTCCATGGTAGCCATAGAAGCGGGAAGAATCACGATGGATCTTGAACTGTCTTCCATGTACTCCGTTCGTGGTACGGAGTACTCCGTACACACCTATCATTCTTGTCTGGTACATTACTCTCCACACAATATTGTTTAGTGGAATCAATCTATTTGATTTGTTATGTATCTTTTTTCCCCGAATTAGAGCTACCCCAGTCCCAGTCTACGGACTACTCCCTATATACTTCGTACAACCAACAATAACAAATACATTATTATAGCCATAGAATATTTTCCAAAGCCCGGGAATTAGGAATCAAGGAAATGCCAGCCCACATATTTAGTGTCCCCGAACTGTACGTCGTAAGCCAGAATATGGGTCTTGTATGGATTTTCCGCTCAAGTGACTCAGTAGGACTATGGGTCTGCAGCAAACGCCAGGGCTTAAGGGCTTAACTTGTAAAGGGAAGCAAAGGCAAAAAGGGAAAAAAAAGAGCCCTAGAACTCGAACAAGGGAAAAAAAAACACACCATGTCAACAGAGTGGGGAAATGGAAATAATCATACGTACTAGGGGCACGCTAACGCAGATGGTCTCACTTAAGAAGTGATCGACGAATGGTCGAGGGGCCAGTTATGTGGGCGTTTGAAAATTTTCTACTCCGTATGTTGTAGTTGCACCGGGATTTAATTTAAGAGGCATCTTACACTTCAGATGTTGATCGGTACTATACAATATTGAATCTAACACTACGGAGTAATAGTGGCTATATTTACAAATCTAGGACAATATGAGATACTATATTTATTGTATCAGTCATCTCTCACCCCCCTGTCTATTTCAAATGTTCTGCATTGAAGCCCCCCCCCACAAAGCCTCGTATATATAGTCTTATTTAGAAATTATTATTATTTACACACATCATTGTACAAAAGACCCACTGTGGCAGCCCGACTGGTGTGTACAACGATGATTTGCTACTCGACCGCTCCGCTGCAGGGAAGTCTGCACGATTAGTTCGCTCTGTCACCACCGGCTCGAGTCCAGATTGGCCTGATGGTAAAACGTTACTTTTCTCGTGTTCTTGTTCAATGTAAGGCGAAATCTTGTTTCTTCCTTCCCATGAAGATGCAACATATCAAG